GAAGCTGCGTGAGTGCCCGCTGTGGTTTGTTTGGGCGAACCCACCGACTTTATCTCTCGCTGCCAGAGATAAGTCAGACAAGTGCCACAGGTGAGAGCGGTCAGTGGTGGGGCATGCCTTCTAGTCCTGAAGGCGTGTAATTTTCTCACAGAACAGACTGGTTTGAAAGAGTCTGTGCCCGTCTGAGTGTGGGCAGATGCAGAATGATGGCTTAGTAGAATGTGATCAAGAGAGGGCTGGATATCATTCTTGGCTGTCGTCAGCTGTTTCTGCATTTCTGATATTAATATAGCAATAAGCCACAATCAAACTGTTAAAAACCATAGCCTCACAGACAGTTCTTTGGTTCTGGGCATATTGTGACATCCAGCAGACCGAGAGCAACATTAGAATTAGCAATAATGTGTTTAAAGGTAGCACACAGCTATCAGCTGAAAACAGCTGCCTGTTGCAGCTGGAAACAACACTGATAAGACTAGTGAGACTAAACAAACACAGTTGCAGCCAGTAAAACCAAAACAATGAGCTAAAAGATGCTAGAATGCTCCGTAGAGCTGATGCAGGGTTGGGTGATGATTTTCCGTGGGTTAAGTGGCACCAATACATGTACTAACACATTAACTGATGTTTTGGCCACTTTGGAGCAGCGCAGCAACCTGTAAACACATCGACATATTTACGACTGTATAGATCTGTGGTAAAGATAGACAACATATGCCTATTTGAAGATGCAGCAGACACAAAGCAGTATTAGCATTCATTTTGAGTCATGTTTGTGGCAGCCTGATGAATGGAAGTCCAATATTCGCTCTTCTTTTGGTTATGATTGGATCTTCAATAACTCCTGGGGGAATTATCTGCATCTTTAACTGCTAAACAGTCCAGCGTGTTCACCAGATACTTGGTAGCTGTGTGTTTGTCTGTTAGTGCTGGAGGAGTACAGTGAGTTCATCATTGTTTTTTCTCTAAAAAGCTCCCTGCTGCTGCTGATGAGAGGTCAGACTGAACCAAAACAGTTATTCCAAGATGACCCATTGTTCGTATGAAAATATTAATTGGTGCTGCTTTAAACTGGCTTTAACTGACTTTCTTTCAACAAAAACAACAACACAACATTTTACTATCACCTCATTCTGTTGATATGGTGAAGGTGGCAAAAACAACTTACCTGAATACACAGTCTAGATGTCACACAGCAACATTAGCATTCATTTGCAGTCATGTTTGTTATTGTCTGTGTTTGCCGCAGCAGGCAGTTGTTAAAAGGAGAGTGAATATTGGACTTACGTTTGGTGGGTCACCAAAAAAACATGACTCCAAATGATTGCTATCTGCTACGCGAGATGAAATTCACTCTTTGCAAACATGTTCACAACAGTAACTGAGAAGGTCATAATATGTCAGTGTTTGCTGCTTGTTTCCATGTGCACATCCTCCTCATTAAGTTAATGCAGCTTTAGTTCGCAGGGCGTAAACGCAAAACAATGAGCTGAAAGATGCTAAAAAGCTTCATAGAGCTAAATGAGAAAAAGCAGTTGGGTGATAATTCTCTGTCGGTTTGTCACTACAAGCAGCACCAGCTTTTCTCACTCAGTCTTTTCATCCGTTGTTAATATAAGAATGCCAGTAAGTGCTAAACTGTCCCATAGTTGGATCAAACTACTGCTTCTACAGCTCTCATTGAGAAAAGACTGACGAGCTGTGTCTCCACGAGGTGTCACAGCCTTTAAACTGCTGGCTAGTTGGCCCGCTCGAAGATCGAACTTGCTACCTTGGCATCAGTACAGAAGCACCATATCCAAGCAAGCATACATAATAGGTCTGCGGCAGCCGTGGCAGATGTTCACGGCAACGAGGTTCAGACAACACGGTAGTCTGGGAGGTCACCACCATAGTGAGCGAAGATGCTTATCTATTCCGTGTGGCAGCGTTTCACAAGCCCAACCAGAGAATTACTAAGTGAGCGCTCGAGAAACACTAACCACCAGCTTCTCCTCTCACCACTTCAAACATACTGATACACATACAGGTAAAGCTGATAAAGTTGAACAAGCCGTTGGAAACGCAATCAAAAAGCTCAAATCTCTGTCTGCTCATTTTGTATTAAGACAGGTTAGCTGCTGCACATCATAACAGCGCTCCGCGGTATTCAACTGAATGAAGTTCAGTCTTTATTGTCCCACGTGGGCACATTTGTTCCGTAGGGCAAAGTATAGAGAGAGAGCTCCGGAGAGGTTTTCAACAATCATAAAGATGTTTTTGCTCTTTTCTATCCATCATTAAGCTAATTAGGCCCTTTGTAACAGGGTGATTATTTGAAAAAGATGTGAATAATATTGTTCCCTAAAAAGCAGTTTTCTGGAATGACAGTAAAAACCTGAAATCATTAGGTTTGCTAAGATAATATTTTTTCGAGAAAAATAATCAATGTTCCTTGCGTAGGTGTATTTTGCACTGGGCAGAATGGCGCAAGGGATGAGCATATTTGTTCTTATTTATGAATTAAATAGACAAAAAACCTTTGTTCTTCTGTCCGTTTTCTAAATGGATTTTTTTTTTTATTTAAACCCATCACCTTCTCATTAAGCTTGTGTTCTCTTTCCAGCTTCAACTTCGAAGTGGTTAGACTTTCAAAATACCGGGTGCCAAAATAGAATGAAAATATTCAAAATATGCTATGGGGAAAATTGCAAAAAAACTGGAAAAAAACTACATACCACTTTTAATAGGTACCACTTTTTATAAGCCATGTTTTTGAGTTGCAACTAATGGCTTCAGTAATGGTTAATAAACCACTTATTAATGCTTTATAAATCAGTTACAAGCCATTGCCATATTAAGATAAAACAAGATAAGATAAAAACTGAGAGAAACCAAATCCTGCAAGGTTGGATGGTGGGTCCTGGTGGGCGGGGCTTGGGGCATGGCTGAGGGTGCTGACTGCTTTGTTATGACATCACAAAGTTAGACAGAAGTCCTGACAAGTTGTTTTAAGGCTGTTTGTGAATACAGACTGTGTACATTTCTCTGTGGACTGAGCGCTTTGATACTTTCACAGTATTAATATAGAACCTAGACCTGCTTTATAATCAAACAAGACATGGACATCTACCTTGATACAATATGGTCGAGCTTTAAAAGACCCTTTTGACCAGGTTTAATACATTGTTAATGACATCCTGTCAGTTCAGTTTCTGTTCACTATCAGCCTTCTGCTAATGAAGACATTTTTCCTAAAACTGCATTAAGGAAACCATCAAAAGCTCAACTATCTGGTTCACTACAAAGCTTAAAACCTCTTAATGTTGAAAATGTCTGAATTGCGCAGATGAAATATTCAAATGTATTACAGCATGTCCTTCAAGACTGTTTAAACTCTACCTCTCCCACATGAAGATTACATTTTCATGATGATGTTTTATAATCTGTATCCTCGACTAATGGAGACTGTCTCTATCAGGTGCTGGTCACTTAATGATATGTGTCAATTTTCCTTGACTGGACAGTCCAGAGCTCAGTGGAGACTGTCCGAGCACAGTTTGATCCAAGGCCAGGAAGGACAGAGGGAAGTGACTTAGGATGTTCAACATCTCTGGCCACTTCATGACTTTTTAATGTTTTCTATTCTGTTTCTATTTTATAATTCAGTAGCAGGACAGTGTACTGTAGGGAGTAGATGTATCATTAAAGTGGGGGTTCAGCATGTGGGACGACTGGCTTGTGACTCCATCTACTGGTCACTCACTTGGCTTTCATGTTAATGTGTTTACTGTAGCTTTATGAGGTGAAAGAAAGAATAAGAAATACAGTGTAGAGATATGTAAAGTAGAAATTTCTTCAAAGGAACGAGGAGTGCAGCAGGCAGAATAAAAAATCAAAAATAATGTCCGGCCCAGGCAAGCGAGAGCAAAGACTTGAGTGTGCTCTCACACTGAGCTGTCTAGGTTTCCTCAGGTGACACTGCTGTAATCTCACAGCTAGACATCACAGAGGAAACCCGCAGTTCTCTTCCTCTCCACATCGCCACCGCGCCCGCCAACGCACCATCAAAAATGCAAAACCATGGCATGGAACCAAAAAATGAAACATGGCTCGTGGTGAGGGGGGAATATCACAGCGGAAGAGATTAGCACTGGTGGGGGGAGACTTACAGTCAGAGTACTGTATTAACAAAACCCTGCGGTGAGCACAGCAGGATTTTCATGGATTGGGAGGCGAGGTTTTCTGACAAACACTGGAGGAAACTAGTAGAAGTTATAAATTACTGAGTGAATCTGGTAAGACTTACACATGCTCTCATTAATTGACCTAAAAACCCAGAACAAAAACAAATTACTGCATGAAGAAGGAAAATGTATTACTGCTGATGCCATTAAAGCCTTGATTGAAACAATATGAAGCATTTACAAAAAAAAAAAAAAAAAACCCAATTCCCAGTTAATTAAAGTTTCATTTGAAGTTCTAAACACCTAGCATACAAAGTAATGCATTTCACAGACTGGAAAATGAGCAGCACAAGCCACGGTGGCTCTTGGATAACATAAAGTGTGCCAGCTAAAGAAACAAAACATCATTAAAAGAGGACGCTAGCTATTTACAATTGGACTTCCATACAGTTGAATGCATCATAAGATATAGATATAAAAAAAGGTCAAAATTGAAGCAGCCGGGGCCGAGATATCAGGATTTTTAGTCACTGGTATGAGTCAAGCTCCAAAAACGCTGGATCCTACATTTCCCAGGATGCAACCAATAGCATCATTTTGTTTGACCCTTCCTGCCTTGTAAATGCCCATGTCTCATGAACTCCATGAGTGAGTTTGTAAGACATGGGTTAGTAACTTCTTGTCCAAGCCAAAGCCAAGATGACATCACTATGACATCATCAGGTTTATATCTTCACAAAAGTAAAAATCATCATGATGACAAAACTAGACCTATTATACTTAAGTGAACCTCTCAAAATAATGGACCTGAGCTTCATCTAAAATTGAATGGCAATATTTTTATTAAGTTAGGAAATCAACACATTTAAGAAATTTAATTATATACACTGGTTCTACTGTATGGATTAAAAAAAAGACAAAAATAAGCTTGACACACCAAGCTAATACATGTTATAGACTTTGCATTTCACATACCCATAAATAATGATCTTGGTTCAAATTATAATTACAAGTTTATGTCATCCTCATGACTGAGTGGATGATGTGCCGTAACCTCCCAGTATGTATTTGTTCACCTCAGAGAAAGAAAAAAAAAAATCAAAAACACTGTCACTGAACTGTTGTTCTGGTCTTAAATATCATAAAACTACGCTATAAAATACATAAAGCATATCTACCATGTGTTCCATGGGAAACAAAGAAAAGGCAATGGTATAAGAAATCATTTCTCATGAAATATTGGTAAGCCTTAAAATAAACTTTCAAGCGATTTCAGTAAGGTCATTTACAACAGGTAAAAGAGGCAGGGTTTTACCATTAAAGCAGTCAAATAATACTAACATTTGCTACTTTGTTCAAAATATACAGAAAATAACCGGTGCAAAACGCTTCAGTTGGAGCCGCTAGTGGCATGCACCACAGTAAACAACTATACTGAGATTCACAGGGTAACATGGGTATGTTTGACAAGTGCGCTGTTACAGTAGTCGCCACTGTAACACAGTAGTCCAGTGTTTGTGACCTGTAGAGAATGGATGCACAGCTTTGATTACAGTGGCATGAGAGTCTTCTTCAGTGCTCCTCCTTGTCGCGGCCTTTCTTCTCCTTCTCGTCCTGCAGGGCGGTGCCCAGCTTCTTGATCAGCACCGACAGCACCTTGTCCAGCGGGTCCATCACTCCCCTCTGCAGCCACTTGGGAATTGTAGTCCTGGCGTGGTGGAAGCCGAGTTTCTGCAGGATGTAGTCCACACCCACTGGGTCGATCTTACGTCCTGTCCAGGAGATGAGCCTGATGATAGGAGATTTTTAGTTGAGTCAGTAATTAATGTATTTCAGAGAGTAGAAGATAATTATTTGAGGATTATTTCAACTAGGTGGAACTAAGATGGAGAAGTGTTTTAAAACAACAAAAACTTGTTATTTTCAAATTATTTCAGTCCAAATGTCCTTAGCACATAGGTACTTGTTTTTCCATTTTCTGTTACTCTATACTTTTACCCCAATACATCTTAGAGGAAACTATTGGCATTTTTATTTGACATCTGTAGTTATTATGCACAAAACCAGTGATGTGCTTATAAAATACAGTTTATTGCTTTCAGTTGATTCTAACTAAGGAGTATTAAAATTCAAATTAAATGCAGGTTACACATCCATGCATGCTAATAATAATAATTCCATCATATATTAAGTTGATAATAATATGATAGCGGCAGGATCCATTTTTCTGCATGTACTTTTACGTTGATATTTTTAATATTAGTTTTACTGCTACTTAAGCAACATTTTGAATTCAGAACTTTTACTGGTGATGGATTTAAGATGTGGTAATTCTACTTTTTCTTAAAAAAAGCAAATACTTCTTGTATCAATACTTCTTCCTCAACTTTTCACTGAATAGCTGTCCCACTGCAGTTTGTCAAAACCTTAGTAGACCTCTAGTGAGGAAATGCAACATGAAAAAAAAAAATCACAAACACAAACAACTTAAATGAGATTTTAGTGTGTCCATTCCACTCTATCTACTACAAATAAAAATACTCGTATTCAATAGAATTTCATTCCATTTCTATAATGAATAGTATAATAGTCACTCTGTAAGTGGAAAAGTTTTAGTGTAGGATTGCTTTCTTTCTTCCATTTTTATTCATTTATTTTTTTTTAAAAACTTAATAGTCTTATAAATTGATGCACGACAGACATTTACAGATTTGCATGTCCTGTCTGTGCATCATTGTAGAAGCTGGTGTGACCATCAGGTCATGAAGAATGACGCTTTTCCAGTGTCGTAAATGCTCTTTTCTATTTTCTCCTCTGTTGGTTTTGAATGAGAATTATTCACGAATGAGCATTGTGACTCAATTTGACTTCGTCATATGAAAGGGTGTGCGTCAGCTAACATGAAAAAAACAACCAAAAAAAAAAAAAAAAAACAAACACTCAACATCCACGTCTGTGGTGCGGTGGAGCGTAGCTGACCTGAGAGTGGGCTCCAAGTGCCAGGTGTTGCACATGAACTCCCTCCAGTCCACCGTGGTGTAGTTGATCCCGTCGTCCATGTCCTTGTCCTTGTCTGTGGAGCTTTCGTCGTGCAGGGCCGTGGGGCTCTTCTGGCCTGGCCGAGCCGCGAACATCCGCGGGGCGAAAAGGGCTGAGGACACACGGGGAGGGAGAGAAGCAATAAGGCTGCCGCTCTGCTACCCTCATGTTTTCTTTTTAACAAGACAAACACATTCTTCAACAACAACATCCTGAAGTAGAGCACAATAAACATTCATTAATATCCCTGAAAACGCTGTCGGCACCTTCACAGTATAGATCTAGACTCCATTCACATTCAAATACCCATCTGTCCTACTTCACTTAATCAGGATTAATCAAACACTGATGAAAATCTTCACCGCTCGCCTCTCTGCTCCTTCTACTCAGCTGCAAAATCAACAGAACAAAGTCGTGGCACTATTTTAATTGTCATGAAAAATGCGTGGTTGCTGGCATGAAGAGTGGTAATTTGTTCCCTTGTGACAATAGAAAACCCATTAAAATGCTGCCTGCATTGGGCTCCCTGACCTCCCCACTGTGTGTGAAAATAACACTCAGCTGCCTGCGTTTCATGCTGCTCTCTAAAATGTGTCCAACAGCATACAAACAGCTTTGCAGGTACAGTGGCAGACAGATGTGGTCCATCTTGTTATTTTTCTTTGAATAGTAGGATGAGTCATTTTCTTGACGTGCAACACAATACCTTGTTTGGCACTTTGAAGGCTATTTTCACTCTTGAATAATAGAGTTGTCGTTGCTACACCTGTTGTAGATGACTCATGAGTTTGTTGACAGTTGAAATGGATCAACATTGTTTGCTGACTGCCTTGTGTGATTGCTGTAAAGACACAAACCTTTCTCCTTCTCCTTCAGGTAAGCTGACACCAGGTCATGAAGGAACATGATGAGCTCAGCGTCCATGGTGACACAGATGTGGTCGGTGAATTCTGTCACAACGCTGCACTCCACCTTGGGTTTGCTGTTGGAGTCTGGATCAAATAAAAACAAAAGACTCGAATAAGCATCTCACGGTTGTTTATCTCCACCTACCTGTCAAGGTGCGGCAAATGTAGTGACGAGCTCCCCTTCACGAGTTACACAGTTGAAAAAATGGCCAGAAGTGTTTTTACAGAACAATATGATGTCACAGGGAAGTTGACCTTTGACCTGATGTCATCACTTCATTTTAACCTCTTAGACGTTTATGTGAAATTGTGTCATGATGAATATATATATTGTTGAGTTATGGCCAAAACTGTGTTTTGTGAGGTCACAGTGACCTTGAACTTCAACCTTTAACCACCAAATTCCATGTAGTAGTTCAAGTGAATATTTCACCAAATTTGAAGAAGTTCCCTTCATCCAAATGAGACGGACGGACAGACAACTTAAAAACATAATGTTTCTGGCTCTGGCTGTCGCTGGTGTGGAGTCATTGCTTCTTTTAATTGATTTGATTTGATCATTTTATTTCGAATGTGTGAAAGAAGAAAAAAAACAAAAAACAAAAACAAACATAAAAAAAGAAAAGCACAATGGTCTCACTGAAAACAGTGAACTTACACCTAACAGAAAATATGATGCAATGCAATGTCAACCATATCCACAAGGGAGTGGGAAGAAGTCAACACTTATTGAATCCCACTCCTACTTCATAAATCAATGCTTGCTAGAATAATTGCTTCCTCATATATATGAAAACATAATCTATATAATAATTATATCCTATATTAATGCACATAATTCAATTACTAGTTCATACCATCAGCAATTACATTTGAAAGATTGTATTCCAAAAACTTTTTCTGGTTTTTCCTTTTTTTCTTATTTTACTGAGATTATTTATTTGTCAAATGTTGCTTCCTAAATTTCAGCCAACCAAAAGTCATCCAGGCTTTATCTGTTCATGCCCTAGGCTGTTATTTGAGAAATTATTTCAATATCAGCTTTTATATGATAATTTACAGTATTTTTGTAACATTTCTTTATTTAACAAATTTCTGCATTAAAATGTCCAAAAAACAACTAGACCTATAATTTTGTTGAATTGTGTACTTCTGTTTCCATCAGCTAGGGAAATCTGTGATTTTTCATTGTAACAATTTGTTTTATTTGTTCGTCTGTCAATGGTGCCACATTTTTACAATACATTTTTTAGATCTCGGTCCTGTTTAATTATATATTTTAACCGGGTGAAGGCTTTTGTTATCGGACGTCTGGATCATGAGTTCATCAGAGAAACAAGCTGAACAAACGTTAGCTCGTTCGCGGCCGCACTCGGCTGAAACTGCTATATTCAGTGCTTTTAATGGTTATAATCACCAGGTCTGTTTGTTCTGGAGAGGAGGAGACCTCTGCGGATAATTCGGACCTGACTGCAACAATGACAATGATGGTGACACCAGCTCCCACAATGCCACACCACTTTCCAATGTCATAAAACTCCATCTTTTGCTATTGTTTTGATCCTCGCCGAAAACTACTTATAGTGCGTTTAAAACCAGACAATGTTTTTGAAGAGATGCATGTTTTAAAAATGACTGACTTTGGAAATTTCACCATCAGAAGAAACTTTCTTTGAACAAATAAAATATTACTGTGCAGTGAATTCGATATGATGATGCTGGGGTCATGTTAGTGAAGGGCACCATATTTACTGACTAACATGATAAAACAATTTAGTTTAAGCTTTAAAACAGTGCATGAAAAGACCTGAGCAGATGACTTATTGGCTTGATGCACCGTTACAATATTGTGTGAAGTACCTGTTAGAGAAGGTTCATCTGGATCTTGTACGTGGATAGACTTGAAGTCCAGCTGCATTCTGGGAAGAGCAAAGATAGTCTCTGTTTCGTGGTTGTAGCTGGAGGAGCTGCGGAAGCTGCTCAGCAGACTGGAGCTCTTGGCAGCCACTCCGCTCTCTTGGTTGTTGGCTTCCACGTTCCTGAGCAAGTTCAGCTCTGAAGCGGGAGATAAGTCGTGTCAAACCTCTTTTGAATTTAAGGTCATGTTCACACTTCTCTGCTTCGTTAAATACTATCTGCACCTATTTTACATTTAAGATAACAGGCAGCGGCAGCAGGGCAGACACAAAGTAGCTCTTTCGGAAAAAATGCTGTCTGTCGTTTTTTAGTCAGAGCTGTTTAAAGATGAGAAAAGTCTGAAGTTTGAAGCCAGACATTTACACTCAGTTGGCAGTTTATTAGGAACATCTAGGTAAAACTAATGCAGTCTAACACAGCAACCCCCATAACAAATCCTCTCTTCATTAAAGTTATAATGTTCAGCATTTGTTGATACTCTTAGAAGACTGAACTTGTACTTACAGAGTTCTTTCCAATATGTCTTCCACCGCATTTACATGATTTAAGGTGGTGTATATTTACTGCATCTTTTTTTTATCCCCCATCTTCTTCGATTTACTAAAGACTTGAAAAAATGTGAACTTATCCTTTAATACAGTTTATTTGTCGGCCGCCGTGTCAAACCCCGACCTAAACATGATCCAAATGAGCTCCACACAGTGAGATTCACAGATTTTACATTTGGGTAAAGAGGACTCTGGTCCCGGCTCAATGCTCACATTTGACAGATACTATGAGTTGAGGTGTTGGAATAAGTATGGTGTAGCCCTGAGTGTGATGACATTAGGACATAATATAAATGACTTAATAATAATTAATAATTGGTTACCTTCGTTCCTCATGGCAGTAACGTAGTTGAACCATTCTTTGACAGTGGCAACACCATGTGGAGGGTTTTCGTGCCGCCGCCGGGTTATTTTGGTTATGGTGGCCATTGGGCTTTCGAGTGCACCACATGGTTTTGTTACCATAGTGTTATGACCGAGATGGAAATCCAGTGTCTGAACGATGTAGGTAGAATCATCTTTGGAACCTGCATATAACAAAAACAAATGTCTGTTATTAAAAAGAGATTACAGTGTAAACTATTCATAATGATGATTTGCGGTTTATTTGGTGGCTATTTTTCCAGTTGATAATTTAGTCTGAATAATTCCCCTAAAATAATGCACGTCTCTGAAATGAACGTTTTGTTCTCACCGTCCTCCCAGATCTTCTGAGCCTCTGTCCAGAAGGCGATGTTGGGCTCTTCCAGGTGGAACAGAGCCCACGATTTGGAGCGGAAGTTGGGCCCGTGGAAGCAGGCCAGGGTCATGTGATTGCCATGGAGGCTCATTGAACCGCCCAGCTGCACAGCGTCCTCGGGCAGAGGCATCTGGAAGAGGGAGATGTGGCAGCCGGCGATTACCTTCAGCACCCCGGGCCAGTGGCGGTGATGGGCCGCATCCATGTCTGCGTGACAGAGACGGCGCGGAGACACAAAATGAGAAGCGGGGAGGATGTAGGCAGATAAATCAATTCTGACTGGAGAGTGAGGCGTGTTGCTGGTGCTAACCGAATCAGACTTTGTGTATTATATCGTTGTTATCCTTATATAGCCTTCCATCTTTTTAAATCTGCTTGAGCTTCTTGTTGTTTTTTTAATCATCTAATGAGCATGTTTGATTACATTCAGTTGCCGAACAACCTTGTCAACTGTTTGAAAAAGTGGTATACAAATTAAACTTATTAGAATTACAAATCATTTTCACTTCCTACAACCAGCGGGGCTGCTGAAGACACTCACTGTGCATACCTCATTACGCATTAAATATTTCACCCAGCAGTATGGAAAGAGGTGTGCTTACAAAGCTCAGCAGCTCCTTTCTCAGTGTTGATGACAGGCGTTTTTGGGGGCAGGTAGGGGCCAGGGCCCCAGGTGGAAAGGGCGCGCTTGCTGGTGTCGAACTGCTGAGTGAAAAACTCCTGCAGCTTCATGCCGATCTTGATGAGGTCTGGTGTGGTAGAGCGTGAAATGATCACCTGGAAAATGTCCCACTGCAAGTCCCCGTGGACAAAGATCTCACTGGAAGGAGAGGGGGGTGGAGGGGTGGGGGTGGAGAACGGGGAACCAAGTGATTGAGTAGATGGTTAAAATTGCAGGAAAGAAAGGAGGGCAAATGAAGCAGGGAGACATTATGTGGCTTAAAAAAAAACCGCATCACAAATGGCCATAAACACCACATCTAATCTGGTGTAATTCCACTATTCTGGTATTCACACATAAACACATGCACTCTGGTCCAGACATCATTTTGTTATGCTGCCTGCCATGCATTGTCAGTATCATTTGTCCATTTCTCTTCATAAACTCTGATGTTTTTCTGTGTTTTGTGTGGTTTCTATTTCCACCCTTAAATAACTTGTGTAACTCTAATGGAGAGGACCCCTGCACTTTCTAGTACTCCCAATGCAGATATAGAGTTTAAATAGATTGATAGACAAAATATGACTAATGTGAGATTTCCATCTATGACAATCCACCAAGTGACCCACTAATACACTTGCTAATATGCTTAAGCACAAGTGCTTGATAAACTTCAGATGACATCATTTCATACCTCTTCTCTGATAGGCTGGTGTCAACAGTGCACAGGTTGACCTTCCACTCGTCCTGCAGCTGCAGGTCAGCGTTACTGAACACTCCCATCAGGATACTGGAGCCCATGTAGTCCACCCGCGCCTCCGTAGAGCCCATGGTGATCTGGATCTTATGGCTGGGTTGTTGGTTAGGGTGTTCAGAGATGTGGGCTAGAAAACAGACGGTAAGTGGTTAACACTGCAGCATTGAGTGACAATTCCTGCTTATACAGTAAAATCTCAGACGGGATGACAGTAAAACTTTTGGGGAGAATGTTGAAAAGGGGAATAGGGTTTATTTAAATGAACTAGCAGTATATTTAGGATCAGAACATATAGTGGATTGCAAAACTATTTCCCCCCTTGTCAGTTTAAAAAAAAAAAAATAATATCACATTTAAATAAAACAAAAATTCTAAGATTTTAAATTGAAATAAACAAAAGATTAAAATAGTAAAGGGTCTCCAATTGCACCCCTTTTTGTCTAATACTGTGTATTATAGACTCTGTGGAGGTAAAAGTAAAAGTCAGTATGAAAAAAGACAATCATATTCACACTCATGTCGTTTTTCATACAGATATGACTCATTCTGAAATGACATGGTTATTTTAGCAGTTTTGCTTCAGTTGTTTAAGTTCTATTAACCTCATTATGAATCTTTAGCTCACTTCAGTGTCAAGGACTGTCCTGGGCAAAATATCTAATATATCATTTTCAATAAGCTTGACAAAAAACTGTTAAACTGCTGTTAACAGAGTGCAAACACTCTGCTACATAAAGTAAAACTGTATCAAAAAAATGCATTTTAATTACAGTAACATGAACCCAAACCCACATGTATATTTCAACAGAAATACTGACTTTTAAATATATTCTATTTACAAATGTGTGCAACATGTAAATGTGCCCTGTATTAGCTTATTTAAACACCAAATCCAAAATATTAGTGCAAAAAGTGAGAGTAAAATGTGAAAGTGTTTATTATGTCTCTACATTATCCCAGTGCTGTGTAAGCACTCTGCACCTAACTCTGGCTCGGCTCCGTATCCACAGTTTTTAGTCTGCTAGAACAAGAGCTGCTAACGAGTTGCAGAAAAACACCAGATGTCTGAGAAGTCGGTGCTTTGTTTACTTACAGACCATCTCCAGGGTGTTCACGTCTATATTGCCACCCACCACCCCGCCCTTGGAGTCGAGTTTGGAGCGGCCGAGGCCAACAGACATGCTGATCTCTCGGTCCCGGTTGCTGCCGACAGACAGTCGGCCCTGACTCTTCAGCCCACTGGTTGTCCAGCTGCAGGGGCAAACACAAACTGTGAGCGCTCCCGAAACGCTGCTGAATAATGTAGAATTGCTCTCTATCAAACATACATGACTCATTGCAAGGACTTGCCCGGATATAAACACAGGTAACTGAAAAGGAAAAGACCAGACAACCTCAAGCTCTGAGTGTTAATATGTGGTTATGTATTTTAGCCAGTATGTCATTATGTATGTGTTATTGTTACACAATTTGCTAAAGTCTAGCTATGGCTTTGTGGTTGACCTTTTTTCTTCCTTCCTTGTTTTAGACAAAAACTCCACCTGAGCGTAAATGATGTTTTGTCGGAAGAATATTCTGAAGTCATAAATAATGTAATTAGAGCTGAAGAGGCAGGAGATGTGTGTGTTGCTCAGGGAGCCACACATTTCCAGAGTGGATGTTTTTTTTAAACTTTATGATGACAGAGCTCATAAAACAGTACTGCCTTAGTTATGAGGGTGTTGAGTGTGTCACTGATTCAGCAGGATTTTTCTGCACTTTCTACCTCAACTGTAGAGACAAAAGTTTTAATGACGGCATATTGTGGTGACCAGTAAAATACAAGTGAACACGACATGAATTGAGCCCATAAGAGTGGGGCGATAAATTGCCATAAAAGCTGGAAAATCAGATGTTGAATGGATGTCCTGCAAGAAATAAAAAGTCTAAATTGCAGGAGACACTCCAGAGACATGTTTGTACGACACTGTAGAAATGTAAATGTAAATAAATGATGCTCACAGTGTTGAGCATTGGTTGCTCTGATTATACGCTTTGAATTTCACCTGTACTTCCTCCACAGACACACACCACACACACCAAAGCAGTGTTTTTCTAGCTAGTGTTCTATATATATATATATATATATATATATAGTGATCAATCTTCACAAAAAGAACAGATTCTAGGTCTTTCTTCTTTCACAGCCTTCCTGACTGACACAACTCTCTCCTGGACTCATTTGCCAGAATTTTTACTTCCACGTTTAAGTTTGAGGCCAATTTTCAGCAACACCCAGAGGATTTAGTCATACAAGCCCTGAGAGAGGAAATGATATATGTGTAAATATTTATCAACTATGGCATCATCTGTTCTGTGTTAGCAGAGAAGGAACTGAATATTTGTTTTCATCAGGGATAAACTGGGTAAAACAGGGTTACTTCGTATCAGTTTATCTGCCATAAAAATAACAACTAATATATTTTGTAAATACTTATCAAAATAAAATATAAAATATCTCTGGACAAATGAGCAAAACCTCTGAAAAAATTCTGAATGCTCAGCCATAACACGCTTATTCACCCACTTGCCAAGAGTTAGATGAGAAGACTGATGCCACTCTTATGTCTGATTACAGCTGTTTTCAGTCTTTATGCTAAGCTAAGCTAACCGTCTCATAGCCATACCTTCACATTTATTGCACAGACATTACTAAAGTATCCAATCTTCTTATCCAACGCTCAACAATAAAGCAAATCAGTGCTTTTCCACAAAATGTCAGTGTTAAAATCATTTCAGTTACATCTCTGACATGGAGGGGAAAGTATCTACAGGAAAAGGTGCTGGAACAGTTACTTACGTATTGTTTCCCATCACATTGCTCATGTTCATTTGGACGGTGAGCTGTTTCAAGTTGATGGCAAACACCACCAGCGTCTCCCACGGCGCCCCCTGCTGACCTGCTGCCTTCCCATTTTTACCGAATGAAGGAGTGGATGTTTTGGTCACCGAATCTGGACAAGAAAGAATTAAGAAAAGTCAGTTTGGAACATTTCTTATTTTTCACTTTCATTTGTTGATTTTGGACATTGCTGTTTAAAGGTATCAGAGGTTTGCACACAGGTGGATTCAGAAACTGTGCCTTAAAATGAGCCGATAAGACTTCCATAATTTTGTGATGTTGCAAAGAAACAGTTGTGTTTATAAGGTCTTGATATTTTATGGATATCAAGATAAGACAGTGTAAAATATGGGACCTTTAACATCTAAATTGTGCTTCTCTATCAAGACTCACACTGACTTTACAGCAAAAGGCATTTTTACATCACAGTCTGTATTTTGAGGAGTGCTGGTAATCACCTCTCCTAGGAGCCGAAGAATCAGACACACTCCTGGTGCGACCAGGTGCGGGAGACTTGAGGTGGCCCAGGCCACCGGGGGACATGTTGCTTCCAGTGGAGTGCTCAGAAAAGACGTTGGGGGACTGGGGCATGTGCTGAGTCCCGGTGCTGCCATCCCATGTCCTCCAGTAAGCTTTCCGACTGGACTCAGGGGACAGATGTTGGGTGACGTTTTCGGCCGAGTCGGGGGTGGCGGGGCCGGAGGCTGAAACAAGGTAAAGGTTGAGAGATGTAAGTAAAGGACAGCCTGGGAAATGTCAACACGGAGCAGGGGGAGGAATTGTTGGCCGAAGGAAGGTCAGCATGATGGGATATTAAATATGAACACTAGCGCAACCGGCGGAGGTTTGTAGACAGAGAAAGGCTGCCGTTTTTAAAAAAATCATGAATTTACTTGCAGTGAAAACTTTTCCTTCCATTATTTTGTCAATATTTGCTATTTTACTTGACGTCATGTTAGCATTATTCAGGTATTTACAAAGTTTTAGCACTACTTTCATACAAAAGTCAACAATGGACAGACAGAGAGCCGTCACTTTGGAAAGAAAAAGCAGCTAAGACTAATTGAAGAAATAGGGAGCAAGGTCAGAAGCATAGAAAAGATCCCTGTTCATTGTTCCGGATGTCACATGAAAACTTTCTAAAAAAAAAAAAAAAAAAAAACAGCAGAGTGGTATAAACATACCATACTTATGCAACACTCAACCAACCAACCAACCAACCAAGCAACCAACCAACCAACCAACAGAGAACAAAATCCACTGAGCAGTCACCTGGCAGGTTGATTGTCTGGTCTCCAAGGAAGAGGCGCCTGGCGATACTTCGCCGGTACCAGGCTCTGGGGAAGGCCAGGATCTCGCTCAGTCGTCTCATGTCGTACTTGAAGGAAGCTGAGCCAATGTCGCACACAGCTGGGGGGGGGGATTGCATTTGTTCATGTATGAGACAGTGGTCGAAAAATTCCTGAAGCTCTGAAGTTGAAACTGAAGTTCCTGACGAGATGCTGAAAGCGCTGAGCTCTGACATGTTGATTTTCTGTCTTATAAGCCTTTTAGGCCTGTGACATCATCATCATCATCAACCTAATTGATGCAAATGAGCATCAGCTGACATACCTGCTTTTTATTTGCTGTTGTTTCCTAACAACTCCACCTGCTCCTGATCATGGTTTTACAGTGAAACTCTACTCTTACACAAACCTAATAAAATAACTTTAACAAATCTATATTGTAATACACATTTCAATAAACTCATTTGTGAATTTGCCTTGTATTCCCATCTTTTGCTGTGGTTTCATCAAATTCCCTGACTTCCCCTGCTGGAAATAAACCTTTATAAATTCAATTCATATTTTCCAGAATGTCCTAATGCAGCAAGAAAATGAACCCTGCATAGACTAAACAGGAACAGTAATATAATCTAATGTATGAGGCCATCTTCACCCAGGGCTGACGATGTACCTGAGATGTTGATGAGGGTGGTGTCCATTTTGCCACCTTTGGCAGGAATGAAGCTTTCAATGAATGTGGGGCATCCAGTTCGCCTCATCCTGGACAAGCTGACCTTCACAAACTCCAGGTTGATGCTCAGAGAGTCTTTTCTTCCTGTTACGGAAGATGGCTCCTCGTCTACTGTACCTTCAGGAAAAAGAGCGATAATGATGATGATCATTAAACTTTAGTCTAAGTGTCCTTTCACACATTAACAACTAGTGGAATGAGGGTACTGGATATTTTATAGTAGGCTGTCATGGTTATTCCCTTCTACACTAGACCTAGCATATGTTTGTACGTGTTTATTTAACACACCGTGTATCCACAGAGTAATAGCATAATAAGTCTTCTTCAGCGGTAACATTAGACATCCTGTATCATTAGCACATGAGAGAATTACAGCAAGTTTTCCCTCTTCCCATACCTAATGGCCCTGGGCCCGGAGGCAACCCTGTGACAGCAGATTTCTGCTTCCCGGCGCCGTAGGGGTGGAAGACGTAGAGGGAGAAGTCAGACATGCAGGCAGTGAAGCTGAGGCCTGAGGAGTTACTTGGGGGGCCTGTGAGGTCGGACTGGCTGCTGCTGTGGCGGCTCCTGCCCAGAGGGCTCCCCAGCAACGGAGATGCTGGAAGGAGGCAGATGAGAGAGGATGAGGTAAGACGGAGCAGTCGCATACAGTAGGAATAAATTAACTAAAAATATGACTGTCAACAATGGGAGTGAGTCTGACTCCTATCAGTATTCTGTTTTTGACACAAATGATAAAGTCTGCAGCAAAGTTAATGCATCACTTACATATTAATGGTATACTGTAATATTAATACACAGCCATTTCCCTTTTGGCTTTAGAGCAAACTGTACTGTATTTACTATACATGTGACAGGTCTAAATAAAAAATTAAGACTTGAGACACACTGAGGAAAAAAAAAAAAAAAAAAAAACATGGCAGAACTTGCGTTGAGCATTTTGGTGTAAAGACAGACTGGAGAGCAAAATAATGAATGCAAGGGAACAAGCTGTTTAAAATCACACAGGTCTCAGACAAGGCACAGAGTGACTGTTAACAGATACGGTAACAGTCTGTGACAGACTGTAAAAGACTGCTAATGATTCAAATCTTTTGTCTGACTTCAAATCTTTTGTTCTGCAAACATTAGAGCAGCATTATGCTACTAAAACAAAATGCCAAGTCGTTTTCAGACCTTTGCTGGGAGGCGGTTTGGGGATGTGTTGCCCTGGCGGTGTGGAGGAAGGTGGGTGTGATCCGTCGGTGGGGTGGGCTCCTGTTGGGGTCTCCAATTCTCCGCGGTTAGAGGAGAAGACCAGGTCTAAAGAGGGTAGCTTGAGCATACACTCCACCCTGGACATGGGCAGGCAGCTGAAGCGGATCTGAGAAGGCTGGAGACACAAATGATAACTGATGTTTTAGCTGGAAACAAACAGGGACTGAAGATACTGAATAAATATGCTGAAAGATAACAACTACAAACAAATATCATCCATATCCATTTTTTGTGGAAAGATTCAGATGTTAATGACCTGCAATAGTTACAGTCAAGGTCAAGAGGAAGCAGTTACACAGCACATCAGACTCATTCGATGTAGATCACTCACGGATTTTAATGGAAATGTCAGAAAATAACTGTGTTTTGGGAAAAGGAATGTCAAGCTACAACAAACACTTAGATATACGGTCTCTATTAGTTGTAAGGACTCTCTGTATTTTCTCTGATGAAGCTGTAACTGGAAGCAACAGATAGGATTTGGGTTGGAGGTAGTGGCCCGCTACACATGACTAGTAACTGTCTTTTTTATGGAAAAGGTGACATGTATTTTGAGGCACCAAAAGTGTAACCAGAAGAAAAATGTACATTATACAAGATGTAAAACAGCGACATTGAAAAAATGACTGGGGCTAGGACTGCATAAATGATGGAAAATATGTGTATCAATTTCCCAAACAGTTTTTTTGGTTACTGTTATTATCTAATGATGCAAATGAGAACAATTAAGGTTTTAATGGGAAAAAGTTGCTCTGGAGAAAGTGAGCTTTAAGAATTACAGTCAGGTGTTCAGTACCTGGACTCTGACATAGACGACCACGTCCACAGGGAAGGAGGAGTAGGCCGACGTGGAGGAGGAGACCAGGGAGGTGGTGGATTCCTCCAGCTGTTCCACCGTATCGAACTGACCCATGTCCTCCTCCTGGGAAGCTACAGCTGTTTGAAGAACACAAATACACCAGTGAAGACATCCACAGAGAGTTTTCAATAAATGTCAGTAAGTATGTGCTATACGAGAAGTATCCTTAAAGGTCAGTGGATGCCACAAACCAACCTGCACAGTTCCTCTCCACAGGAGTGATGGGAATGGTCTCTAGTGCTTTTTCCAGGAAGTCCAGCAGACAGGGGCTGATGACCATCTCCTCTGGCAGAGTCTGGAGGGCCACCCAGGCATACAGCTTGGCTGTCTTTACCCCTCCACTGCCCTTACCTTTGGCTGCAGATACACATGGGAGTTAAAGTCATTTGTAGTTCATTTCGTAAACTTTAAATTAACTGGAATCACATTAACAGTCATTTCTTAAAACTGTCTTTGGTGTCTTCCCCTCTGTGGTCGCACATCAATATGCATGAGCCCATTTGATCAAAGGTGCCCTCTGGATTCATGCCTTAAAATAAAGGATGAAATCACATGCATTTGATTCGCTGGATCCACGTGTGCATGTAAATCATCAGATCGGAGAAGACGTGGCACTCTAGTTTCGGTGATTATGGAGGGTGCTAGGGCATGCAATTAAAAATGAGGGAATGCTCAGTACCTGATGGAATAGGTGGGGGCGGGGGAGGTAGGAGCGAGTTAGTCTTGCTTTGGACTGCATTGGGAGGGTTGGGAGGGCCGATATCTTTCATACCATACAGCTTCGACTCTTTGGAGAGAGTGCGGGGGAGAGAGGATCCACGTGAGGCATTGGGCGACTCCGTCTTCAGGGTCTTGGAGTTGTAGTGCAGCTGGGGGAAAGAATTAATCATTTAAAGCACAAAAAATAAACAATCCAGAGCAGAAACTTTGGGACAATTTGGATGCTGAGGGAGAAGCTGACCTTAACGTCTACTCCTGGAATGTAAAATACTGTTGTCTCCATGTCATTAGACTTGGTCTGCAGAGAGGAGGGACATTTCTTTCCAGCTAAGAGATGGGTGGTGGAGGTGTAGGTGGGCTGCAGCTTCTTCTTCTTGGGGGGAGACTCCTGGTCCAGACTCCTGAGGCTGCGCTCACAGCTCCTACAAAACCCACAGGGAGAAGAGTCTTGTCATATGAAGAAAGAAGGTGGGCTTATGCCTTATTCCGTTTGGTTAGCTGAATATAGAAAGCTGTACTATCCACCGAGAACAAGCTGTCACCGCTGTTCCAGGCCCCCACATAAAACTTTATCTTGCAAATCATTCAAGTGGATTCCATAATGTAGATTTTGATTTGACTTTTTATGAGTCGTTATTTCAAAAATGACTCACAGCAGGAAACCTCAAACAGACTTTAAATTATATTGTGTAATTTTCAGAATGAGCAACATGCATTTGATCGCACCTCCTGAAGGAAATGTCCTCGTGCTCGGGTTGCTGAGTAGTCGGGTGAAGGACACACTTCCCGCTGTCAATCTCCACACGGACGTCCAGCTCAAAGTCAATGTTTCTTTCGGTTGCCGGGCCACTGAAGCTGCGGTTGGCCGGCGTGCTCGGCCAGCGCTCGCTGAACAGCTGACTCACAGCAGAAAAACCCGAGGACTTCCTGTGAGACGCTTGGCTGAGAACAAACGGTAAACAGGACTGTTTATTGATTTCTGAGGACATAAATCATAAACACAAAGCTTTCATGTAGATATGATGTGAGATTAATGGTGCTTCCCGTCATGTAACATTATCACAATAATGTCTGAGTGGACAAAAAACAACTCACAACGGCCTTCGATAGCTCTGCGGTCTCTCGCGTTCAAACTCGTCCTCCTTCTCGGAGTCTTCGGAGGAGGAAGAGGACAGGTCGTCGCGCCTCATGTCGTCGTGCTGGAAGGGAATTGTGGGTGAGAAGACAGCAGGGGTGCCGGGGGCACTGAAAGCTGAGTGCTGGCCCTCAGCAACGGATGGAGAATGAAGATGAAGGTGATGATGAAGATGGGATGGCTCGTCAATGGTGACTGACAACAGGTCCACCTCTGTCTCCTCAGGAAACTTCAGAGAAGGGCAGAAAGTCAAACTCACACAGGGAGACAGGTTTTATTTCTGCATAAAGCTCTTCCTGCTTAGAGACATCGATCCAACAATCTTCCTAATGCAGCTGATGTCTTAAGTAGGAAGGCAGCCAAGGAATCATAACTTTAAAGGAGATAGTGTTCTGTAGACTGGACCGTGTTTTTCTTTTCCTTTAATTTATTACCGTTTAGTGTTTACTTCAGTTTTATGACCACATGTCCAGGGACAGAACACTACCAGCTTACAACTGTTCTCAGAGGACCTGAGAGGTCATGCACTTTCTGAGAAAAGGAATGAAAGAGAGACAGAGTGTGACAAAGAGGAAGATGAGGAGAAGACGTGACATCCCGACAGGAGAAAAGGTGAAGCACATTCTCAAGTGGGTGACCATGGAAAAATGCCCAAGAGAATCTACTAGTAGACAAGTTTGCTGCCCTAAAAGCCCAGCTGTCAATAGTAAAAACAGATCCCCAAGACAGGCATCGACAGAGGCCGTCTGCTGCTGAGCATTGATAAAAGTCTACCGGTTGAAGATGTTTGACAAAAGCAAACAGCATCTGAGACTAGTACAGACTGGTGACCAGTCTGAGAGTCAGCTCAACAACATTATTTGTCTTGATTTGTTCGGTTATTTTCTGTGCCTTTTAGTCGCGAAAATCACTTGCACTTCATCAATCTAATCACAAGTCTGTTAATAAGTCAGTGGCCGAGGGAAGTAAGTGGGTGGTTAAGGCCAAATGACCACAGAGGGATTGACAAGTGATACAGCCTTCAACAGAGTCTGCCTGGGTCCGTCATCATTAAAGGACGATTGAAGGAAATGAGAAAGATTTGATTATTTACACCAAGCAGGAAAATACCACTGCAGAATAGATTCAACATTCAATCTGGGCACAGGGCAAATAAAACCTTCAAAGATGAATTAACAATAAATTTTGAATTATTCAATAGAAAATATGCATTTCCTCTAAAACTTTTCTGGGTTAAAAATCTGTTTTGTGTCAAGTCAGTCCAAAGGTCTGAAGTGGATTCTGGTCACCGATTAGTTTGCAATATTTTAAAAGGAATGGTTTGTGTTTCCTGGAGCCTCTGCTTTGATTTTGGGTCTGTCTCCGTGCCAACACTTGCAGTATTAGTGAGCAGTCAAGTGGCTACTTGTGTGACGTATTTCCAGTAATTGGCACAGAGGCCAAGTGCCTGTTAAGACCGTAAGCGTGTGGAGGTTTATCAGAACACACTGGGACACACTTGATTAATGAGGAAATCCCATCACTATCTTCTTCTCTCTCTCTCTCTCTCTCTCTCTCTACATGTATTTATATCACAGTGCTGCTTGTCATTAACTTTGTTTCTTCTCTCTCTTGTAGTTTGCACTTCTCCTCTCTGTCTCTCTCTCTCTCTCTCTCTCTGTCCTCATTCTGCAAGTATCTATGACTCTGGAGCTGCAGGATCTGGATCTGCTGCTACTACTCAACACTCATCACCATCAGTATTAATTTCATTCTTATTCTTATTCTTATTAACTGCTGCTGCTGTTATTGTTAAAAAAAAACATTACTACACCTACATGTATCACTGTTATTGTTATCATTATAACAACCAGTCTGACAGTGCTTGAATACAATAGTATATAAAGCTATTCCTAGTGCTGCTCATGGTGGGAGCTGTTGGATTTCTCTCTATAATACTGAAAGGTCTTGACCTTACTCTCTAAAGTACCTTGGAATAATTTATGTTATATAAAATAAAAATAAAAATATAATAATATAAATATAAAAATATAATATAAAAATATTAACTAAAAAATATTCTAGTTATCTAGAAGCACACTGAACTACTGTACATGAAAGAGACATAACATACAATTTATCCCATTTCTCAAAGTCTTTGATAAAAGAACATCTTCTATTGTTGTTGACAGTGTATGAATTATTATTGTTGTCTGTCTCAGAGGAATAGCTTGGTATGGTTAGAATTTCTGCCATGTTTTTGGTGCTTGGATCATACGTTTGGAATAATAATTTTTATTCTGAATCCAACATGTCTTCAACTTCCACTTGTTCATCTCTGTTGATTAATGTCAGTCCTAAAACCAGCTTATAGGCACACTACCACCAACAACCGGACTGGTGTTGCGCAGTAGACTGTGGTGAACTGTGGGAAATGTTTAGCTCTGAATACTGCTTCAAAGCAGCATTAGGGAAACGGAAACACACACTCAAGTGCTCAAGACAACAAGTGTGGATATTGGGACAGACCATTTGTTACCTTCAGACAGTGCCAGGCTAGCTGTTTCCCCCTGTTTCCAGTCCTTATTTTACGCTAAGCTAACTGGCTGCTGGCTTTAGCTTCACATTTAACAGTCATATATGAGAACGCTAACTCCTGACAAGGCAAATAAGCTTATACCCCAAAAATGTCAAATCATTTGATTAAGCCTTAGAAGAAAGTTTAGACTCATCTAATGATGTCATATGGAGCAATTTGGCATCAATAAAGCTAAAGCTGAATCGTCATATACAATTGTAATTACCTTGAACAAATTTGACAATTGCTAAGAGGACTGTGATCATCTTTTATGGCACAAATACAGGTGACACTGTTTAAGTCAAACTGTCAGGGAGGAAACATTTTTCCATTCTGCTTGTGTTAATTAAATCAAATATTCATAACTTGTTTATATTACTGATATTAGACCTGGTCCCTCAATATATGAGAGGGCCTATTGTTGTGACAAACAGCAGCTGACAGACTGTGGTTCAGAGGCTTACCATGCATAGTTGTTAGAAATCAGTCAATTTAATAAGGTTGAAGAAAAGCTGATTTGGATTTTTCAATGTTTCAACACAGGATGAGAATTTGCCATAGGAACATTTCAACCATAATCTCACATCTACAGATGAGTCCTTGAGCCCACTGATTTCTTAAAATATGCTTCCACTGAGGTTATTCAAATAAAATCGGGGACAAACTGTTATTTCTGATTGAACATCACTGATATTTCATCAACAGAGAAATAATAAAGATTGTGGAACTGTAATTTCCATTGCCACATTTGATGATCTCTGTACTCCGTGAATAAATCATAATGCAACTAGGGACACAAAGTGCATGATAACAGTAAGCGATTCTGCAAATTAGCACAATGCTGGTCAATATAACAATGTTGTATATCTACATAGCAGAAGCTAGTATTTAATCATCCTGTGTTGAATTTGCATATTCAAAATCCTATCAGCGCCGTCAAGGTAATCACAGAGGAGAAGAGGAAACAGAAGTAGTATTTATTGGTGTTGGTTAAGTATTTTAATTTGTTAAATTGAAATTCTTTGAACCATATACCTTGAATACCTCTCCTGGACTGACTGGTGAATTTGCAGAGTCCAAGGCCTGATTATTAATCTTCAATTGAACAAAAGAGTTATTAAAAAAGGAGCTCAGCCAACGAATAACAAAATTCCTCAGAGCACAATGGTCGCTCGCTTTGAGCCGCCTTCAAAATGTGTAACCCGTGATCGTATGACATCATATGAGCTATGGTATCATGTAAATATCATGTAGTATGGAGATCCAGTACAGTCACAAACACACTTAGAAATGGAGGATGAGATGATGATATTCAAACTGTCAAGATAAAATGGCACAACACTAAAATAAATGTATCTATATTTTATCATTGTCTTAAATATTGATTTGATTAGAACAAATGTGTCAACAACACAATTTTCAGAGATAATATATAATAGATTTCTCTGTTCTGTGAGCGTATGAGATAGGGGAGATATGTCTGCAGTCTGTAAAAGTCTGTAAAGAGAAGTTTACCGTGTCCTGGATGTTGAAGGTGACCCGAGGTCCAGGAGAGGAAGCATCCACACGGATATCTGGTAAATCATCCACATCCCCTATTCTGGAACTACGGACACAGGGAAAAGGACATGCACGAGATGCACAAAGAAGTCATGTTTTAAGCTACACTGGAACAATATAACTTTGCCCACAGTTAGCTTGAGCATAAACTTTTTCTTTGTTATTAATCAGATTCATTTCCAGTTGTTTTGACTTCTTCTTTTTACGCCAGAGTTAATTGGTTTCCATTACTAAAGGTCTGGCAATGTTTAAAGTGATCTAATATCATTACTACATTAATTTAGTAGATATTTGTATAATTACTATAAACAAACGAAATCAACACTTGCTCTCCTCTACACTTCTTCTTCTAATTTGTGAGAAGGTTACTGGGTAATGTGTTTCAAAAACACATAACACCAACAGAGGTGGGATCTGAGACAGAGGTTACTCTGTCTTGTTTGTTACCAGTAAACACCAGACGAAGCAGCCTTAATGGTTTCTATGATAATATGATACCAGGGGAAGGGGCCACTCCTGCCATCGTTTGTTACCTTTGTCTGTCCATCCTTTTTAGAGGTGGTCTGCCCGCTGCTGCCGAGATGCTTTTGGAGCGGTTGTAGCTTGGTTTGTAGCCAAGACCCCACTTATCCTTTAGAGAGGCCGCCTGGAGAGGAACAAAAAGTCAAAAACAGGTCCCATAAAAATATACGAGGCCCACATTCTGTCATTATTTTGTATCATTTTACGCTGACTGTGCTCAAACTGCTGAGGCACATACATTGCTAATTGCGGATGGTAAACAGATGAGTATTTACCCTCATGCTGGAGCGACGCAGTTTCTTTCGCACGTCTCTCCTGATGTCGTTGACGGCCACAGACTCCAGCTGCTGATAGCGCTGGATCTCCTGGTTGATGGTGCCTTCGCTGGCTCCCAACTTCCTGTAGTTATGAAAAGAGGACAGAGATACTTTCAACAGAATAGCAATGAAAAGCAATCAGATGAACAAGTGAATAAAAACAAATCTTACTTGAGGTCATCGATGACCTTGGCCTGTTCATTCAGCTCTCTGATGTCCACCACCCTCTTGGTGAACTTCCTCCCTCTAGCATCAATAACCTGGTTTCCCATCACCATCTGCCTTCTGGGGTCAATGGTCTCCTGTAAGGTCAGAGCAATGTTACACGCCCAAACACATTAATCTGACAAAACAAACCTGCTGATCAAACCCCAAAACACTTTTGTCTGAAAGATTACCAGGCAGCTGTTGGAAATAACAACGCTTCCTTCCCAAACCTGTGATTAGAGGTGAATTGTTTCTATTGTTATGATTCAATCAAAAGAGAGCATAGACACCATGGGTGATAAACAGCAGACACCACCACCACCATCACCATTCCATTTAAAGTGAAAAGAGGAAAAACTACAGCTCTACACAGGAGTTGCATAACAGAAATGTATTTCTTGTCACCCGTCATTGAAGCTTAATGAGGAGGGCAGTGAAAGCAAATGCTAAGCAACACTCTTCTCTACTATCGTGCTTTCTAGCTAAAGCATAAAACAGCATTGCCCAGCATTTTGGAATCCACAACCTTCACCTATTAAAAGGTAGGTGACTGAGATTTAATGCCACCTTGCAAGTGATTTTTTTCATCCCAGAGAAGAGTTTAACACTGTGTGTTGCTACATACACAGGCCCAGGAGAGAGGTCTTTGGGCCCTGGCACTGCCTGCTTGGAGGCGAGGCGATGCACAGTTTAAGAAGTCAGCTGGGACAGATACACTCTGAGGCCTGGGACTGAGGCCCAGGATGTGGTTTACCAGACGCTTCTTTAAGGTCAGCCGAGGGCTGAACTGGCTCTCTGGACTCTGTAAACAACGGCAGGGACAGACTGATGGACAGGTGGAAGAGTGGATGACTTTACCATCTGTAGCTTTGGGGTAAGACTGGTAGGACTTCTTCAAATGTATTGATGAAATATTAACAAGGTATCATTTTCAAAATCTTTGGAAATACGCTTACTCGCTTTCTTCCTGAGAGTTTGATGAGAGATCAATATGATTCTAATAGCTGTACAGTAAATATGAAGATACCACAAATGGTTGGTTAGCTTAGCTTAGCAAAAACACTAGAAACAGTGGGAAACACCTAGCCTGGCTATTTCCAAAGGTTATAAAAATCTGCACCTCTACAGCTCTTTTGTTTAATCCACACAAACACAGAAGAGTAAAAACCACGAGGAGGATTATGTGCAGGAATATTTCTCAGGCAGGCAGTGACTTTCTAGAGTGTCGCTGTAACTGTGAGGTTGCCAGAAATGAAACAGTCCAACACATAACACCCTCTAGGACCACAAATTGTCACTTTAAAGGTGCAGGTAGGTGGATATTGTGACCTTCAGACAGAGCCAGGCTGTTTCCCCCCATTTCCAGTGTCTGTGCTAAGCTAAGCTAACTGGTTGCTGGCTATAGCCTGATATTTAACAGACATTTAACAACATCGAGCCATTGGCAAAAAAGCAAATAGATGTATTCCTCTAAATATCAAACTATTCCTAGAACTTGTGACAACCACCGTTTCAACAACAGTTGAAGTTCACAACTTATGTTCTGTGTCTTTCTTTTATACTTGCAAGTCTAAATCTTCTCTTCTCAGAAATTCCTTAATATAATCATGAAACAGAAACTCCAATCTAACTGCTGACACTTGCATATTTCTCTTAACATTACATTAAAGTGATATAGTGATATAACAACAGGACTAACTAAATCTAGCTCCAGCTCACTCTTCCTACCACAGGGTAAATGCAAGGATGTACATACACCCTTTAATAACTAACCATGTGGATTGTGGGTGACATGGTGTCAGCCTCGTCCTCGTCTGAAAGGTCCGCCATGTTGACGGAGTTCAGGTCAGCGATGTCGTCGACGTCCTCCTCGCCCGTCAGTGAAGTCAGTGTGTTGCCTAGAGCATTGAGGCGCTTGCCGATGTTGGGATCCATGTGAACGTCAATACCGCACATTTTCCAGAGCACATTGAGAGTCCATGTACCAGCGCTACTGCTCTCTGTTTTGTGGAGGAAGATGCCAGGAGGGAGAGGAAAGGGAGCATAGCAGAGGATGCGGATGAAATTAATGCAAAAGGAAATTTTAGTCATTTTACAGTCATTTTATGCTTATTGTGCAGCTCTGGGGTATGATCCATATTTTATGGACAATAGCTTAGTTAAAAGAACTTGCCTGCAGAAGGTTGCCCCGTAGTCCTGGAGCATACTTCATATGTACCATCAGGGACTACACCTGTATAAAGAATACATGCAGAAACCATCCAGTCAATATGTCTGAGATGCTGCATGAATGGAAAGACACAGGAATTTCGTTTCTACATACTGAAGCCAGGTAATCAATCACATTATAACAAGCCCATATAGAACAGTTATAAATCATTCTTATCTCTGAAAAAATCTCATCTTTGTCTGGAAGTTTAAAAATGCTACCTGCAACACTCCAATTAAATTAACCATCTATGCGCTTAATTTCAAACTTAAATACAACATGTCACTCACAAGCGTTCATGACCAGATCCCCTCGCACTTCAGGCTTCCAGTCGTCCCAGGACGTCTCGAAGCCCTCTGCGAAGCGGATGCAGAAATTCTTAAAGTGGCCTTTGCTCACCAGGGACTCAGAGGAGCAGGCGGTGATCAGTGTGCTCTCAATGGTCAGGACCAGAGCTGAGCCGGCGTCAAAATCTATGCTGTGGTTGGCCTGGTGGAGGGGCAGGGAGAGGGGTTACATGTGCGTCAAGTGAGGGTGAAGTACATGGAAAAAGAACCCACTTCCATGTGTTCAGAAAAGGCAGATTTAGTTGGTAACATTTCATTCTGCTGTGCTGTAGAACCACCATCAAATAAATAAAATTGCAATAATTTTTGTGTGCAGTTAAAGTAATACTTTGGTTGATTATTTCTAATCAAAACATTATAGTTTTGCTAAATCTGAAAACGACAGACTGTTAACAAGGCCTAGCCCTGGAAATATACCTACAAGTAAAATGTTACCAAGCTTTTCAGTTTGTTAGATTGTGTTTAATTGCAGGATTTGAAGCAATTTGTCCATATTACCTGAATTTCCGGATTAACTCTGCACCGGTCCTAAAATAGCAGCCTGATCATGATCTCAGTCATAACTGGAGGCAGGTAATTGTCTACCCCCTGACTTTCTAATTATTCACTATTATGACTTGGATCAAAATCAGACCACAGTTTTGGGCCAGTTACTGCAGGAATCCAGGTAATTTTCAAATGTCCACATGCTGAGGAGACACTACAGAGCCTGCCATGTGCACCACTGCACTGTCGTTCTCGATCTAGTGTTAGGTATAAAGTTTTATACAATGTCGTGACAGTCTCTGGAAGATCAGCCTGAAAAATCGCCCATGTTAACAACAGATAAGCGTCAATCTGGACACCAACTGGCATAACCTCTTTTTTTAGTCATTACACACCCCAAAACACCTCAGACACCAGCTCAAGCTTCATTAGTTGTTATGCCAGCTTTGTGAAGGAAATTTGATTCTTTTACAAAGTGGTGTGACCTGTTTTTATTTCTTTTAAACAGAAGAGCGCTTGTGATGCAGTGTGTTTGTGGCATGAGAAGAGTATTGATCACAGTAAGTCATTGTCCCACAACAAGCCATCACAAGAGATGTAAGAAATTGTCGGTTACTTTTCGTGCACTTTTATGGCGGCCAACTGATGGGCTGGCCCCAGCTTCAGAGTTGGTGCCCTCCGTAACTGGTACTTGTCCTCTCTATGGAAATAAGTGTGACATAACAGCTGGTATTTCTCGTCTCGATGGACATGCTGTTAGTATAACAACACAACCGATATGGATCGTTCATTAATATCCAGTGTTTCCCCTAAAAATGTTCTATTAGTGTGTGGAGGGTGTGTTATGATTATTCAAATAAAAAAAGAAAAAAAAAGAAAAAAAGGTGACAGCACCGTCTACATTGGAAGCCGTATACCAAAGTCTGTCAGATACTAAAGCAGCAGAGAGTACAGGGATGAACTGAACATGAATCACAGATCTAGATCTAAATCTAATCTATGTTGGACATATCTATTGTTTGCCTGGCATCAAAATATGTCATTGTTGAGGTCAATGAGAGCAATGATGTGTGGTGGAGCAGATTAGAAGGAAGGTTTGCATGTCTAGTGGCCGGCCTGCCTACCAACAGCTACAGCAGGGGAAACACTGATATCAGAGCTGATAACAAAAGAATTGCTCTTCTTAGGAAAATGAAGAACACAGGAAACTGTGCTTCTGAAGGCTACTGATGAAAGACAAAATGAACATCATGAACACTGGTAATAGCAAATGCTGCCAAGTGCCAGTGGACATGAAAAGAACATGAATTAATACTTTGACTTTTGACTTTAACTAGAATGAGATTCCGAATAAGAGCAAGTGGGGAAAAAAAACTATTTAAAAAACACTTAAAAATAACTTGCTTTTTTTTTTAACCATGGCTTATATGTTGAATTGTAAAAATACTGCTAAAGATTGGATGAGGTAAGATGCCAATCAAATATGACTGTTCAAAAGATTTTACAATTTGCGTTCAACATCAAAATGCATATGGAAGTATTCAATTTTTTACTTGAAGCAAACCAATTGTAAACCTGCTGTTGTTTACATATCAGCGAGTACAATTATATGAATGTTCACATCTACACCCAGAAGTTAAAATGTAAACATGTTACATTTCTACAGTATTGACTTTGGAAAATCAAAGCCAAACATAGATGTGTACCTGGGATGTGTTGGTGATGGGCAGGCAGATGCCCAGGTCGTTCACAGTTAGCTGCAGGAAGAGAGTGCTGAAGGCCTGTGCCGAGGTCTGCTGGATGCCTGGCAACTTGTCCACCACCTCTTTTGTGGCCATGTGGATGTCCTTGTTGAGAGCCATGCGCTGCTCATTCCAGTTGTCATACGCTGCCTTGTAATTCAGCCAGAAGAGCACAGCTGCAGGAGGGCACACAGGAGGGTAGACAAAACACAGAGTTCAGCTTCAGAGATGTCAGTGGTTGGTTTTTGTAGTGTGTGAAAATCAGATGCAATTCCATCAACATTTTTTTCTTTTTTTTTTTTTTTTTTTTCCCAGCCAGTGTTGGATGGGAAGAATACTTGATAGAAACTATATTCATTGTCAAAATACAAAACTTCCACGTTACTGCTGTGTCGCTGAACAAACAAGTCCAGTGGGAAATGGTCACAACTTTCATCGCAAACAACAAAAAACAGCTGATCAGAATAACATTTTATGTCACATTGGACGGAGTAGATCTTTCTATTTTAGTTTGGGGGATGGATAATTATTTAAGAACGTAAAAAGGGAGCATCCATGGTAAAACAGACTTCAATACAAATCTATAACAACACAACTGATTCTTTGATACAGGACTTCAAAGGTACATAGGACCGGTTTTAGCATTTGATATTAGTCGTGATGTCGACAAAAAGTGAAACTGAACCTCTGTCAAATGCCACTGGCTGGGCAAAAACAATTGGTCTGTTGAGTGTGATGAGGACGGCCTCCTTGTCAGAGGAGCCACTGATCTCCTCCTGCAGAGCGTTCCGGAGACCGATCCGAGTACGGAAATACGCCACCTGGTGGAAGTCTGAGCCGGCTTCTTCGTACACCTGTAAAGTGAAAGAAGAGAGTGGGGTCAGAGAGCCATCTGCTATATATAAAACTGTGGATTCTGTGTCCGCATGTGGGGTAAGACAGCCCTGCCTGAAGGCACTTATTTGACCAGTTGTAAGGCCGATTTATACCTGGTGCTTCACTATCTGTCCAAGGGCCAGGTTGAGATCTACTTGACATTTGCCAAACAGTTTGAGGTAGCTGCTGCTGCCGCCGGGCTGAGCCTTGCACTGGATCCTGTTGGATAGCTCCAGCTCGATCAGGCCTGTCTCAAAGCGCACAGCTCGCATGGAAGGAGTGGTTGCTGTCATCTGGATTCCCTGTGAACAAGAAAACGGCATTCAGGAAAATCCTCAAAGCGTAACTGACACTCAAAATACAACAAAAATCTCTTGAGAGAAAAAAAATGTTACTGGTTTTATGACTTAAAGCAACATGAGGTCTGGACCAAAATCTTCACCTGGTTGCTTCTCCCACTGTGACTGCTATTTTGCAGTTTCATACTGAAAGGAACATGAACTACCTTGAACATGAGGCTGAGTGAATAAAGCAGGATTTTGGGCTTGTCTGCGTCAGTTGAGGTGTCGTGCTCGTTCCACAATGGGATGGGTTGTTCTCCTCCTGCGTACACAGACAGTATAAAAGTCAACCTCACAGGCTCTAATAGACAGTTGTGAAATGCTAGATAATGTGATGGAGTGGGATTATTCTTTCTGAATCTGTGTGAGGTCTAATATCTGCCGAAGTGTCCCATTGCAACTACATTTAAAGATTTTCCTCCCTGATGTGAATATTTGCCAAATGCTCAGCGGAAAGGCTACACCATTATTCTTTACCCTAAAATGCCATAAAACTCCCAGTTCTCTCTCTGTTGTGCAATTACATCGATCAAGCTTAGTGAGTTAAACTAATTACTATCAATACTGTTGTGGAAATGAACATGACTGGATTTGTGCCAGTGCCTTGGGCATTGTTCTGAGTGGAAAACGATTTTTTTCAGTGACTTAAGCAGCAGCTGTAGGCTACAGAATACTGTGGGGAACAGTCAGATGTTTAAGATGAGATTAACTTTATCGATCCGAGAGGAAAACAGGGCCATTACAACAGCAAAGAGAAGGATATGGTTCTGTACAGGCTCCGCAGGTATGTGCAGATTTTGTCTTAGATTTTGTAAATGAGCTAAAGTTTGCAGGAAGTGTAACAAATCTATGTGAAAGTTGTGTTGGGCTAAGTTGCAGTACCTGAAACCTTCTGAATGACCTCATTGACCTCCTTCATGAAAACCTTCTGCAGGAACACCAGGTGGTTGAGCAGGTCTGTGGTCAGGTTGTGCTCAAATGAACCAATCTGCACATGAGAGAAGATGAGCATGTGATCCATCTTAGCTTTTACTTTTTGTCCTGCTAATACAAATGTGAAACAATCCGTCAGGATGATCTTACCTCAGCCACACAGCGCAGGTAGTTTCCTTGCAGGTAGTTTCCTTGCTTCGCCGGGAAGTCGTCCGGTGCCCAGCCCTGGTCCGAGTGGCTCTCGTGGTCCTCCATGATGTACTCTCCTGACATGGTGACTGGAGGCAGCGTGAGGCTGGCTGATGGCGGCATGGTGGACATGTCCACAGGGGACACTTTTGACTGGAAGCAAAGCTTGTGGTTGGGCAACTCAAAAGTGAAACTGGTTTGTGCCCCTAAATGGAAGAGAAGTGCAGGAAGGAGAAGGTATAATGTTACAACTTGTTCTTTTGGAGGGACACAGTATATCTCAACAGTGATATCACCGACAGATAAAGAAAAATTTGCATTTTTGCATTCAGTTTTTCCATTAATAGGACATTTTAAGAATAAAAAAAACAACATATAAGGAGGAAAACAAGCTCTCTTATGATTTTTTTTTTTTTTAAATGGAAATGAATACCAGACATCTTCTCACACACACCTGTCATGCCATGGCTCTTCATTCGACCCATTTTGTACTCCGCTTTAAGTGAGGGCAGGAGGGCAGCCCCGATGGTGATGCCATCCATCATGGCGCTGAACTTGAGGACAATGGGCTTCTTCTCCAGGCCTTCGGGAAGCTGGGGGAATTCGTTGGCCTCCACAGGCGTCTGATTGATGCTGGAGGCTTTGTCGGAGAGTTGTGGGGTGGGGGTGTCCTCTCTGTTCGGAGGCTGACTGTGAGGAGAGAAAAAAAAAACAAAAAACATTCGCTCGGTCAGGACTGGCTCATTTACTACTTAAGCAGTGACTTGGGATATGTGAAGCAACTGCACTATCAACACATTTTTTCTATGTTAATGGTTTGACTGAATTTAGCCTCTAGTATCTCAAAATTTCCATCACATCAATCCCAAACTTGTGGGGCAATCTGTTGTCAAACTATAAACTATCAAAACTGTGTCCTACTGCTTTGATTTAGTTAAGAGTGTGTTATTATGCAGAGCTTTGCAGATACTGGTTTCTATTCCAGTGAATATCAAATTATGGAAAGTTGTTTAATATCCTAAGCACACCTACAACTCTATAAATATATTAACATAATTCAGAATTACCATGGAAACAGACCACAGGCAGGCTTTGAAAGGAGGCAACCGTGTGGGCACGCTGTAGTAACCTGTCACTTATGTAGATGAAAGCCGTCTTATGAGGATTTTATTAAGTATAGATTACAATCTACTGGCATTAGCTGTTGAATGACAGAAATGAAGTAGCTGCTATATTTAACATTTTTAAGTAAAGCTCGTTTATTTTCAAGGCCATAAATGAGTCTTTGTTAAATAGAGACACAGATGAGCAGACATACATGTTGGAGGGTTGGCGAATGAGGTCAGAGATCTGCTTGGAGAGCTGGTGGGAGCTGCGGACCATCATGCTGTGCAAAGTAGCCGGGTGCTGGGGTATGTTGATCATGATGGCTCCCACTTTGAAGACAGCTGCGTTGTTTGTCTTCAGTCCCCGCTGGGCGCTGTATAAGGCCTGGGATTTGGCGATGTTGCATTTGACCACGGTTCTGAAAGACAGAGTGAACTGGGATGAGCAACAGGGCCGAAAAAATTTGTTGTTTTTTTTTTTTTTTTACCCCAGTTGACGTGGACGGATGAATGAATGTGCAACATAGATGGAAATACTGAGAGGACATCAATCAGTGAAACACCATGCAGATTCAGGAGAGCATTCAGTTTTCTGGGCACAGGTAGAATGAGAAATCATGACACTGACACATGTTGCACTATGAATGAATAAGGGAATGAATTGTCCACTTTACCAGCTGATGTCTGGTCTATTATCCTAGCTTCAGTAGCAAATACAACAGTTCTTACCAGTGCAGATGGCTTATGAATGTATTAATCAACTGAAACTGGAATAGAAAGCCGAAATATCAGACAGACTGCGAGATATTTCAGCATCGTTTTAAACTGAAAAGATCAGGAAAGGAGAACTACTGACATGAAATTCACAATTGACTTCAAAAAAAGTAAAACTGGCTTTCTGCTTTCATAAAAATCACCATCAGGAATGGATTCCCTTAGGGAATACGTAACCAGTGAAAGTGGCTTCACTCACACACTCTTAACAAGGAACGTCCTCACTGAAAATACATGTGGCAGACAGGCGACTCAGACAGATGAGGGATGTACAGTTAGGGCAATTGTGTTTTTTTGATGTACTGATGCAAGTGGGCTCTAAATGGTAGTAATAACATACAGAAACTCTTGTTTAGCTGTGCTGGTGGGAGATGTTGGGAAATCCTCCAGTCTATGCAAGTAGTTGGAAGAGAAAGCCAAGGAAAAGTTAGAGAGCAGAAAAAAAAGTGTGAAACAGTTCTGAGGCACCATAAGGTGAGAGCAGTTTTCCACAAGCAACAACACTGAGGAGACACTTAAAGTGATCATGTGGTCATCTCTGTGGGTCTGTTTTTGTTTTAGATGCTCGAGCTCCATTTACGATAACAAGTCTCTGGATTCATCAAGTATTTAAGATGCTGGGGGAAAGCTTAGCCATCACAAAGGACCATATTAATGTTATAATTAATGGAAGACGATCTGCTGACAATCTGCTAATATGGTAAACACCACACTTTAGTTTTGACCCACTACTTCTGCACTGGGGCCTGCTGTATGTTGTGGCTCAATTTATGGCCCACTGCATGCTGGGTTCATTTGGATCAAACAGACAAGTTGGGAAATATGTGAGTGGCATTGTAATCATTCCTACTTATATGTGAACGCTGGGAAATTCCACGCATCAACGATGAATACAAAGTGCCAAGTTGTCTCGCGTACGCAAATTTAAACGCATAGGCACAGTTTGGGGCGTACTGTATGAAAACGGGATTAAGTTTCAGTTTTTATTTTTCACTGCGGGAGCATCTGTTAAATAGAATGAGATGAGAAAAACACTTTGCTGAAGTGGCAGCACAAGTTCTAAACTGAATCAAAGCAGCGTGCAGATATATCAGCCTGTCTGAATGCACGACTACAAGGCTTGTAACCTGATTAGAGTGGTTATGTTTTGAGGAAATTGCTTTCAGTAAAAAAAAAAAAAAAAAAACGGCTGTTAAAAATTACCTAGCTGGAAAGGAGTCACTGAACACCAGCGCTTAGAAATACTGCACTCAATTTTAGTTGGAACTCAGGGATTGTAAAAAGGTATTTGTTCATTTAGCATTTAGGTATTCATGTGCAAATTCTGCTTCACATGTTGGAGCAATACACAAATACATAACCCTTCTGGCCAAGCTGTAATTCTTATGAATTGCTTGTTACATATGAGCAACCACAGTTAAATCTAATAATCAACCGTAAAAACACAAAGAATGAATTAGACTGAATTAAAGCACCAACAATCATTAATTAGCTATCATTAAAAAGCAAATTCATTACAAATTTCAAACTAATTTCAGAAGCATTGCTGCATGCACACAACAAAACCTCATTCAACAAATCATCATCCAGAGACAGATGGGATAAACAGACTCTGTTATAAATGTTAGCTCCACTTTGTTAACTGGCTGCAGTGAAGGAGAATCTGTACTTACTGGATGTCGGGGGTTATGCCCTCCAGGAGGACAATGTTTACCCCTCCTATATGAGCCGACGCACACGTCTCAGTCATTTTCTGGTGCAGGATATCTGTGGATAAATGACCATAAAAAGAAAGATTAGATCAAACAGAACTAATTTTTAACCACCATAGGGTTGCTCTCTTGAACCAATCATTAAATGAAGACACAAGAGTTTTATCTTGTATTGTTAAAATTTAAAAGTCTTAAACTGAAGAACAGAGGAGGTTTCAGGACTGCAGATGTTATAATTAAAAATAAATTTATCAACCGAAGACTAGCTTTAATGCTTGAATAATTTTAGACCTTAACGACTACAACTGTAGTGATGTTTATTTCCATAATGAAGTACGGAAAGAAAGGTCAACACACCAACCCATTAATATCAACACATATCTCTGCCTCACCTTTCATCTTCTCCTTCAGAGTGAAACTTCCGTGGATCTTCTTGAGCTCGGCCTCCATGGTCAGCCCGCCGATGTCGGCCTCCAGGTGGGTGCGGTTCACCATGCCGATGCCGAACACTATAAGTGTGACGTGCTGGGGCTCGGAGCTCACCAGGCTACGCCGCCTCCCGCCCGCACCCGGGGGCTTGTTGGGCGTGGTGGGGTCCTGCTGTTCGTTCTCAAAGATCACTTTGCAGAGCGGCTCCGAGGGCCGACGCCCACCCTCTGCCGAAAGTACACATGTAGAAGAGCTGATGTCAGATTTACACATTACGCAAAAATACCGTCGTTACCTATTTCTTAGAAGAGCTTATGTAAAGACTACACGTTATTTGTGGAGAATAATTGTAGTGCACTATGTTTCAGTCTTTGTTGTACTGCAGGTTTTAAAATAATGGCATATCTGAATGACCTAAATTTGGCTTGTGATGACAACTACACCAAAAATTTAAAAAGGACTGAGCAAAGTTTTACTCCCTGCGGATCCCAATCCTCCACTGAAACAAGGTGTGCACTGTTGAAACACTAAAAGCTTCTGTCTTACACTTAATGAACTCCTCAAGGGAACGTGGGGTAAAAACAGCAGAAAGAGGTAACACAGGGATAAACTGACGTGAAACAAATAAATAATACAGCAATTAAATATGACACATCAGAGAAGTACTGCATTATGATGTAATGACTAGGATTACATAATTAAAGATGAATAAAATATATGAACTACAGCAAGTTGTAACTGTGTGCAAAAGTAAGTTTGTGTGGGTGGGATGCAGACAATGTATTGAGAAAACGCGCAATGTATGCAATACATATGTGAATAAAGATCACTAAAACATACGCACATACGATGGATTAACCTGAAATAAAACAGTTAAGACAAAAAGATGTGCGCTTCAGGTCAGGATGGAAGAAAGGTAGGAAGCAAAAAAAAAAAGCCTGTTAAATGTCAAGAAACAGTGCAGGATGTAAGAAGGGCTTGTAAGAAGCAGAGGCTGCAGATGTAAATAAGGACTGTGCAGAGGAAGGAAAAAATGGAAATCGCCAAGACAGAAAGAAAAAAGAAAGTACAGCAAGCACTGTACTGTATGGAAGGTAAAAGTGGAAAGAGAAGCAGGAAGCAAGTGAAGAGGTTTGAAAAGAGGACAAAAATAAAGAAGTGAGTGACTGCTGGAAGCGGATTCCCACCTGAGAGGCAGTTCTCTGGGGAGCTTTTCTCCAGGATGCCGGTGGGATCAGAGATGAGGGAGTAGAAGTTGAGCAGCTTGTACATGTTCTGCCAACATTCTGCTGATGGCTCGCTCTGCTCTGACACCGTGATGGAGTCTGAGTCGTCCATCTGGATTGCCATGTGGTCCGCCACGTCACGGGAGCCCTTCCTCGACACCTGAAGACGTGATAAAATATTCCACATTATGAAATAAATAGAAGCGTCACGGAATGCATCGCGGGGCTGAAGCCTGGCTGACTTGTTTTTTTATTTCTTTTATCGCTGTGCTGTTTACTGTAACAGGTATGAGGATGAAATCTGTCAGCTGGCAACAGATACTTGAAATGTGAAATGAGCTTCAGTATGCAGGAAGCTAACTCAGCCATGTCAGCGCACACAGGTTCCCAAGAGACCTGGTTTATATAATACCTGTGGAAGGTGCTTGAAGTGTGTCGTGAGTCCCTCTGATGCATTTTTACCTTAATAAAAACCTCTTCTCTTCACAGAGCGTTCAGCTTCTCACAGAGAAGAGGTGGCGTTCCCCCTGCCAAGGCGAAGTCGCTTTTCTTGTAATAACTAACAGGCCAGAAAAGTTTCCAGAGAAGGTTCTACCACTTCTGATGTTTTGCCTTAAACATGTGGCCTGAGCAGAGGCTAGTCTCAGTGCATGTTACCTGTTGTGAGAGGCTTCTGTAATCCACTGGCTCCCTCTAGGGTTTATGTCGAGAAAATGAATGAATTTTGTGATTTTACTATTCATATTTAAAGGTCCAGATGGTTGTGCCAATAAAAAATATTAGAGACCTTTAAACACCATTTAAGCTACATCATAAACTGAAGTCCCAGGCGACACCCAGCTCTAAGTGCACCTGGTGATCCATGCATTGTTTGCACCGAGTATATAAAACCCTGGAAGGCAAAAAGCTTCCTTCAGCTAAACTAGAATAAAATTGAGGTCCTAATCTTCAGCCCTGCAGACTACCACAATCAATACCCCTCCATTCCACCTAATTAAAATCCGAAGCTGATTGAGCTTTTTCCTTTGTTGGCCCTAAATTGCAGAACAGTTTGCACCTCACTGATAAATCTCCCCCCTCCACTGATATCTTTAAAACCTGTCTAAAGACCCATCTCTTTCCTTTAGCCTTTAATAGTCTTCATGAAGACACGACTCAACACACTCTGTCTTCTGTTTGTATTTTACTTGTTCTCTGTGAAATTCTGTTATATTTGTGATTTTATCCAGATTGATAGACATAACCTGAAGTCCTCAGGCAGGTACCGGCTGTTCAATGTTGTAGATTGAAAAAAAAAAAAAAAAAAAAGTTGTTCTAAAGGCAACATTTGGACTTTGAAATGGTCGTCTGAAAAATCTCAGCTGTTGCATCTGAGAAATTTACTGACCTTTTCAAATGTGAAAACATAAACATTCTGAATGGGTTCTAAGTTTATTTCCTGTTGCAGCGTTTGCCGATGTCAATATCTGTTGGTAAAACAAACTTCGGCCCATTCAGAGTGTTTATGTTGTTAAGCTAGAAAAGGTCTATATATTTTGAAGTCTGAGCATAAGCCCATGCCGCGCAATCCAACTCCACTCAAGAGTTTTATAGTCTTTTAAATGATTTTTTAAACTTATATACAGAACAAATGACCAGACATAATGTACTTTTATTAAAGTGTCTGTCCATATAATGATTCTTTTTTCTTATCTTGTGTTTCTAGCTTGTGCTGTTATGTGAGAGTGTCGACACTCTGCCCTCAACCAGCGCTCTGTGTCAGCATTTTTAAGTGAAGTGCTACCTCAGTAATAGTTGTTTCACAACAACAATTCCTTCCCATGTCTCTCTAGGGGTTTCAGGCCCCTGCATATCCCTGGTGAGATATCACTTCTCAAAGAACCTGGGTTATGCATACGCAAGTAACTTTGAGTTATTATTGTTACCTTGGAGGTGCGTCGCTCTGAACGTCCGAGGGAGCTGCGTCCTCGAGGCTCCCTTCTCCCCAGCGTGTCCATGCCTGATGGAGGTCCATTAGGTGGCAAAGTACCAGTAACCCCTGCTCCTCCTCCACTTCCTCCGCCCCCTCCACCAGCCCCTCTCTTGCTCTTCAGTGTCTGGGTTCCACTGCGGCCTGCCCCATTTAGGCTGCCCCGGGAGCTGCGGCTGAAGTCTGACGACCTGAAGTGGCGGTAGGGCCGCGCCTTGAAGGTGGGCGTCGGCGACGCGGAGCCAGCGGTGTAGCGGCTCAGCTTGATGTCGGTCTGCGTGGCCTTGATGTCGTCGATCATGGTGCTGAACTGGTGGATGAGGCGCACCAGGGCCATGTCGACGCGCTGGCTGATGGCCTGGCAGGCTGTGGTGAAGTCGCAGTGGAACGTGTTGAAGTGGCGGCGGTTGAGGTCGTGGAAGGAAAGTGGGGCCGCAGTGGGGCCCTGCGGCGCGCTGCTCGACTTCTCCATCACCACTGCATTCAGACTGAATGTCTCAATCAGCAGTGCTGGCTTAAACTCCAGAGGAGGGAGGTTCACCATGCCTTGTCTATAGACAGAGGGAGGCACAGACAAATGGTTATGTGTGTAGTTTGCAGTATATACCACAAAAAAACATGTTAACAAGTATGAAAATCAACAGAAATTAATTTCTTAGCTGTTGTAATATCGGTGTGTTATGGTTCAGAATTATTTCACCTCTTGGATTTTTTGTTCTTGCGCTCTTTGGAGGTGTCAGAGTCGACGATGTCTGCTCTGAGACACTCGAGGTTGCCAGAAAAAGACAGGTGCTCTCCAAAATACATCTTATAACTAAGAGGTGTGGTGTCTTGAGCCTGGATGCCTGTGTAGCTCAGCAAAGGCTTGAAAACAACCTGAGGGGGGAAAAAAACAACATCAAGGCACAAAAATGAAAACAGGGTTTTTGTACTAAACTGGGCTTCCAACATCGACATGTGAAGATAAAAAATGGTAAGAAAAGACAAAGTCTAATCTGAGACACAGGAATGTAAAACACGCAGGCTAAATACTTTTCCACTGTTTAATCTACTATTCAGCTGGGCGTAGTTGACACCACGACACTATCTCTGAGTTTTATTACCACAGGATGATGACTCATAACAATAAAGCAGACTATTTGGATAAGCCTCTTTCTCTCTCTCAATTAACACATTTGCCTGCTTCCACACAGTAAACACAAATAAAAAAGCTCAGTCTCTAAATCTATTCTGAAATCACATCTTTAAGGATTTACCAGTGAGCTGCAGACATTGTGTTAATTCTCTGTCCAATGCTGGTTTAGATAGTAAAGTACAATATGTCAACAAATAACGAAATGCAGATAGACATAATCGCAATACCTGAGCGTCTGCCAGTTGAACTGCAGCTGGACACTGGTTGCCCTCCTCGATGTCGGCCATGTCGTCCTGGCTGGTGCTATGCTGGGAATGCTGGGAGTGGGTCCCATCCAGGGTGTTCTGGTCGCTGGAGAGCACTGTGTTGAAGTCTGACGCTGAGGGAATTGTGGGCAGGTTACACGTCCCACCTGAGGGAGGCGGTGGAAGAGAGGTTTGAGATACGAGATGCGCTTTAACATCAGGCAGGCCTTGGAGGCTACTGGTGCTTTTTCTCACCAGAGGGTGTGACCAGTGGCAGTGTGAGCCGGGCCGTGAACATATAAACAGCTGCGAGTGCTGGAGGGGGAAACACTTTACCACTCCAGCTCCTCATAACAAAGATGTTAGACAGAACTAAATAGAAGGCAACAACCACATTACAGGGAGTGTTGAGGGGAACTTTATAGTCCTTTTATGCACAATTTGGAAATCTAAACAGCCTCATCACATTCACTTAATTTGTTTGTGAGGAACTGCCTGGCTAATTCGCTGTGCTGTCATTGACTGACACCTGGGTGCGTAGATAACGACAAAGCTTATCGTCTCGGGCAGAAATCCAGCCATTGCACACACATAATTGTTCCCACACAATCAAAAGCGCTCTGCTAAATTGTCAAAGTAAGAGATATCTTTCCATGCGGCTGATTCTAAACGATGAGCTTCTTTTGAGTGAGGCTGTTTGTAACTCAGAGGACGAGTGGGAGTTCAGAGGAACAGAGGGTGGGAAAGAGCAGCTCTGTGAGGGATGAACAAAATATCAGGACTCTCAACTCTTCTAACAATGCTCTGGCTCTCACAGTGTGTTTGGCAGGAAGGTACCAGCAGGGAAACAACATGACTTTGCCTATTCATCAAAACAGCACTGCTGCAGTTACATGGGATTCAAGACAGTCTAACAGAGTGAAACTACCATTTAACTCTAATGATATCAATGGCATTCATTCAGCTGGATTTTACAGGCCTGTGATTAGGCTGCTGTACTACTAATAGACTATGAGGTAAACAGATTTAATCAAAGGAAAAAAGAGCCCTGATATTGGATCAGTGCTCAGTGCTGGCCAGTAATCCAACACTAAGGATATCTTAGTTAATAAGTGGCAGTGGGAAAGAAAAAAAATGTTATCCTTGCATTCCAGCTTCAGTGCCTAACATAAGCTGAGGTCTGCACAGCTTAAACTGCTGTGACCTCTTCAGAAAGGTAAAGCCCACCTATAGAGCGCTCCATGAAGGCAATGTTGAGATCAACTTGCAAATAAAAACTGCTCAGGTTCTTATTCTTTAAAAGGCACCGTGTGTAGGATTTGAAAATTCTGACAATGGTAGTATAAAAAACAGACCCTGTGTCAAACAATCATTGAGCATCAAAACGGTAAAAAAAAAAAGTGCTACGTCTACATGTAACGGTTTAAACGTTATGCAGTATTTATTGTTACAGTTCTGTCTATGTCTTTGCTGCTGTAACAAACAAACATTCCTCCAAAATGGATGAAGGTCATCTAGTCTTTTTCACACACCAACAACATTCCTGTTTGCAGATTTTTCAGCAGGATATATTGACAGAGTTCTACATGTAGGTGTCTATTAGGCTACATCCACACTACTATGTTTTAGTTTTAAAACTCATCACTTTTGTGGTGTTTATGTCGGACGTCCACACTACTACAGAGGTTTTTCGAGCCCCTAAAACGGAGACTTTTGGAAACGCTGCTGGACCTGTTTTAGTTTGAAAGCGAAGGGGTAGCATTGTAGTCTGGACGGACGGAAACAGAGACCTTTGGAAACAATGACGTAGACACCCACGGTCGCTCCCTGATTGGGTCTTATCAGCCTCGACTAGCAGTGTTAAATGCAGCATGGATAATGAAATACAAGTGTTACTGTCCTTTCTAAACTGTTTTCTCTAAACATTTTCAGGTGTGTCACTGTGGACGGAGATTATTTCTTATGCGGAGCTAAAACGCTTGTCTGGACAGAGATTGTTTTCGTAGTAGTAGTAGTAGTAGTAGTGTGGATGTAGCCTTTTACTTACACAGGAGACGGACTAATTTCATCAGTTAGCTAGCTAGTTAGTTCACCAACACCATCAGCACAACACTGAGATACAATCCCTGACCTCCTTCTGGGCTGTTAACTGTTGCCAGTGGTTTATACTGGTAGTGGTTGCCAGAAGAATCCTCAGCTACTGGAGTAGAAGTTTGAAGGTGTTAGTGATTAATATTTATTCTAGCAGCATTATAACACAAGATTTAATAGCAAAATAAAGCAGAATTTCTGCCATGAAGGTTCCAAAGAAATGAATTCATTTTAATGACTTCAAACCCCAAATTTTTGGAGGAGTCTATCCATAAAAATTACATTTTTAGAATAACCATGATGTCTGACCTGTCTGTAGGCTGTTGTGCTGGGAGCGGTTGACCGGAGACTCCTGGTTTCCAGCTCCAGTCCTGTTGCCCACAGCGTTGGACATCCAGTTGTAAAAACTGACGGAGGAGGGCTCCGACAGCAGCGGGTGCTCCGTCAGCATATCTGTCCCTAAGCTGTTCCCTGAGGCCACGAAGGAAGAGATTGAGAAGACATTACATCATTGTACAGACTACAAAAAAATGGACATCACGTAATTACCGACTGCTATTCCATGATCATCTTGCATCATAGAGGCACATGAGGTTAATGTATTCAATTTGGGGATCACAAAAGTTATGACAAGGACAGGGTTTGTAGAGTTTTCAAGCTCTTACGTTACACACATATTCTTGTAGATAGTCACTGTCTTACACTGCAATTCTGATTCAAAACATGTAGGTGTTTTTCTTTTCCTCCATTTATTTCCCACTCCGCTGTGTTTTGTTTGACAGTCAGTGTTCCATTTAAAGCCTAAATGTAGTATTTTTACTTTAATGAAGCAAGGTGACATCAGCAGGGGTCACTGATTGTTACAGAGTGAAACAAAGTAAATAACTCATAGCTCACTGACTCTGCATATTTGTTCACAGTGGGCAAGAGCCTGAGGAGGGACCAAGCTGTGAGTCTATTTTGGTTTGTTATTATTCACATAACTGACCGGTAGATGTCAGCATTGCAGCAAAAATGACAAGTAGACCGTCACATAATAAAAATCGAGTTCACACCTGTGATCACTGGTTGCCAGAAACTTCCACACACTATATAAGACAACAGTGGCTCAGGCATGAGTACCTGTGCGAGTGAGGGAGCTGCTCTTGGCTGCGGCGGCAGCAGAAGGCTCGTTCCTCTGAGGCGTGCCCTCCAGCAGGTTGTGCAGACTCCGAAAGCTGCCCGTCAGATTGCTCAGGAGACTCTCCTTCCTCGGGCTGTCCTTGGCTGGCAGGCCTGCGCGGCTCACGTGGGCGGGTGAGTCAGCTGCTGTGTCACCGCTGGTGTAGCTCAGTGACTGGTATGGATGGGAGCCCTGGGTATGATAAATGTACATCTGACTGAGAGGAGGTCATGTTCACACTGTATCACTTTTCATAAGCTGCCAGTGGCTTTTTTATTTGAACGACCAGTGGGACACATTGTGTCTGGCACCATTATGGAAACACTTCAAAGGTGAAGTAATATTGTTTTGATAAAAGAGCTTGAAAGCCTCATTACAATACCGGTGTTACCAATTATACTATTTAACGAGAAAAGACGTGCGTCTGCTCAATATCTGTAGATCAGTTGTGTGTTACCTCCAGATGCTGCCACCTTCACTAAAGTTTGCAGGTTGCCTCATTAATATTTTTAGATTCCCTTTTTTGCATTGGCTTTAAAGCCAAAATATCATCAAGACCTCCGCCATCGTCTTGTTGGACAACTCTCCTCTCATCATGCGATAAGACTCTGCTACTCTGTGATACAACTCTGCTCTACTGCTGCATGGAGCAGATCTTTTCAGTTTATAAGTGTAGCATACGACACTTGATAACTAGTATTTATATTACAAGTTAACGTTTTTTTATTTGATGAATGTGGGCCTTACCGCTGATATTATTCATTTAAAAAACACAACGTGTAACACCAGTAACACTGGCTACCCTGCTCAATAGATCCTAAGATGGTATAAAAATGTCACAATTTAATTTGACAGACAGAGGAAAATGTCATATCTGCACCCAGCTCTGATCCCTCCTGGCTTTCTAACAGTGGCATCCTCTTGACACCAACGTCATTTCCTTAATGAATTTTAAGAAAATGATTCCAGAGCCTGAGGTAACATCTTCAAATTGTCCAACCAACAGTCCAAACGACAAAAGGTATTAAATGTATTTAAGAAAAACAGCATTTTATGAAAATATGTATCTTCATGTATAAATTACATTTATAAGGTAACTGAATATAACTGGGACACTCATTTTCAAAGTGGTACCTTTATCCTGAGTGCAGACTCGCTGTGTGTGTGGGACTTGGACAGTTTCCTCATGATCTCCACTCCGCTGACAGGACCGGAGTTCGCTTCTTTAGGTGGGGGACGACTGCACGCTCCCTCCAGCAACATGGTGTGTTCACTCACTGTGGCTTCACAATAATTATATAAAATAAAACTCCAGAAAGACCCATGTGACTGCTATGAAATTACATTTGAAGATTCACACTCAGTCATTCATCTCTACTTCTGCTTTCTGCTAACAGGTGACAGTCTGTTTATTTCTGTGAAAACACTGAAGAAGTCAAGGTTAAGAGTCTACTCCATGTTTAATACTCCATCTGTTGCTACAGATGGAGTGTTAAACATAATATCATAACATAATATAACATAACACAGGAAGTTGTAAGTTCCCACCTGCGTCAAATTCAAATTCAGCTCCATCAGCACTGGTGTCGCTCTGCAGGGCAGCTCCGTTGTCCAGGCCCAGGATGGTCTCACCCAGGCTCTGCTGAGGTTCCTTGGGTTTAGTAAGCTGATTGGGCCTCATCAGACCGATAGCCTTGAAGCCCTGAGTTACCACAATGAATTTCATCCATTGTCTGGCCAGAGCTACCAGCCCTTTCTTTAGAGTCACAAGGGCTGGGACCCCATCATTCTGCGGTGGGAAGGAGAGGAGGAAAGAAGTGGATTACTGCCACTGTTTCACACTGATAACGGATTAATTAAATTTCTGAAGGGGAGCCAAGAGCACTTAAGACCACTTACAAATACTGCCAGTTGTTTTGTTTTTTTTTTAAAGTTGGGTCCAAATGAGACCATATAGCTTTATTCCACGAGCCATTTAACTCTTTGTGGTCAAGTTAAAGAGCTTTGTAAAATGGAAGCAATAAAAAAAGTATGAGATTCAGAAGCCTCGCACTAACCATGGTGGCCTCCTCTATGACGGAGTAGTCAGCCTGTTGCAGATAGCGGTGCAGGATATTACATAGCATACAGGAGGGATTCTCATGCAGGTAGCGAGCTCGCTTGGTCACGCGGTTGTACTTGCTCCGGATCGGGATGTGGATGCTCTTTTTCTGTTGTCACAATGCAGAGAAGAAAAGTTAAAACTGCACACTTGAAAAAGAAAAAAAAAAAATCAAGAGTTTTATTTTATTAAAAAGCCAAAAAGCCAAAAAGCTAGTTTGATAAAAAATGTTACTTCATAAATCAAACCAGAGGATACTGTCCAGTGTATTTATTTGTGTCTACAGATAAATACTACAGATAACTGCTGACCTCAAGAGCTTCTGTCATGATGCAACCCATGACAGCACACACACGCAGTGTGCCCTCCATGTCCAGTTTGCGTAGAGAAGATTTGAGCTGGTCGATGGGAACCAACCAGGCTCCGATGGCCGGCGTGGCTGTGCTGAGCAGATTCAACTGCCTGTGAACACAACGGAGGCATAAAAGCTTTAATCACCTTATCATAACTGTTCATTCATTTATTCTGAAACCTTTTTTCCTGCTTTTTCTTATGGTTGAGAGGCAATGCCAATAGCTGTAATGCATGTATATGATGTCAACATTTTTTTCTCTCTTGCAGTGGTTAAGAATTTATTTTTTTCCTTTATTCTCAGCTGCAGACACCATGTACATGGTGCACTACCTGCCGGTGGACCCTTTCAGTTTGATGGCCTGTGAAGCTGACAGGCCTGACAACCACTGACAACTGTTGCCAGGGGCAAACAAGAGAGAAGGTTTTTCATAAAAACCTCCTCCAGCAGATTATATAGTATTTGTGATACTATCCTGCTGCCACGCCGCTGACACTAAAAGCAAACGACTAGTGAGCTTCCTCTGCTTCGGTAAGATGAGGCTGAAATGTGGCTTTTATTCTGAACTCAAGTTAACACCTACATACCTATATGTGTAGTTTAAGCACAAATCATTGAAGTCCTGTGACAATGTGAAGACATTTATGTGACAAGGTCCATAAACGTCGGCGCAGTCGTACCTGGAGATGGCCTGTGAAGGTGAACGCACATTAGTGGGAGCAGCAAAGCTGAACCAGATCTCTCTGATGGTCAGCTTCATGCTGCTGGAGTCAGGCGGTGGGGGCATGAGGGGGAGGTCTTTCTTCAGGTCGTCTGACTCGACCCCTTCATCCTACAGAGCAGAAGAGAGCAGGTTTAACAGTTGGGAAGAGACTATTTGCTATCATGACTTATTTTTGAGAATAAAGTGAATCTACTTTGATAACTTGAATTTTTTTTTTTTTTATGCATATCTGACCCAGTCTTAGAGTACTAATCTTGTATGAAGCGTAAAATTATTCAGTGACATTTGTATGTTTGGAGAAAATGGAGGAAAAATGATGAATGCCCAACGATTTTAGGCTGAGACGATCCGACATCAACCTTTTGTTTCAAAGTTGATTTTCTTTGCACGTCCACCTGCACTTTATGTGACATTTGGGGGCTTGTTAGTTCGCCTTAGATTCATTTTAAAACAGGATGCTAATGGGTGGAAATATTGGTTATATATTTTGTTTTCTCACCAAGGGAAATTTTGAGTCATAAGACCACTCTGACATTACCATCACAAGCACTAGATATACAAAGGTTGACCTTGAGAAAAACTGGCAAAAGAAGATGTGGAGCTCAACTCTGCATTGGGTTATAGCACTCAAATACTGTGGTAAAATATGAATATTTATTGGGTTGGAGCTCATGAAATACAGCAGAGTTTAAGATTTGGGTGTTTTGTTTGGTTTTGTGTTTTGTATTTGTTTGGGCTGCAAAAAAAAAAGAAGAAAATCTCATCCGAGTATTTTCCAGTGTCTTACTTGGTCGTCTGAGTCCGAGTGTTCGTTGACATCAGAAGCAGGGCTGACAGCATCATGTGCCAGGTTGTCATCAGAGACGTCAGTGCTGTAACCACTTCCTGTCTGCGAGCCTGTCGACCCATTAGACTTAGATATTCCCGTTTTCCCCCCAGCGTCCGAGCGTCCCATCACACCAAATGCGTTGTAAAGAATGGCTCCAGACTGGCGGCCCCCTGTCACACAAAGTGTTACACATCCAAAAATATGAATACAAACTCCCTTCACCTTTATAAGAATCATCTTTAAATTGTTCAAATCTCTAGGCTTAAATTAAGGGAGGACTGTTGTGGGATGGTTTACCTTTGACTGTGAGGTTCTCGATGCCACATTCAAACATGATCCAGCCCCATTTCTCAAGAGAGGTTGTGGAACGGCCCAGATCACCCGAGGTGGCCTGCGCATCTGTCTCATCTACTAGTGAAAATTCCTCCATTTCCTCCAGGCCAAACAGCACTTTGGACTTCTCAAAGGGGATGGCTGTGATGGCACATGTGCCGATGTCTACAGAAGGAGAAGGGACTGTTAGAAATTCCACGTTCTTGGACACCTGCCTGCAATTTTTAAAGAAATTTCCACCGGAAAGTGCTTGGGGAGAAGAAGAAAAAGAAGAAGAAGAAGAAGAAAAAACACACAGTTACGCACAAAATGTACTAAAAGTCAAAAGGTCTAAACACTTCTGCCTGGTAGTGTGGGACAGCTCGTACAGCATATTAACCAAGAGGCTGAAGGTCATGTAAAAGTCCAGAATCCAACTTCAAAAGAGGGGCGCAAGGGATCAAACTGGGCTGTCGTTTTACTGAACCGACCTGTGGAGTCGAGGCCTCGGAGCTGACTGTGGATACGGTGGACGTTGAGCCTTGCGGCGATCTCTTTGCCTTTCTCGATGCCGGCGTTGGAGCGCAGAGAGCCAGATGACTGGGGCTGCATCTTGGTGGCTGAGGCGTACTTCTCCAGCATGACGGAGGGTCGGCCATGTTCTGTGGTGTTGGGAGTCTCTTCTACGATGCCCCTGTAAGAAGCAGGAAGCAAATGTGTGTCTATATCTGAGATTGACTGTTGTCAGATATGAGGGAGAAAGAAAAATATAGATTTTTTGTAATTTTTTTGTGCTCATTACTTATGCAGGAAAAAAAAAATCACCACCTCTACTGGGTCAGATTATGATAAGTAAAGCATAATTGTATGAGGTGTATTAGCCCTGTGGAAATGCTCCAAAAAAGCTTAGTCAGTCTACACACACAGACACAGACACAGACACAGACACAGACACAGACACAGACACAGACACAGACAAAGAGACACACACACACACACAATGACATGAGGTGTAGTCGAGGCATTACCTGTTCATTCTGAACTGGGTGGCAATCCTGTCGAAGCACAGCGCCACCAGAGACACATGTGTGACACACTTACTGGAGCAAGAAGGTGACCCCTCCTCTACAGAAGCCTGCAGGAGGCAAAGGTTCACCTGCACAGAGAGAGAGCAAAACAAAAAGACACCTAAACCAAGCTGAACTAAAGTACTGTGCTGTAAAATATTGTTCTTCAAAAAAATAACTCACACATTAATATAGAAAAGAGAGCAATGCCCACAACAACCATTAATGTCTCACAGATTAGTCATACTGTGTGTGAGGCTACCTTTTCCCAAATATAATGATACACTATAATGTTCTGGTCCTCACTATATGAAGATACACAGGGGGAAAAAGCAAAATCAATACTGAAATAGCTGCAAATGAAAGTAATCTATGTGTCGAGTCAAACATTCAGTAAAAACTCATTTTATCTCCCACTCAGTGGAGCAGAAAAAGAAAGTCTGAGGGGTTTTTGTATTTTATTACTGATATAGTTGAGAACAAAGACTATTCTCAGAAGGGTAACTTATGTTTTTAAATCCACATTTTAAAAAGCTTCATGAGATAACCGCTCATTCCAGTGATCATATATTAACCCTAAAAAAATGTCAAGTGATGTACAGTAACGCTCGTGATTCTGTGCCTGCTCTGGAACTTCTCTTGGTGAGAGCTGGCCTCTCATTATTCGGGGTCACGGGTCTTACCTTGGGGATGGAGACGTTGGCTTGGAGGCCCTTGATTTTCACATTATCTGGTTTGACGGACAGGTCCGTCTGGCCGTGGGAGATGTTGATGGAGCCAGGGGTCGTGCCCTCTGTCTTGGACAGCTTGTGCTCCTGCTTGCCTGTTTGGCTCTGTGTGGATCCAGATCCAAAACAGTGGGACATCAGTCGTTGGACACAAAAGTGAGCTTCAATTCAATAAATGTTTGTCAAATCTCAGAACAATTAGAATAGAAACACTTATTTCACACTGTTTTCTTTGACTCCTTTTACTCACAGACTCAGTGACGGTGGACTTGCTGATCTGATAAGCCTCATTGAGGACTTTCCCATGAAGGTCGTCCAGAATTGCCGCAGGGTGTCGAATACTGGCAAAGTGGACCATGGACTCAATATACCTGGAACAGAGCAAGCACACACCGTGTTTCACCGTGTTAGAAATATAGTAAAAACACAAAGATCTTACAAACTTAATCAAATGTAATCAGATTTACTATGTCACTACATCTTCAACCTTTTAGCTACAGTTCATCAATCTCCACACTTTTCTAGCCAGGAGCTACATGCATGTAAGAACACTGCTAGCCCAGCTCTGTTAGCCTTTGGCAAACTAAAGATTTACACTGGTAGACCAACCAAGAACGAGACCAGACTTTGAAGGACTGTTAGAATTTCAGAGCAAAGATGCAGTGTGCATGGTGATTAAATTGACTTAAGGTCAAATCATAGCCTCAGGCTAAAAATAACGCTTAACTAAGAATGTGCAGTGTGAGAAAGACTTTGAGTCATTAAGCACCAAGGTTTTTTTAATCAGGATTTTCAAAATGAGATTAAAAAATCCAGTGTTAAGGAGGATGTGGTCAAAAAAGCAGAGATGACATACAAGGTTTCAGAACAAGGTTGCAGAACGATGACAAACAGTATTTCAAAGACATCAAGACATAATGAGAGCCGAGAGAACACATGTAAAAAATTGGTTGCTACCTGTCCAGCGATTCAGCCACAAGGGGCGTGAGCACCACATTGATGGCCCCCTTCACCTCCACGATGGCAGTGGTCCTGGTCTGAGCTAAAGGCTGCTCCAGAGTCCAGTCATCTGTTGTTGTGTCCTCATCTGTGTTGTCCATGGCTCTCTTGTCCAGCGGGGTATATGGTGTACTGTGGAAAAACAAAAATGTTTAAGTAGCGATCACAGCACAGGTTGGACAGTGTGAAGCAATTCATCATTCGGCTGAGTGAACAAATTCAAAAAAACACATTTAACTGAGTTGGAGCGTGGTTTTATTGTAAATTTTAAAAGATGAGATGGAGAAAAAAATGTGGCTTTAATACCTGTTATTCTCTCCCATCAGCTGAACTCCTCTATCCAGGAGAGAACTGGCCGACAGGCCCTGCTTTATCACCTAAAGTGTAAAAGAAAATGTTATGTCTTAAAACTGAAGCACTGGGTGTATTGGGGGTGTTGAGATAAAATCTTTTAAACAGCCAATACCAACACAAAAGTCTTAAGTTTCTGATAAAGGTTACATAAAATACACAAGACATTCAGTCATTAGTGACAGACCTTAAAGCTGGGGACAGAAAGCTGGTCAAAGGAGGCAGAGCTCTCCTCACTGGTAGGCGTGTCCAGATCTAAGGGGCGGTGCAGGGAAGACTTGGAGGTCCTCTTATTGGTGGGCTGCTTCACAGACCAATTTGAGACCTGGCAGTTGTGAAGTAGAAATATGTGCAACGAAAAAAGTCACCACAGAGACAATAAACTGGTTATGTAATCATTATATGTGTCACCACAAAATATATGTATTTTATACTATGGGGCAATAATATGGGGCAGTTGGGCAGTTACAAATAATCTTAGCAACTGTCTTTCTGTGGTGCTGTGGATCTTCTGAATCAAACAAAACAAGATAAAACTGAGGAGATATGGGAAGCTGTAACTGAGTACTCCTGCCTGTGCAGAGGAATGGTGCAAAGTGTGCTAACAAGCATTTTGCATGTGCTGATATTAGAATGAACCCAGTATTTGCATGGATATGGACCAAAAGTGAGATATTTGACCTGGTAGTGGGCCAGGTAGCTCTGGTAGCACGCCATGACGTGGGGCTGTCGGGTGACAGGTCCGGGTTCAGCTGTCTTCTCTGCCTCCACTGAGCTCTCTTCCTCCATGGCCAGGGCTGAGACGAAGGAGGCCTGGGATGTATGGCTGGGCAGAGGCTGAGGCGGGAGCGGGGGCAGCGTTGGTGGCAGCGGCAGGGGGCGTGGCTCGGTGATTAACTCCCCATTGAGAACGTACGTGAGGGGACCCTCAACGCTGTGGTAGATGGAGCTCCGGCTAGGGGAGGTCGAAATATTTAAATATGGGCATCAAAAATATCAATTGAATATCATCAAAATGACGTTATTTTGCATTTGAATGACAGGCATTTGTTACATAATACAGCTATCAGCAATGATTAAGCAATGTAGAAATCAACCATGCTTGAAAAACACCTTCTTTTTAGCAGCATTCAAGCCAAAATCTACAATACCTCTGCTCTGTATCTGCTTTACTGTTCTTGATTTCAGCCTTACGTTTGGGTGGGCTTACACCAGTAGAAACTTATCATGAGGCTGAATGGATTCTTTGTGTTTGTGTAGAGGCTATATCAATCAAAAAGCGTGCTGAAATCAATGTGAGAACATTTGGGGTAATATGAAAATGACAAGGCAGTTGCATAACAAGGCTGAAATCCAATTTGCAAAAAACACACCAGCAGTAAGTGGCTGCCCATGGATCAAACATCTCATTTGCTACAACCTCCTCCACATCACATCCATCCATGCATGATCGAATCAAAGTAATAAATGAAAACTGCAACGTGTTCCACCTCAGGGCGAGTTGCTTTACACGATAAAATTCAAAACTCGTTGGGTATTAAACATAAAAATGTCATGACACCGTTAATGTATTCCTGTATAATGTGCCATCAAGACATATTTCAAAATCATTGCAAAGCTGTCAGTGTGAATCATCAGAAATTATTTGAGGCAAGTGTTTACTGCTTTCTCATTCTAATCTGCAGTGGTTTCCAATACATTACTTTTTGTTTTCAAATTGCAAAAAGGTTTCTATAGTATTTGCCTCCAACACCAGCTGTAATGAAACTCAAATTCTATTGCTCTGTTAAAGTAAAGTTTGGCTGTAGAGCATCTGTTTTATTAAAATCCTGAAAATGTGATTTTTTTTTCATAAAACTATAAAAAATTGAAATTTCACAGCAACATCCCTAAATAAGAACTGACTAAGTGGGGGGGGGGATCAAATACGTGCACTCATCATAATCGTAAAATGTAAATCATAAAGGGTAGGATCCCCTGAGAATGGTCCTTTAACATAATTCATAAGGGGTAACACTTAAAACAATCTGGCAGGGTCAGAACTTGTGAGACAGGTCATTAATCCATCTGCCCTTCAGATGAGAAATAAGAGACTCTTTGATGTTACTGTGAGCCGCCTTGAATCTATCGTCACCTTAATCCCATACTTAACCTTGATCTGGCCCTACAAACAGTCTCCTCTCAAATTTTTGAAACTTCGAACTTTGAGAACTTTTGTGAGCTCCGCTGAAGCTGAGCAGAATATTCTCCGTCCCATCTTATATATCGAGTTATTGCCTCAGCTGACCTGTAGTTTTCCATGTGATACGGGGGCTGCTGTGGCTGCTGCATCTGCTGCCTCCTCTTCTTCTTGCGGCCTGGGTATGTCCCTGGACCCTCATCAGCACTGCTAATTGGCTCAAAGTCCTCGGCGGCGGAGAAGTAGGCCTCGCTGTCGGCCACGGACATGCTTGAGTCGGCAGAACGGTACTGATGGAAGGTGTTGGAGTCCGCTGAGGGAGTGAAGGGAAAGGAGCCGTAGCTTCTGCGCTGGCGCGGTGAATCCAGGACGTTCTCGTCGCTGCGGGAAACCTCGCTGCTGAACTGGACGCCTCCGGAGAGCACAGGAGGAGGTTTGTCGGTAAAAACGGCCGCCGAGAGGCTCTTGGTGCTGCCCAGGCGACCTGAGTGAACCGAGGACTGGCGCTTGAGAGGGGAGCAGAGGGGTGAGCGCACAGATGAGCGGTCCTGGGAGCTGTTGGGTGAGACTGGTGAGACCTCTGGGACTTCCCCTAGGGTGCTGCAAAGTAACCAGAAAGATGAAATTACTGACATTAAAAATCAATTATAATAATTAAATATTAACTACACCCAGGCTGAAAATTCAGATTTAATGCCAAATAGTGGTTCCTACATGATCTGCCTGCTTAGAATTCAACATATTTTTCCTGTTAAATCACATTTTACATTCAGTTGGGTGCAGACAATAATAAAAGCAGTGTGTCATTCTGTTTGTTACTCACTCAGCAGGGCTTTTGCCGTTCATGGGGAACATGCGCTCCTCTGTGCTTGGCGAGGGGGTGTCCCTCTCCCCAGCCAGCAGGGGCAACGCCGCGCTGGACGAACTATTTTCCTCGGAGGAGGAGGCCGAGCTGTGGGAGCGTTGGGGCACCTGGAGACTGAGGTGCTGCTGACCCCGCCTCTCAGGCAGCTCAGGAGGCAGACAAGGCGAGTGTGTGTCTGTTTTCAGCCCGACAACTCTCCCTATGAAAAACATGGAGGGAACACCCTTTAAATAAATTTTATGGCGTCATCTTGGTGTTTTATTTATGTTATCATGTCTCGCATTATCAACATTTAAGTTTACACATAAAATCATTTCTGTCTCGTGTAGATACATTTAGCCGACAATGATAAAAAAAGGATAAGAAATCTTACTCTTGTTGTTTTAGTATTAATATTATGGATGTAACTAATTCTTGATTTTCCTTGGGATCCACAAGAAACCCCTAAAGCAACTCCTGAAGGAGCACAACCCTTCTACAGGATATCAGGCAATGTAGATTAAATCCCAGCAAATCCATACCATCCACTTTGGGTGTTTCCTTTGTAATGATCCACTCCCCAGGCTGTAGCAAGGACTGGCCGTAACACATGTCTGACTCGGAGCCAGTGGTGGAGAACGCCGATGAGGAAGACGGCGTCAGCTCTTCCAGCCTGAAGAAGTCCAGGCCCATGTTGGTGCCGCCGAAGAACCTGCAGCCTCCGAGGCAGCCGCAGCGGTTCCTGCTGCGCTTGTTCCGGACGCCAGCCTCTTCTGGCCACAGGAACCAGAGTCTGAGCAGACGAGGGGAAAAAAAGTAAGAAAGATTAGTAGGTAGTGGGAGCCATTGTCATTCATTTATTACCTCCTTTGTTCTGTTAAGTTTACCTTTCTCATCACATGCAGTCCATTTAGCTACAGGAATAAGAAATGTCATGTCCAGCTACAACCTAGGAAAGAACATCTGTACCGATAATGGTTCCCTGCAGACCTTTCATGAGATTCTAAATGATGGTAAATGTATTATCGCAGAGGGTGGCCAATCTCCTGGCTAATTATCACATATTATGGGCTGGATCACTGTATATGACAGGATATGAATCGACATTGTTTCTGTTCAAATATATCTACTTTACATTATGAGCTGAACCTCACCATGAAAGTCGGTGACTCATTCTTATTAGTCTCTAATTAGAGAATTAGTCATTGCTACTTTGCAAAGAATTTTCAGTTGTGATAAATGGCGTTTTTATGAATACCCTTTTAAACTTGAGAGTGCTACTACCTCTGAGCAAATTCAAAAATGAAATAAAAGGTGAACAATAGTGGCTGGTGATCTAAACAAAGACTAACACAATGTTGAAAAGATTCTCACACAATGTGGGAAGCGCTTGGAAAAGCAAACGACAGATGACACTGTGTGTTTTCTACCTTTTGGTCTGAGCATCGTGTAGTTCCAGAAAATGCCTCTGGACTTCACATTTGGCTGGGTGGTCCGCGGCCAAGGCAATGTCTGCTGTGATGAGGTTCAGGTTGAGTGAACCCGCCTCCAGCCAGACAGAGCGTCGCAGCAAAGGGGGCTGACCGAGACCTAACGGTTGACCCGGACCTTGACCCTGTCCAGCCGGCTGCAGCCTGGTCGCCTCGCTGTGCTGCTGCTGTTCAATGTACTGCCGGATGTTTATGTCCTGCACCACAGCACTGATGCCCTCTCCCACTGCCTGGTTGTGCAGGTTGCAGTTGGCTACGCGAATAATCCCCGTCTAAGGAGGAAGAGAGAAAGGGAAATTTTAAAGGATCTAAACACATATGGAGGAAAAAAAAAAAAAAAAATCAACCATATATTTTTAAACTGACATGGAGTTAAACTATCATGACTTTGGTGCTAATTACCTTGATACTGGCAGCACAGCCGTGCTCCACAATGAAGAGGTCAACTCCGTCCATGGCCAGTCTCGTCATGGTGTACTTCAGCTCCTCTGATGTGCGGCAGTGACCTGGCAGGCAGCTCAGCTGAAAGACAGCCACCATTTAGCACCAAGTTACAAGGAAGCAATCTCCAATTTAGTCTGACTGAGCTTTACGCACCGCTACGTAGCCTGTAGCCAGAGATACTCGGCTGTCAGAAACTAATGAGGGCTCTCAGGCAGAGTTTTTTAAAAATATCCTTGTTTGCATTTGCATAAAATAACAAGACATTTTGTGTGAGACACTTGTTTTCTCTCAGCTTCATTCCATACATCATAGCGTTGTCGACATATGCTATGTATGGCTGCTGTGATTACATCAATAGTTTTATGTTACAGGCTGTTGTTCCATTTCTTCAACTGTGTAAAAGTGTGCTCTCAGAAAACGCCACAGTGTTCTCCATTTATTATATTCCTCTCACACTGTACAGTTCTGACCAACATTGAAATCTGCTATAAAAAAAAAAAAAAAAGCTTTCAGGCATAATGAGCTGATTTAGTAGCTGGGGTCAGGGTTCAGACACACAAAGCTGCTCACTAGTTCAAAACAATGCTGGACTGTTACAGGAGAGGGAGTGAGAGTGTGATAAGAAATGAGGCTCCCATCTTGTGTAGCATTTTTCTGTAGCGTTTGTACCTTTGCATCACAGATACGACGGTCAACACCGTGCTGGCAGATGACGGAGGGCTTGGGCTGTTCCAGCTGGAACTCTCGGGACACCACGTGGAAAACAAAGGTTTCACCCCACTCTATCATGCTGGCCAGCTAATAATCACAAACACACAGACATATTAGCACTTCAAAACATCAATTAATACACTTACTGCAAGGGAAAATGCACAGAGTAAAAAACAAGACTAAAACAAATGCAGTCATTGTGTGGGTGTACAAAGCATAAAGAAAACCTAACACAATTATAAGCTGTAACATACAAAATAGGAATTCTTCGTTTCGACAAAATCTCAACTCTATAAATTCACCACAGCAGTATTTGTGGCAGGGCTATTCTTGGATAGCATTATATTGTACAGGTGGTTCATACAAGCAAGAAAAGTACCTGACTCCAGTCACACACACACACACACACACACACATATAATTGCCCACACACACTACCACTCACACACTCAGCTGACCTAAACAGCTATACATATCATAATCATAGCATAAGGCTGCACATATATAATACATGAGAGCCCACATTATACACACACACAGACACACACACACACACCTGTGGTACAGTGACCCTGCCAGTAAGCCCCCCGGCCTGCATGTCAATGAGCCAGGCGTACTCCAGCGTGTCACTGCCCAGAGGAAGGCCCTGAGCAGAGAACATGGCGTGGGCCCTCATCTGCAGGCCAGACAGACTCAGGTGGCCATCCCTCAAGACCCCGTCTGATGTGGGTCGCTGTGGGCAAAAGAACAGATTCATTTATTTTTACCTTAAAATCATTGCCTTAAGGTGCAGGTCAAATGACAGAAAGTGGGAAAAAAAAAACCTCAAAGTGATTTGCTGGTGCTAAAAGCAATCTTTAGTTGAAGTGAAATTTGTGATTTTTTTTTTTTTTTCCCATAATAACCTGACACGTGCCATAAGAAGAGCTTGTTATCCCACCAGAGGAGAAAGATGAGGGCCACAGGGGATTAAGGAAAGTTATTCACTCTGAGCAGGAAATAGGATCCAACTCGTGGCTAAAGCTTAGAAATTCTGAGAGATTATACAATATGCAGCTGCTTATGCAAACATGTGGCTGGTGCAAGCATGTTTCACATTATGCAACACTTATTGCAGCTTTATTCAGGGCGTTTTCTAAGGGGCTGAGTCACCCTTTCAGTTACCAGATTAAAGGGTAGTTGTTTGTGTGATAATTGTTTATTCTACTAAACATATAAACCCACATAGCTGAATGTTTTTAACGGTAAAATGCAGGCACTAATGTCATTTTGTGTCTGTACTGCTGTCATTTATCTTTTACTAAAAGCTTTCATAAAAATAAACTAAAACAATGTCTGCACAGTATGGAGCCGAAACAAACAGTAGCTTGCAGCTGTGTAGTTGTGTTTCGTACCTGGTAGTTGTCACTGATGAAGATGTGAATGGGAGACAGGAGCAGCTGAAGCATCGTCTCCTTGTAACCCTTTTTCATTTCAAAACACAGCCGCTCCAAGAAGCCGGATGGACCTTCGGGACCCTCGCTGCTGCAGTGCTGGAGGCACCCGGGAAAGTGAGCAAACAGATGGAATCGTGCGTCAAGTCGTTTTCATAAACAAAAACACACGTCAACTTTAAAAAGCATGACTTGCAGGTTTAGATCAAAAAATAATTCTTTAATAAATACAGTGGGTTTCAATTTAGATCTGCACACTTTATTTTCTCATATGTTCGTTTTTATATATTGCAAACAATATCCTGATATTTTTCATACTTACATACTTCAAATTTAAATTATTCATATTACTTTTACGTCTGTCTCTACAGATTGTCTAGCATGCATACCGTGCACATTTTCATCAGATCTATTTCACACTGAAGTGGTGGAATTATTTCATTATCTTTTAAAGAACCCTACTTGCTCTACCACACTGATCTCTCCGTCTCGCTCTTTTATTCTTCACCTTTCTTTTTTAAGCCAAACTGGGGTATTGGGAGTCATTAGTCTTACCATGGGCAGTCGGCCGTGGACTTTGTAAAGGTTGATGAGCACAGTGATGTCCCAGGGGCGCAGGTCCAGCGGATGGAGGTCTGAGGTTTCTTTCTGTTCGCTGTCCTCCATGCCCAGAGGAGACCAGCCGAGGCCCGAGGAGGTCGAGGTGGATAACACGGGGCTGGACACCGCCTCCTCAAAGTCTGTGTACATGTCATCCTCCCCAAAATAGTTTTCCTGTGGGGATAGCAGCAGGGGAGGTCTGCAGGCTTTCTGGTGGATTGGAAACTTAACCTTTCCTATACCAACGCTTTCCTGTTTTCACTAAAAGTGTGTTTGTTACTGAAGCAAAGCAATGACAACCAACTTAACAAAATTAGAAAAAAAAAAAAAAAAAAAGATTTTAAGATTATTACATAATAAGGATGTCTTTACCTTGATGGAAATCAGTGCTCGGAGCAAAGGCCCATAGAGGATGATTTGAGAATCTGGAGACATTTCCATCTCCACGTGAAGTCTGTCAGGGGGGAGCTCTGAGGGGTCAGTGGGCACCCTGCTGTGAGCAGCTGAGGAAGATGTGGCGAAGCGTGGCGGGGCATTGTGGGGTACAGATGTGTGTTCTGGGGGACGCAGAGCTGACAGCATTGATTCCTCCATTTCAGACACTAGGTAAGGAAGCAAGCACATTAGATAAGATTATGTCAAACACTGATAAGGTGACCGAGAGAAGATTTTAAAGAAATTTCTTTTCACGGATCATAGTCTTATAGTTTAGAAAGAACAGCATTGATCCTATTGCAGCGCGCTTACGTGACTGTTTGAGCTGCTCATCAGCCTTCTGGGGATAAATGGGATGCCAGGTGTAGTCAATGATGAGCAAGAAGTTGGGTACACTCCAGCAATCCACCCAGCCAGCCCTGATATAAGGAAGAAAAATATACAGTCATGATGCCGAAATTTATCGTCGTTTCAAGTGGATTTTCCAGTTCATCGTTTGCTTTATGAAGCGTTCAACTCGAGGACATACAGTACAGGCAAGACACGGTAAATGTGCTGCGCTTGATTTCTCTGCAGCCCAGAGTGCGCCGATCCAGACAGAATTTGATCATACCTTCCCAGGGGGCGGGGGGTGAGTGGGTCTCTCGCAGGGTTACATCAGTATAGTCTGGCTATGGGCTATACATAATAAATGATCTCGATGTTGAGTTATCATGTTCAGAGTGCACAATGCCTGCTTCTACAGCACCTGTTTGAACTTTTGCCGACTTTTTTATGGTGGTGTTTACAATATGGAAATAGAGGCTGATTTCTCCAACCAGGGGTGCAGACTAAGATGGATGCAGACTAGTTTTATACATAATTAAGGGTGTAAATGGACCGATTTGATCTCATCTCATCTCTACCTCAAATGAGGGATACCTTAACATTATTATGTAATACATACATACATAATTGAGGATGCTATATAGAAAGATGTCCAAACAGCCCCATTAAACAGCCTATTACCTCTCTCTTAAATCCAGAAGACAGCAACTACTGAAGCAACCAAAGCATGAAAAGGTTAGTGGTGCATTTACTTGAAATTACCAGCTACCACCTTGGCAACCTTTCCTTTCTACCTGAGCACTGATGTGAGTCAGTGTTACAACGGTGAGTCACCCTACTCTTTTGCTAACATGCTCACTTTTTGCCCACAACTAGAAAGAAACCATTTGCAGGTTTAACTCACTCTGCGTGGGTGATGTTCCTCCAGCAAGACTTGCTGGGTTTGGGAGGGGGAGCGCCTTGATTCTCCCCCGGCATGAACATGTCCGGAGGGAGCTTGACGTTCTGGTAGTCTTTGGCCAGGGTGAGGAGGGGGTAGCGGCTCGGGTGGCACTCCGGCAGGGACAGTCGCATGTCTGTATCCTCCGCCTGAGGCGGGCAAAACACATAAACGTTCATGCACCCACACATATTCATAGCTGGTGTCAAAGTTTTCACATCTGTGGGCGCATAGAGTCTTTAAAAAAATATGAAGATATACAGTATGTGCAGTCAGCTGTAGATATATTTTCCCAAAAACAGGAGAAAACATTGCAAATTAAACTCAAATAAAATATGAACATTTATTTTTGGAATTAATCACATTCACTTAAGGCATGACTCACCTTCAAGCTGAAGCGGGTATGGCAGGTGGTTGGAACAAACTCATTGAAAGGCAAAGTGAAGTCTATATTAAGCGTCTCGCCACACGCTGCCAGGTACACTAGAAAAGATCAATAACGCAGCTGATTAGTGGAGTATACACTGCGCTATATATCAAGACAGATATAGAGTAACAGAGTCACAGTGTCCTGTCATGGGCAGGAGCTTCCGGGGTTAAAGAGGCATTATGATGCTTTCATGGCTGGATTTGGATTTTTTTTTCTTTTCATTTTTTTGCAATAGTGCTAAAGCTATGCTTGCTTATTGAGGAAATAAAGACAGGATAAATGAGTTCTCCCTTTTACCATTTTCTATTCTTCACGGTCACAGAAATATCTGAACATACAGTCTGTGTCTTACAAGAGCTGGCACTGTGGTCTGACTCGACATGTTTGCACATTGTTACAGAAATCTGCTGTAGATATTAATGTAGAAAATTAAGCATCCGACTGAACAAATCTTCACATTCTGTAACCTAACACCTCCATCTTACTTGCTGAACATTTCATTTGTCAACTGTATAAAAAAATAGTTCACCAAAGTCAAATACTGTATATTAGTTAAATACTTTCTTTCACTATGTGCATGTGCATTTTGGTCATAAGATATCTTGCTCTCGAGTAAAAGATATGAATCTCTAAACAATGAATGTATCATATATATATATCATATTTTTATGAATGTATCGTAGAATCTATCTGCATCTAGAAGAGCATCTCTCTCACCATTCTCTTGCTGCTTGGTGGAACAGTCGATCCAGTTGTGCTGATTTGCCGCCCAGATCATCTCAAACTGGTGGAAAAGGATCTTGAATTTCCAGGAATACGGCACAAAGGAGTAGATGTCTGGGGCGCTATCACTCGCCCAGTCCTGGATCAAATCTAAAGAGAGAGAAGGAACAGTGATGAAATGGAAAAATGGGAAGTTTCATACATTTTTCTATTGAAGTGCTAAGCGCTAAATGCTAATAACCTGATTATAAAACCTCAGAATATTCAGATTATCAACAACAATTTGTGTTTGCTGGAGGACTCACCAGTGAAAAAGTTTTTCTGGGCGTAGATGAAGTGGTAGGTGGCCTTGTACACCTCAATCTCACACTGCCACGACTGAGGCATGTTCCACACCCGAGGGTAACTGGCTATCACATGGAACTGAGATAAAGGCAGAGGCAGGAAACAATTTCACTCCCGGCAGAGCGATTGCTATTTTTCAGGTTTGACATGGCATTTGCTAAAGTCTCCCTTGCATTACTAGCCAGCTAACAAGTGGCAATTTTTTTTCAAATTTCTCCTTAGAGCTCCGTGTGTAATCGCCTGCCACTTACAGCTAACATCTCAGCCTCCAGAAGCGTCCTGTACTGCATGCTGCTGGTGGTGTCCACGTGAAGCAGCTGACCTTTGATGGTGGGAGAGTAGCCTGAGGGCAGGAGACGGAGGCAGAAAAGCAGCGACATCAATCCTCAAAACCCAAAGCTACAGCTAAGTTCCTGCAAATAATGACATTTACCAGCCACATCTCAAAAGCTACTTATGTTAACTACATTTCTGGGAGCAGAGGAGAGCATTGACTGATGACTGACCAAATATTATCTGCTCAGGGTGATAAATTATTACACATTGGTACAACTGTGGCTGTTCCCTGAGTTCAGTTGTATTATTCTGGATATCAAGTTAAACTGAATGATGGTTATTGATGGTTTTACTTGATCTTTGGTCTATAATGTGGGGAGAAGTATTAGTATTGAATTTAAGCTCAGTTGCCCACATACACAATGGAACTGTGAAGAAAGTGTGATCTCAAGACATCCTAGATAAATAATAATAATAATAATAATAATAATAATAATAATAATAAATAATAAAAAAAAATATGTGAATTATGATTTATTATGTAAGTTAATAGGAAACTGCAAAATTTGATTAACTCCCTACGTTTATGTAAAGACGGCTCATGATGCATTTCGATACATTTCAATGGAAATAAATACAGTGGTGTCCAAAAGTCTGAGACCACTGTCCCATTCACTTGAATGGTAAAAGTCAAATGATTAGATCCACATGAGCCAGGATTAGGCTGAAAAGTCTTTCATTTCATTTCATTTCATTTCATTTCATTTGGTATACTAGCATGTGTTCATCCTGACTTCAGAGTAACGTGCCATGCGTTAATCAGTGTGTAAGTGTGTTATTATCAAATGACTGGGAAACTGTTGATTTCACATGCGCTTCTATATGAACAACAATTTGTCCTCAAGACAGTGGGACATCAACTGATCCGAGTTCTTCCATTTTAGTCTACTGATCTTATTTCTGTGAAACACACACTTACCATTCTCTCCTACAGTCATGGGGATGTTGACTTCCAAGTAAGAGCCTGCACCTACATTCACATGGATGGCATTGGTTTCCTAGTAACAGAGATGAAGACAGAGCAGGGAGGGGGTTGGGTCGTACATGCTGTCAGAATATTAGAGAGGGAGCCTGACTGCCTTAAAAATGAAAGAAAGGCACCTAATCTGAACAAAAATAGGTTCAAAAGAGGTGATAAAATGACAGTCTTCCCTGACTCAAGCCATTTTATGTTTTAACTCAATGTGCATTCATGTTGTTATTTAGTATTCACTCCACATACTTTGCTCTGTGGAATTCCCTGCACTGCTCTAGGATGGAAATTTGAAAAGTATAAAACATGAACCAATATCAATATCTTAAACATGGTGAAGCATAAAGACAAGGACAAGGGGAACAGCAGAGAGAGGACGAAAGATCAAAGGGGCTGGCAAGAGAGAGAGCACACGAGAGAGAAAGTAAGAGTCACCCTGTTTTTGGTGAAAAGCAGATCGATGGTGGCGTCAGCAATGATGTTCATGCGGAGCTCGAATGCCTGGATCTGTCTGGGTTTTCCTGGCTGGGCGACCTCTGTGACTTTCATGTCCTGGTAGTCGGCCGGGATGAAGAACTTCCACAGACAGTCCCTGAGACACATTTAGAGTGTGCTCATGTAAACGCAAGACCATATTTGTAAAGCCCAAATCTGAAGCCTTCAAAGTTTGAGCCATGACCTTTCAACAACAGTCTAAAACAGCACTCATCTTACACTTTTTACATTTATACTGTAGCTGTATCTGCTGGTGTAATACACCCAAAAGATAGTGTCTTCAAACTTATGTAATTTATAGATTTTACCATTGCAGGGAAACTGATTGGTTTGTAACTGCCAAAGTCAGTCCTCAGAGAACTGGCTCTAACTGCTCAAATTACAAAAGCAATTGTGGCATTTTTGTGCTGAATCTTCGGTTCAATATTTGGTAAGATTTTAAACAACATTTATAGCCACGCTTTTAATGTCAGAAAAATGCTTTTTATAATGCTGAGATTGACTAATGAATGTATCATTACTGCGTGCTTGTTTCACACCTCTGCCGATCCGCCCAAGGCCCGTAGTTGAAGTCAGTTCCTTTTCCACAGACGATATCCAGACCCCAACACGGAGGCAAATCCTGGAGCTTATCACCCTCACTGCACGTCTCTGCCTCCTCCCCACTCTCCTGCTCCACAGGGACCAGACCTGCAAACATACGCACACTCATGTATCTTCTGCTAGTAATGAAGTGCAGAGATAAATACAGCATGTCCAAATCTCTCAATGTGAAACAATTCTGTGCATTTCTTTCAGGGAAAAGACATGTATTTTTTGGTATTGTTGCTGCACTGCTGGTTTTGCTGGTTCACAGTTTCAAACTGTCTGTGTGTGTGAGTGCGTTAGTAAATACCGGGTTCATCCTGGTAGTAATAGATGTCAACGTCATTGGACTGCATCACCACAAAACCTTCACCCATCAGTCTGGGAGGTCTAGAAAACGAATCCACAGAGTCAGTGTTTACAGATAAAATCAATGGTCACAGCAGGTCAGCAGGTCCCTCAAAGGTCCCAAAGCATTATACAATTAAATATTCTCTGTTAAAGCTTTATTCTGGCATGAAGACATTTTAATTTTCTAAATGCACTGGCTTTCCTCTTACACATTTTTACTTGATCTCACTGTCATTCCAATAAAGCGTCAAGGACTGCTGGAGGTTTTTCTATGCCAAGAGTGACTCTTTAACTTTGACGCAATTTTACTTTCAAAGTCGTTTCATTCAGTTTAAGTGGGGATAATGGTTTATGGCACTCAAGCTTATTACACAGTTCAGTTAAAGCTGCCAGGTGAAACATTCACACGGCAACATTTTTGGTATTTGGTCTTTATTCTATATCCAACAGCTTTAACCTTTAAGAAGGCTGCAGCTCCTACACTCAGCAAAGTAAAAGCAGTCGCACATTAAATGCAGTGATAAGTAATCAAAGCAAAAAACTCTTAAATGTGGCACAAAAAGTTTATTTTCAGTTTTTATGGAGTGACTCTTGTGCCTGGCTGTGTTTGACATTCATACCATACATTACATATTGCAATGAGAGTGGTGCACAGAATTATCCATTGTTAACTGTATAATGATCTACATCTCTACAGTTATTATGGCATGCTTTAAAAAATGACTGACACAGGATATTTTGAGGATCAGACAAGAACTTTATCTCTAAAAACATTTTGGAGAAAAAAGTCTTATTACTGACAACGACAAGTAGAAATGTAGAAAAAGTAGAAAAGACGATGGCTACACGTTGCTTTGAATAAATAAATACTCAACTTTAAGTTTCATTTCTTTTATATGGATTTCACCCTTGAATTTAAACAGCAAAACCTCTTCAACTACAAGCCTTTGACAACAGGTGATTTTACAGAGAGAAGTACATGACTTGGACTTACTCATCATTCTGCATGCCCAAGTAGCGTGGACTAGGAACCAGCATGACACGCACATTTTCCAGCGAGCCTTTGACGATGTGCATGTACTGGTCCAGGTGGCTGGATGGAGGCTTGGTGGCGTACGTCAGGAAGGCGTCCTCAAAGTTCACACACAGAGTCTGCGGGAGGTAGTGGTTCCCAAACGCCAAGCGACCCTACAGGAGAGCAAACACACATGCAGTTAAAGAACGAGGCCGAAACGCTCTTACATCCTTCACCAACTCCTTTTCGAAACATTACTCTCAAGCTATTTCTACAGCTGGTATTTTTTTTTTTTTTTTTTGTTTTAGACCACCAACTAAATTCCATGAAATTTCTGTTGAATTTCAGGAGGTACTCACGGTGCTGATGTTAACTTTGATGACAGGAATGAGGGAGCGCCAAGACGACGAAGGGTCTGGACTCTCTGCTTTGATGTTCACACTACACAAGGAGCAGAAGACATTTCAGTCTTAGAATGGTTCAGTGGTGCTACGTTTCCAGCATCAAATCAAGGTCAGTGACACCTTAAACAAGACTAATATTTAATAACGGGAAAATCCGCTTGATGAGGCCTCGGATGTACCTGTCCAGGGTTTTGTTTCTGTCCTCTCGTCCCCTCTCTTCATCTTTTTTGGGTGTTATGAGTGTGGGTTCCAGTCCGAAGGTCTCCTGTAGGCGGGCGTAGAGGTCGGTTCGGTTGTAGACGTGGAACTCAAAGCCGTTGACTGTCACGTAAAGCCTGGTCTCTGCCTTGGGGTCTGATGACAAAAGACAAGAGAGACATCTCAAAGGTCACCTTCCAGGAATCTGACTTCCTTCCATCAACAGAACAAAATAAGAGCTCTTTAAAATTTACGCTGGGGCTGTAACTAAGAATTATTGTCATAATTTGACAGTTAGTTTCTTACTTAAATTGTTTCATCGTTTGACCTGTAGGTATGTTTAATGTATGTCTAATATTGAGAAATGCATAACAATATCTCAAAGCCCATGTTGTCATGTTCTTACTTTGTCCAAACAATAGTTCAAAACCCAAAAATGTTCCGGTTGCTATCTTAGAAGCAAAAGAAATGTGTGCTCATATATGTGACAAACAGAGAGAGAATTTTTTGTCATTTTTGCTTATAAAGAACTTAATCTTTTAACTGATTATCAAAATTGTTGCAGCTCTAATTGACACTATTTTCTGCAGGTGACTGATGAAATAATTTGCTGAATGATCAACAAAATAAAAACTTCCAAGAAAAGGACATTAAAGCTTATCCTGCAGGCTAATTACAAACTCCTGAGTTGAGTTAATCAGTGAACAATTTAACAATTCATTAGCATGAATCTAAAAACAACAGAAAGTTTTCTTCAGAATTTCTTTTTTCTTTATTGTCCAGAGGACAGTCACAGTTGACTCACCATGCTGTTTCTGTTTTGGGTTATACATTTTCCACCAGCGAAATATGAGGAAGCCATCCTGTATCCTTTTACACAGAAAAGAAAAAAAAATCAATCAATTAGGTGTAAGCTATGAGGTTATAAAGCTGAAAACACACCGGTGCTGCGGCGCCTCATATTATGCGTGTCAAGTGCCGGTCCTAGCACCAATAGGAAGCATCTCGCTGCAACGTGCCATCAACATAAAGACCACATACAGAGGACAACGTGCATCAACTTCAAATCATGTGTGGTCACTGGACACCCACCAGACCTATGGTTCCCCAGGCAACATCTTTTTTTGCCATTGCCTGATGTCTGAACATGATTGTGGGTCCTAAAGCTCCTTATGTTTCTCAACATCAACAAGTAGTCTCTCCTTATCCATTGTACACACACAAGAAGCAACAGAAAGAGGGAGAGCGAGAGGTGAGGAGAGGGAAGACGAACTGCTACAGTAGCCGGGAAATACAAAACAGCCTTTTCTCTGGAAAAACAATGCGTTTTTTCATTGGTAACGAGGCTGGAAATGCAACAGTGGCGTCGAGTGTCGCCGGGCAGTGTGTCAATGTGCACAGGCGCGCACATAGCTGTGGGGTTGCACACAGAAAATCACTGAGGCAGCTGTTTTGATGCGCACTGTTCAGCGGGCGTGTGTGTAGGCCTTGAGATAGAAGAACACGGGAGAGGTCACCTGATGGACATGTCTTGGTTGATGTAATAGACGTCTCTGAACATGACTTTCCCCGACAGCACAGAGAAGGAGAAGGAGCCTGTGGAGGAGTGGACAGACACAGATTGTTAGCATAACACTTTCATTAACAATAATAGTAGCTTTCATCATACTGAGTGAAATAATTTAATATGATCAATTTCCAAAAGTCTAAACATGTTTGATCACGGTGGTGTGAATTCAAGTTAATAAAGGAGCTAATTAATATGTTAAACAAAAGATGTAATTAGATGGTTCTGTAAACCCTGGTAAAAATAAAAACTCTGTGTTGCTGAGATATTTAATCACCTTGTCTCTTCTCTTATCATTGAGAAAAAATAATCTTAATTAGCATCTAATCGTACAAGTAGGTCACAGGCTGTCACTGAGCAAGAAAGATGAGCTGAAAACTGAACATGATTTTCTGTCATTAATCCTTTTTGGCTCATAACGTCTTCCTCTGTTTCTAATTATTTCATGCTAAAGAAATTTCAGCGCCTGAGTGGTTCAACTCTAATCATCCCAGTCCTGTTTGTGGTATTTTTGACTTTTCTGACTCGAGACAGGATCTGCAACTTGCCCAAGACCAAATCACCGGGACGCTTGTTTTGGTCACTGCTTCCTACCTACATCTACAGCTTTTACCCGACTCAATCCTGGCCATGAAAAGACACACCCTAAAGCACGTTCGAACCTGCTAAGCAGAAAACAAGTTTTGTCTGTAAAGTGAGAAGTGTCAAAACTGTGCTGTTTGTTATGAAGATTTGTTTATTTCCAAACGCTGGTGCCATTACGATGCAAAGAGACGTTAACTAAGCCATGCGCTCCTCATAAAATGTTAATTCTGCCTTGGTAATCATTCTTGTGCTTCCTATTTGCTCACAGACAGTGAGCTGCAGATTCCTGTCCACATACACTGCCGTGATGCTAAGTAAATATAAGAATTTGCAAGTTCATTAGGCATGACTAAGACATGCTCTGGCTTCTTTTTTGGTTAATTACATGGCTGTAATTAGAGTCGTATTTCAGAGCAGATGCACCTGACAAGATCTACTCTTTAGTAAAGAGGCTGATGTTTTTGTAAGAACCTATTCACTTGCTAACAAATAATTGAGTCTTAAGTTACACTTGAATTTATGCATTTATAAATTAATTCCTGTGTCATTTATGTAGAGAAATGCAATCTGGTGTTGGTTGCAGTTTGCTGTTCATGCTCTGTGGAGATAATCACTGAGAGAACCTGGCTCATCATGAAATATTCAGCAGCCTGAGCTAACGCCTTGAACTGAAAGCTTTGGCAGTGTTCCTCCCGCCTATTCATCACAGTGTGATGCTCCTGATGAACACACCGATGTGAATGTAGCCATCCTTGTAGAGTCTGTTGATGATGAGGGTGAGGATGAGGCCAATGTTGCGGGAGTTGTAATAAGTTAAATAGATGATCCATCCACAGGACAGAATGGTAGCTGTGGAAAAACACAAAATGGTCTCAGTCAGTAAAAGATGATGAATTCACAAGCCAACTAAAGCTCAGCTTTAATTAGAATTCCTGATATCACTCTCAGATTGATACAGTAAGTTTGTTAACACAAGAAATCATAATAACATTTTTAATGTTTTCTGATGCTTGGAAATGTTTGCTTCCATCTTCCATCTTCCAACTTCCATTTTCAAATATAAATCACTGATGCTGATTTTGCCTCTGTTAAGTCAGATTCTTTAATTATACATGTGAATGACCGTGTTATTTATAAGGTCAACAGACTTGTGTGAATGCAATGTGCCAAACGCTACTTTTTCTGACAAGACAAAGACCCATTCACACAAATTCATTTCTAGACTTTATTGTCTAAAGAATATAGCAATGCCGGTGGAATTCATATAGAAACTCCTTATCCTTTCATAGCTGGGTTCGACTGCTGCACTCAAGGCTCTTTTTTCTTATTCCTGAAAGAGTTTTTTTTTTTTTTTTTTCTTCCCAGGTTGAAGATATTGCAGTGATACAAAAGAAACAGCATCTGTGAGTCCTGTAATATCATTGGCCTACTGAGAGCTGCACCTGAACTGAGCAGTAATTGGAAACTATCTTTTGTCATACTTTAACTGAATTAAATCACAATGAAGTGAAGATGCAGCCAGGACAACTACACGATTAAAAGCAAATATAAATTAAAATTTTTCGTGAGATGAGATCTTAAGCACATTAGGGAATAATGCAGAGGTTTATCATACTTTTAACCGTGCAGCTTGATGCAACACACCTCAGTTTATTTAACAGTATTTCACATATTTTAAAAAACCTTATGAAATGATACTGAAATGATCTCTTGTGCTTACCACATTATTAAATTTGTTCTTATCAGAGGCCAGTACACTAACATAAGGTGTAAGGGACTGAAATTATTACTCCTCCACTCCTGGATTACATGTTACCAAACCTCTGTTTAATAAATGAGGTACAAATAAAAGTAGTAAAAGAATTTCCACTATAGCTTAGACCAAATGATGCACGAGCACATCTTCAATGAAACTGCTGCTCCACTAACAGGAAACCTGAAAGTGCTGACAGGTTTGCACTTTACATGTGACAAATTATATGAGGTCTCATAAAAATATCTATTGATCAGGGCATTTTCCCAACAGTGCAGATACAGAGCACTCACCAACGAGGAGCCAGATGAAATTCGAGTTGTGCTTGGTAAGAAAGTCATCCAGATCCACGAAGCTGGGGAAGGTGCTTTCATTGTTTTTGGCAACATGCCCATCCATGGCTACAGGCTCTCAGTCTGACGTCTAAAACTGAAAACGGTCAGATGTCAGATTGCTGCCATGGCACAGTGACAAAACAAAGAGTAAAAAAAACATGAACACAAAAGAGCAAGTAGAATAAAGCAAAGAAAGACAAAGAGGGAAAGAAAAAGTGTTGGAACTTTTTTTTTTTTATGAAGCAATGGGTACTGCAAAGCAAAGAAAGCTAACTGAAGCTAAAGTCTTGAATGAGAATGGTGGCAGATGGAATTGCAAGACATGCAAATCCAGGGTTTCTGGCAGGTTCCCCAAATTAAATGAATTACTTTTTAAGACCTTTTTAATACCACATATAATGCAATTTCATGCCTGTTTTACCAGCCAAAGTATGAAAGTTATCACTGAAAACCAATAAGTATTAGAATTATTTACCAAGTGCATTAATTTATTGATATTAAGATCACATTTTTCAGTACTTCCAGGTTGTCAATAACATTAATTCCTATTATTAACATTAATTAATCATAACATAACCTGGATGAGCAGCAGATGGACAAATGCACTGAACCACTTAAAAAATAGTATTGTACAGTCTTCAAATTGTTGTTTAAGACTTCAGTTCATTTGTATTGTACCCACCCTTCATAAGAGCGGAGCACTGGGAATATAGACAATAATGCCAGCTATGCATAACACATGATCATAACTGGCTATATGTGAACCTGCTTTGCTTGTCATGAGGACATTGGCTGTATTGATTGTCGTGAACTTTGCTTTTACAGGAAGGATTATTTTAATTTGTTTGTGTGTGGCACAGGGTTAGTAGAGGGGTGTTGCATGTGTGTGTGTGGCTTCAAGTGTATGCTGTAAGTAAACCCATTCTTAGGGGTCAAAAGCTTGAATTAAAGACACAAACAGACTAACACACAAACACATAAATCCTCATCTAATCCACCTTAAATGACGTTAGCAGTAAAACCACTGAGATGTAACCAAAACCAGCTCTCTCTCTTACAGAAAACGCTGTCTCCAAGTTTCTCTTTTTGACAGATAATCTATTTTACAATACATCTGTTGACTGTTGTACATTCTGCCATATGAGAGCAGATCTGAATCTCACAGGGGATTTAACACCAGCTACCTGCCTAACTAACTAATCCAATTCTGTTTACACACTACCCAACTCTGATTCAATCCACCTGAATGGACCACAGCACTGATATTCCTGTAAGGCAAGTTCAGATTTTAAATCATGCCCTTCATGAGTTATGAGATGCGAGCACAGATTATGCTGCCATCACAGAAAGATCACTGCTGTCGGTGACTCATCACAATTATCGAAGAATTTTCACTTTTGGTTTACACCTTCAGGCACAGCAACTACATATCTATTTTCAGTTAGCTACCACAGCTGGGCCCAAACTGTTGTCATGTGAGCATCCCAACAGATACTGTCTACATCAGACCAAACATCACTCCTATCAACAAACCTATATAACTATCATTTGGGGAAGCAACTGTATATATATCATAGTTACAAACAGGTAAACACACAATATGTCAAAACAGCCACTACTAGACTCACACTACTTAATACTGCATAATCAGTTTGGCAACCACTGCACAAGATGCATATGTGATCACAAACCATTTCACAGTTACACAAGCTAACCATCAAGACCGTTGTGCTGTTGCTGTTGTTGCTATATCCACCAATTCAATAAGTATGTAGCTGTCTGTAGCAAAAATGTCTGACAGATTTAACTCTGCTCATAGCACTAAACTGCCATGAAAATCTGCCAGTTTACTTACACCTGACCTTGCCCACAGATTTGGGCACGGATTTCAAATCCGGGGGGTTCCTTATTTATCAGCAAAATAGACACACACACACACACACACACACACACACACACACACACACACACACCAATACACCATACACCTTTAAAAATGACCTCAGACTTTTTAGGAACTGCTGGGGACGCTTACTAGTCACAGAGGGGATTCACAGAGTATCGGTTCATCCAAATTACTTTGGTGGCTTTCGGTGCTGTTTGGGTGTTATATGTTGCATAAATCAACGAGGACGACAAGAGAACAGAGAGCAGTAACTTGTCGTGGCTACTCTGGCTTTGTTTACATATTGAACTGGTAAAGCTATCATCGACACAGTTCTCTATTTTGACATAAGGCTATATGTAAAGCTCAAGTTAAACATGACCAGATCGCTAAATTAATAATTCACATGACTTCAGATAAGATCTTGGGTCCAGAGCCATACCTGAAACTAACTAACAACACACCTAGCTAATCCTAGGTCTTGAGTTATTTCCTGAGCATTAACCTCAGCACCAATAACAACGACGAACTGTCGCCTGACGTGTTTTCTTTTTTAACGTTTGTATCAGTACAACAAGAGGCTGCTGACCCGTCGAGTACCAGACAGCTTCTTGGTTAATGACGTTTTAGCTTGTGGATAATGCAGTTATTAAGCTAGCCGCTAAATATCATAACGTTAGCACCCGGGTTAGCTAGCAAGCTAATGACAGCAGGCCGCACCCTATAACTTCTCCAAATTCAAACTGTGAAAACAAGTATCTTAATGATCGTGAAATACCTTAATGTCCCCGATAAAGCACGTGGTTTCATCTTTACTCCAGTTATTCAGGAGTTGCTGTCCTTTTGTCGTGTCAGACACTGGCATAGCTAGCATCCTCTGTTGAATATTTACCTGGCAGACGGCCAGTTAACATCTCTTCCTGTTCTGTCGAGAGCAGTCATAAAATTGACCAATAGGAAAAACGGAGAATGAGACACTGACCAATCAGAGGAAAGCGTGAGCGAGGCCACGCACACAGATGACAGACAGTTTTCACTACCTATCAACATGAATGTTTTCATAGTAGTGGGATCCTCTCAGCGTTGTTTTGGTGCTGTGTTAGTACCATAAAGCAAAGGGAGAACACCTCCCATGCAGATTGTAGACCAAGCTCTTTTCTGCATAAAGCAAGAGGGGATTAATTTGACCATATTTTTCCAACATGTTCAGAATGATGTAACATGCTGAAATATTTCCTTTATTCTGTGAATATGATGCAGAAAGGTTGTAGATTTCCATCAATGAAACAAAGCCTTTGACCAGTAGGTTGATGGTTAAAGACTACAGTTTCAGTTTATGAAGCAGTGACCACCCCATGCTTACATGTCTCAGAGTCCTTAACTTGGTAATTGTAGTTGGTGGACAACATTTTATACAGACTGTTCCACATTCTGTTGTAATAAATGTTTAATTTAAATCATATGTTAAGGTTCATGTAAAACAATTTTTTTTACATGAACAAGATTTTATTTTACTAAAGTGTTTTGTTTAATAAAAAATAAAACAATTACTCCTTCTTTTATCTTCCATTTTAATAGATGTGTTTGTTAGTTTTGTAAATAGTCCTAACATTACTCTACAATGTTCTTTCATCATATACCTGCAAAAAATATGTTTAATATATACAAGAATTAGACTATGCGCTGCTTTCATACAGCAAGGATACATTCAGTTTGCCACCAACATAGGATATTTTCATTTCAATCTTAGTCTGTTAAACAAGACCCAAATCTACTGCCATAGCAGCTGTGTGAGGCAGTGTGAGGCTGTACTCGGTGGTGCTTTGGACTAAATGCTAACGCTAGCAAGGCATGCTCACAAGTACAGCTTTCACTGCAGGAATTTTCCCAGGGGACCAAGAATCTTCTGAGCAACTCATGAACTAAACTGCGTCATTCACAAAACAAGGAAACACTCTAGTATTGATATTTGTGGTGGACAAGACTCACTGTTAATTTATGTTCAAAACATTGTTAGACTTTGCTGTCATCTTCCAGACTCATTTGTGTGCTAACATGCTGATGTTCAGCTGGTTGCTTTATTTAACAGACTATAATGTTTCATGTTCACCATCTTATTTTAAGGTATTAGCATGTTAAATTTGGCTAATTAGCACTGACAAAATACAGTGTACAGGCTGATATAAATGTCATTGGGTTGGTAAAGACACTCTTGTTCCTCTCAGGGTGAATATTACACCTTGGTGACCCTTTCACTTTTTAGCACCATCATCAGATCATGTAAATGTGTCCAACACATTGTTGTGATTTATAACAAAACACTTGAGAATTTTCATGGAAGTCTATCCAATAGTTGTTGAGGTATTCAAAATAACAAACATCAACCTCATCCTTTCCTCTTTAAGAAAAGTCAGGGGATCTCCATAGTCATTAAGAATCATCCTCTGGGAAATGTGAATGTTCTCAATTTTGTGTCAGTCCATCCAGTAGGTATTGAGATATTTCACAAAATAAATAAAAAGTAGTGACGCTAGAGGAAAAGGCAGGGGTTCACCAGAGATATTAGGATTCATCCTCTAGGTATCATGGGTAATAGTTGTCAGCATATTTTTATTACAAAAAATAAAAATGTCAGTCTCATGGCGACACTAGGCAATTGTTCTTCTGGAGACAATGACTATGCAAAATGTCATGGCATCAAATAGTTGTTGAGATGTTTCAGTCTGGGCCAAAGCAGCTGTGCCACTAGGAATGCCATCACGGGAATTGGAGCACTGCTTTCTCTATCCATTTGAGCCATTTTGACAAACAACTTCACCCCTGCTATTATGGTTCTGTGAATTCTTAGCCTTACTCCTAAAGGGCTCAACTTAACACAAACTAGATAATAATGTGGTTTTAATCTTAAGTAGCTGAAAAGACACAGCAAGACACAGGGGATCATTTGATTTTCTATCTGTTCAAAAACAATCTAATGTCAAAGCGCCAGAAACAGTTAAAACAGGGGAAAACATTACGTTTGTGTTATCTCTAAGAAATGAAACAAACTCTAGGGTACTGGTTAATGTAAGAAGTTGTTGTCATGCTTTCCGCCAGTCACAACAAAGCCTCCCTAAAGAACACGTAGGAGTCGTTTTACTGAAAAGGTGCCAAACATCAGGCTAAGAGCTTTTCCTTGCCAATCAAGCCTTCCCCTCAAGACCAGCCTATTTCGGTTGTGGCTTTAAAAGAAATCTTTCACATTAATTCCTTTTCCTGTCTTCTGAATGTTATTTCAACTAAATTCCTGCAGGAGGTCCTCAGTACAGTCGCTACAGATATTCTATTAGTAATTAACACCTCCTTCACTTTTGGTTCATTCCCCCCTTGTTTTAAATATGCAGCAGTTCAAGGCCCTCCAGAGGACACCTAATTATAATTTTATTGCTTGAGGCAATTATTAGCAGACTACAATCTTTAAGCTGCCTTTTTTTTTCATGCAGTGGTTTAGAGAAAGCAGTTTCCTCATCGAGACATTTCAGAGAAACTGCAGTCCTGTTTTGAAGGACTTCCCAGAACACGAACTGCCTCAATTAGGTTTCTAATTATTTCTGCCTCACTGATAAATTCCCTATTTTACTTAAATCTCTATACTGTCTGACCCCACATAATGTTAATTGATGTTATTCAGCTACATCTTGAAAAGGTGGGTAGAGTCACAGATGCAGCTCCCAAATGGACCTGATGGTGTGTGTGTGTGTGTATCCGATTGATTGATCTGATACATGGTGTATCCTCAAGGTTGATTTGGGCCCAGTGCTGCTTTCGATGCTTACTGCATACCTTCACTTGGTCTCAACAGGATGTCTATTTCCACTGTGACACACATGCTTTGCCAGATGCTATGACATGATTTATCAACCCCTTTACGTCAAGACACCAAGTACTGAAGGTACTAAAAAACGTTCTGCAGTAAAATTCAAATATATATATATATATAGTACATTTGGCCCACCCAGTTGCATTAACCTTGTCGAGCACTGTCTTGGGTCAGCCAAGACTGGGCTTGCCAGTAGAAATCAGAGAATGATGTTTGAGCAAGATTTACATCTTCATCTTCAGTTTTTTAAGAGTTGGTGTCTGTGGATCCAGCTGGAGAGGACGGACGTTAAAATTCCAGTTAGTGCAGGCCAAACCATGATCTTGTCCCTCAAGGCGACGTACAGTATAGACTACAGCCATGGTAACAGCTGTACAAATCACACCAGTGTTTTGATCTAAATGCTAATGGCAGTGTTACCATGGTGAGGTCTAGCAGGCATCATGACCATAAGTTGTCTTTGTTTAATAGAAAGAAGACATTATGAAATAAATAATCATATGAATAAGTAAAGAGAAAATATGTAACCTAGCCATTAATGTACCTTCCCACAACAGCAATTTCCCAATACCACAAGGCCAGTTATCAAGACCAAATAGGGCAGGGTGAGTTTCTGTGATTGGCTGCTTCTTCCATCTGAATGAGCAGACAGAGACAGAGTTTGAGAATAAAAAAATAACTGCCAATTGGATAAACGTCGTTGTGACATCTAAAACAGCTGGAATTTAATTAAAAAATGACCAGCAATAAGCACTTTTGTTGTGAAAAGAGGCAGGATGAATAAAGTTTCTTAATAATGAGCTGGGTTTTTAGTTTCAGGGTTTTGCTTGTTGAACTCAGTAGATACATACTTCCCCAAGGCAAAATATTGATGAAAATGTAAAAAAAAAAAAAAAAAGAAGAAGCCCTATCTCACAATGTTAAGGAAAGTGAGAAAAACTGACATGTAAACTGACATGGGTTAAAACATAACCTCCTTGGCAGAGGTAGTAATGAACGTGTTGAGTCTGGTCTCATGCTTCCTGGAAACTTCTCAGAGCTTTTTAACCTCATATGAGTCAGAGATAAGCTTGATGTCTGAAGGTGACTGGATCTTTGTTATCAGGGCCCCTTCAACTTTTTTCAATTCTATTCTGACTTCATCCATAGAATTACTTTGACCCATGTGTGTCATTTTAAAGGAATTCAAACCAGTGTGAAAGATGTGAGGTTTATTACTGCAAAGTTTATTATGCATTGCTCCGTCTGAACAATTAGACAAAGTTCACTATGAAAACAAAGAAAATCAGTCAATAAAGTAAAAAGAAAGTAGGCAACGTGTCTGGCATTTGCTGCATGTGTCATTAACATGTTATGATAAACATCCCCAAGTGGAAAAAATGCTCCATTTACAAAACTGTTTGTAAATGCAGTAAAAATGTATGGCACAACATTATCAGCTCAACACATTACAATGTCAAAATAATTTGCATTTTTGGAAGAAGTGCTTAAAGCAAATAAACAAAATAGACTGCCTTTAAGATGCAAATTTCCTCATAATCCTAACAGCAAACAGCTGCATTGTTGCTGTGGGGGAAAAAAAAAAATCAGTGCAAATCCATTTAATACGCGACCGGGTAAAGGTATTTAATGATGACACTCACGGTCTGCTATATAAAGGAGGGATTGTGATTGTGAAGATTTAATTTACAGTGCTTTTGTATTTTCTTTAATGAAATCCACCTGCTTTGTGATTACTCACAACCTTTTAGTAATGTCACCCGATCTGCACTATTCACATTCAGCATCACGGCTATTAATTGAATATTTTTAAAAAGGCAACCCACGAGTTCAGAAGGTTGAGGGGGCCAACTGAGGTTGATGTATAACACAGGCAGTGAAGACGCTAATAACTCATGTTTTCATAAATATAATTTAAATTAAATTGCAAATGTCCTGGTGGGCACCTCAGCCAATTTTAACAACATAAATTAATACAGACCCTCGATTAACAGAAGGCATGGAATACATGAATAATTCATCCCGCAGAGAATAATTTAAGTCTTCTAAAAACATTAAACTCACATTATGCTTACAGTTTATCAAGGCAATATATCAAAACTTTAACTCTAATGGCTCATAACAGCAGTAACGATCAGTCTTTGAAATCCTGCCTTTTACAGGTCAAGACACAAAAGGAAGGCAGAATGTTCTTTTCATTTCAGCAAAGCACAAACAAATAATCAGACTAATGGTTGTGTCATGAACACACAATCGCATGCTTTCATGTAACATTAAAAGAAATCAAAAACAATACCACAAAACCTTCTGTTTTCATTAACCGTCTCATAAATAAAGTGCAGGTGAAGAATAAGAGTCAAAAGCTCATGAGTACATCTCGCTCCTGCATGCTGGTGTAGAATGGCTTCCCAAACACAAACGAGTGGAGTCCCGCCCTCAGCTTCTCGGCGAAGGCCATCACAATGTTCAGGTCTCCCTCCACCGTCAGATCCAGATCCGACTTTAAATTGCGCAGGGATCGAAACGGCTTCTGTCCTTTTTGCCTGTGAAGGAAGGCGGGGAAGACATTGTAACTGTAGTGTAAACTGTTAACAACCTACAATACTCGGGGTCAGAGGATTTGCATTAGCATCTAGTTGGGTTGCAGCTGTGCACAGGAATGCCATGCCACGATGAATTATGTATGCTGCTACAGGATGGCAACTGAGCATAAACAATCTTGTCAAGGCACCTGTAAAATAACACGCCCTTAGACCTCAGGCTGTTAGCAATACCATAAACAAGACCGCCTTTATGCTTTCACACGAGCACACAAATAATGGTTTCGCTTGTGTAGTTAGTGTTATCTCTGGTGTAAGATATGTTCAAAGTTTTACTATATAGTGGGAAAAAATGGCACTCAAAACATCTCTGCTGGAAAAATTTTAAGCATTTTAGATGCAAGTAAAAAATGAGATCAAAGTAAGGTTTTGTGGTGTCATAGTAACATTTCTTGTATTTAGTCAGAAAAAAATCAGTTGAATGTCTGTATTATAACATAATCATATGAATTAATAAATTACAGCATATGCAACTTTAAGAAATCCCCAAAAGACTTTAGTCTGATGTATTGGTTCTAAGGTAAAACATCTGTATTGTACTGTTTCTCTAGTTTCCTTTCCTCCTGAATTTCAGCTTCAGAGAAACCTCCTCTTTGCGAACTTAAGACTGTGCTTCTACTCTTGGGTATCAACCACCATTTATGAGTAAATCTTTTTGAAAAATTTGAGCTTCACATCTACTGTTTCTAGAAATTTCAAGGTTTGAAATGTAGCAGAGAGAATTTAAGAGTTGGCGAGATTCCATGCAAAGTCAATGGAAAGATGCGATTAAGCACGACGATTTTGCCTGGGGCTGCGCGTATTGAAAATGTTTAAACTTGAGCAAAAAGGTTTTTGCGTGTGCCCCGGGGTTTTATGAATCTGTGTAATACATGTGCAGAGAGGAGAAGAAAAAGGAGAGAGATGGGAGAGAAATAACAGAAAGAAGAGTCTCTGATGAGGTCTGAGTTCAGGCTTACATACAAACATAAAATGGTCTGTAGTTGCATTAGTGTAAACGACTTTCTGTCCGACCACACCTTAATAGTATTTGCAGTAGACTTCCTGTGTTAAGTGATTTTTGTCACTTGAAGGCAGCAAGACAAGCTATGAACACAACATTGACATATTAACACCTCATAATAATATTTGATATAGGTAACATGTTAGCAAACAGTTTCTAATTTTCACATCCAGATACAAAGTGATATTCATTTAGAGTTGTGTTTGTGTCTGGCTGCTAAATGCTCCACTGTGCTCTCTAGCTTGTAGCTAACTCTTTAAGCCTGTTGTCTTGGTGCTGGGCAGGTAGTGTACAGTGAGCTGAAAACAGCTGCCTGTTGCAACTGAAAATGATGCTGATGAGAGCTGTAAGAGCGAATGAAAAACAGTGAAGTTCGGGGCCATAAAACCAAAACAATGAGCTGAAAGAGACTAAAATGCTCTTTAGAGCTGAGGGGAATGGCAAAGTTGGGTGATCCTTTTCCATAGGTTTGTCACTATAAGTAACATTTCTCACACTATACTGTACATAGCCATTTCATCTAAAAAAAATCTTCATTAGTACAGCATTAACATTTCTGACATGGTGACACAAAATGAAAGACCAGGATACAAAAACTGATACAGCCAAATTTCTTGTGTGTAATTCTAGTTGTATAAGCAGTTTGTGTGTGCGCACACACTTTTTGGCCTTTACTGATGCAACAATTCAAGCACTTTTGTCAAGCCCAGTGTAACATTTACTATGTAACTAATTAGCACTATGCAGTGTTCAAACTCACTGTGTGCAATTGATTGCAAGAGGTTTTAGAATTTTAGAATGCTTGGGTTTTTTTTTCTTAGAGCCAGGGTCACTGACAACTGAATACTAACATTTACAGAATGTAATATGTCATATATATTTGTGCTGCACATACACACATACAGTGACTTTCACATTGACCTTACTGCTGTTGGACTTTGTTTCTATTTATCCATGCTGATATACCTTGTATGCAGAATATGCACATATACTGTATGAATGTACTGAATGAACTAAGATTATTTTCTCATCCAGCTAATTTCTTTTTTTATCAATATATGTACAGTCAGTTAGTCATTTATGTGTACAGTTATTTATTTGCACTAGTAATGTCATTCTCCCATGTTCTCATTATAATATTACAGGTTATCTTTTTGCACCACTGTTAATTTTTTTTTTTTTTGCACAGATGTTTTTTCACTCATCATTGTCGTTGTTTTTCATCGTTTACCTTAATGTGTACAGTTTTGCACTGGTTGTGTGTTCTTTTTTGTGTATTCCATACATTTTAAATCTACTCTATGTGCCCTTTAAATTGCCCCCTGGGGACAAATAAAGTTTCTTTCAAAAGTCATTTGCCAACAAGAATCAAACAAGATTGTGTAGAACTAGAAGATTAAATGGGAGTGACTGCTATCCTAAAATGAGAGGGAAGGTCAGTCCACTGATGGGGAGCATGGAAGGAGATGAGTCAGGCCCAGATGGAGCGATGACCAGGTCACCACAGGGAGGGCGACACGAAAAAATTTGGGGAAGCTAAAGACATGGTAGACTGCGGAGACTCTGATGAATTGTCGGGGTTTAAGAGGGTGCTTCTGGAGCTGAGCCAGAAGGTGGTTACTGTAATCCTGATGGGACCAGAGCGTGACAGGACATACAATTATTCCTAGCTTTTCTAGTCCTAAGAGAGGGGGAGAATTCAATGGATTTATTAGAGTGTAAAGCTACAGTACTGGTTTCTAACTTGTTTTATCGTTGAGTGAATGTTCTGGTAACTGCCTAAATTAAAGGAGTATTAACGCGAACTGGCCACCAGGTCACCTTGCAGGCTGGCATACAGTCTCATTTCTGTGCTTGAGGGGGGGGCGGAGAAATGAGAATTTCTCTGTCAGTGATCAAATGACGATCATAAAAACATCACTTAGAGTTTTGATGATGATGATGATGATGGTGGTGGTGGTGGGGGGTGACGACGACGACATTGCTGGCCCTACTCCAGAGTGCTTTACATCATTTTCTTACTCAACACATTATTCACTTCATTCATGCCATGTTGATGGGGAAGCTGCCAGCCACTCTTGGGTGATGCTGAGAATTCATTATCCTGTGTAGCTAGACCACCAGCCGCTTCTTCCCAACATGAATCCTTTGCTCATTTTTTTCCTTCATACAAACTAGTGCTGGAATGATTTTCCTCATTTATGAGTCTGCTAATTTTGTAATTAATTGTTTCTTCTATAAAATCACAGAAAAACAAACTGAGAAGTGCCAGTCATAAGTTACCACAGCCAAAGGTAACATCCAGTCCCAAATCTATTCAACTTAAATCGATATAAAACTGACAAAAACTGCATATCCTCAATTTTGAAATGTGTGAAGTGTGTAGTGTTCAGAATTTTTGCTTGATAACTGACTTTAATGATCGATAAATAACCAAAATAATTGTTGATTAATTTTCTCTCGATCATTCTACAAGCCTAATTCTGCTCAGCAGATCATTAGTGATTGAAAAAAAAAAGCTACTGATTACAACCAACCAATGATCAGTGGCTTTAAAAGTTTGCAGTTTTGTTAATCTTTTTATCTTTTTTTTTTTTGCACCTCGCACCTTCCTGTCTTGCACTACTCTTTTGGAAAGCTTTACTATTCATATCTTCAGTTGTGCCAAGGGTACCACACTTCTACAGTCCTTCACCCCTGAATGTAATACTTGCAGTGTATTCATATGTTTGTTTTCTATACACTAAGGCCCTGCTCTACTAAAGGTCTTCCACGGAGCAAATGTCCTTGAACCTAAGTCTTTTTTTCTGTATTATTATCAAATTGTAAATCCAATTTCCTGCTGTTAAACTCAAGGACAGACTTTTTGTGCTCTGCACCACATACACATACATTATGAGGATTGTCCTTTTTTGAAGGATAAAATTGGATCTAGGGAAATAATGACATTATTCAAATGCTTTTACCAGACAGGAAAGTTCATCTCTGATTGTGTGTGATGTTAGACCTATCCTGATAAATCATGTCTTTATTTTTTCAAGTGAAAACATGTCAGCTATTCTGGTGTTACACAGCAGCAGAGAGTCAGATTATGACAACAGACTGCCGGTTGCGGTTTGGTATGTATTTTCTACATCAGACACAATCTGACACTGATGGGAAAAAAAGAAGAAAAAAACAAAAAAACAAGAAACAAAATTGCTTCAACTTCCTTCTGTTTGGGAGGTAACCATGTCCAACTTTTAGAATTACAGTTCTCATAATTTGGGAGCTTTTGGGGGCTGTAAACAGGATGTTTAGTGTAGTGTAGTGGAATGGAGGCAGCAAGTTAGCTGGGGGCAACAATTAAAGCTCCATTAGCCTATATTCATTCACATTTTGGCAAATTGGCACCAACAGTATGCTTAATTAGCTATTAGCAGTTACTGTAGTTACAAGAAGCATTTTTTCTGTGATTTCTAAGCGCATTTATGGAAGTTTATTCGCAATGGACATCAGAAGTAATGATGTACTTGTGAAGTGCAAGTCACACTGAATCTAAAAATAAGTATGTCATGTCTGTGTTTTCAGATGCCTTCAGACTTATATGAACAAATTGGCATTGTAAATTTCCGCATGTATTTCTTATGTATATATTTGGTGTAATAAACTGATTCAAATATTCATCTCTTGCAGATTTTTCATGCAAAACATCATGGCTATAGATTCAGAACAAGGTGAGGGTTCCTACTGCTCAGCAGAGAGGTGCCTGAGTTCTTTGCACTACTTCTCTTGCAAAAAGTATCCAGACCATATGTTTCACTTTCTCTGTGTCTGACATACTGCTCTTCATCTTCATCTGGTCATCTAGAGTCTGCTTTACACCTCCAGTCAACTGAATCAGAGTAGCTTTCCCATATTCCCACACAATTCGATGCAGTACACAGATATTGAAAGTAAAAAGATGCACCTCTCTGCACTGCACCTCTGAGACTCTCACTCTGCATAAATGTGTTCCTGTCTTACAGATGTTTCTTAACTGGAATTAATGTTGTCTGTTCCCTATCATTCTGTGTTTGGTAATTTGTCCCTCAGGGGTTGCCATATCCTCCCCCTGTACATCAAAACCCTTGGGGGTAATATGAACAGATGTAGAAAATTACTGACAGGACTATTTTGACTCCAAACACCAGAAAGTGTGTTACATCAGGCAACAGACCACAGGGCTTAAGGTTATTTCTGGCAGTGTGTCCTATGGGGGTCCAGTGGTGATCAGTGGTGATGTCACTGTCCAAGCAAGGGCAGTGGCTGCAGAGCAGTAAAGTGAAGCAAAACAATGACATAAAACAAGTGAAATATCAGGTCTGGTATTTTGATTTTTCGCAGGGCCGTAACAGAGAGGCCGGCCCTATAATCACAAATGTCCATGACTAACTGACTGACTGAGTGATCATAATTCCATCATTGGTCAGCCGAATGCCACATAACTGAGTTGGAGTTTCCCCAATGTGGGGTTGCTCTTTCAAAATGAATTGGCGCAAACAGGTTCTATTAGCGGGGCATTTACATAAGTGTTACCAACTTAGCGCACTTGTCATAAACATAAGACACATCCTGCAGAGAAAGAAGGAGTGGGGGAGAGAGAGAGAGAAGTTACCGGTAACTGCTAAAGACACTCGCAGATCTGAATAGCATGTTAACAACAGAAACACCAGCAACCTGAAATGATACAATACACTTACTGCAGCACAGCAATAAAACTCCTGTTAAGAAATAGGTGGGTTTTGTCCACTGAATTGCCAGAGGACTTTTAATTTGAAACAATTGCAGGAAGTGTTGAGTTCGTATTAACAGGGGCGAAAGAATACTAAAATATCATGTGGTTCAGACATACACTATGTTTTGACCCAGTCTTGTTTTGTTTCTTTCTGTAGTGTAGTGCGTGTGTGTGTGTGTGTGTGTGTGTGTAATGGTTTAACGCCACACATTAATCCCTTTTGTTATTTGGATTAAAGTCTTATTAGTGACAGCTCTTACGTTTCGTCCTCGATGTACTTGAGCAGTGTGAGGGCCTTCCTGTGGAGCAGCAGCAGGAACTGGGCCAGGTAGGTGCTCCGCAGGGACAGGCCCGGCTTCAGCATGAACACCTGGGTACAACACAGGATGTCAATTAGTAGTCCACACTACAACTTGACTGGAAAATCTTGGAATAATACACCCCCCCCCTCCTTTGAGCTAACCTTGAGAAAGAAACATATTGCTGTTGTTATGAGAAAAACTCATCTGTGGGAGCACTTTCATTGAAACGGATGATGGGTTGTGACCCTTGAGAATAAATCCTAATGTCTTGTATCTATGGGCTCTAATGATTACATCAGTGGAATCACATATTTCAAGTATGTGGCACAAATCAGGGTCTATTTGAGGACTGCAAACAATGCTACACACTGCTGTGAAAAGTCACAGATAACAAGAACCCAAATCCACTTTCACATTAACAGCCCTTAACAAGCAGCAGCTGGTTGAATCCTCAATTAAGAGTTGACGAACTGTAATTGTAGAAATGCATATAAAACATAGCAGTTTATAAACAACATTTTTCCTTCAGTATCACTTTGACTAATTTGTCACTTTAAACTCCAAAGAGTTTCCTTTGAGAAGAGACTGGATTCATGAGTGTAACCATGAGGGATTAAAGACAGTAACCGCAGCTTTATTTTAGGTCAGTTTTATACTTGTGCACAAAGAAAAAGGTGGTGGTTAATGGTTCAAACAATACTATTTTTTTTAAATTACAAATTAATCAATCTTTATTCTTTGCTCAAAGGTGTTTAAGATAAGAAGGTTTCATATAGACAGTGTGGTTGTTTTTCCTTTTGTGAACATAGAAGTAACTTTTCTTTGTTGCACTGTGTTGTCATATTTTTCTTCTAAATTACGTGAATAATAAATATGACTGTTTTTATTAGGTTTATTATTTTGCTTTTGTTGTTAGGTTATTATTTTATTTTATTCCTGACTATAGTAAATTTATTTCTTTATTTGTTTACTTTCTCTTTTCTTACTTCTTTTGACTTTTGACTTTAGTTTTTTTCTCTCCTTTTATATAAACAATAAAAAAAAGTTTTAAAAAAAGTAAAGAATTGATGCTATATTCTTACCTCATCTATAAATGACTTCACCAACGTGTCTTTATGCATGACGTCCTGAAATATATTCCTAAAAAAAGAAAAAGGCACAGTAGTTATTATATTTAATGTGAGAGGGAAAAATAGAAACAGTGTAGAAAATAAATTGTGTATTAAAAATGTATGACCATTACTTTCATGTTACACAGAAATACAAGGGATGAGTGCGTGGCTTACAGGTCAGGCGTGAAGGTTTCATCAGTGTGAATGACTGTGTCTGGGGGTATGTCCTCCTCGCTGTCTGTCTTCCAGAGCGTGCTTAGCTCAGACCGCATATAGCGCCGCTGGTTGTATGTGTGCTCGTGGCACGGCGGCATCTGCTTCACCGTGTTAATGTCGACGTCGATGTGAGTGGTTGGGTACGGTGAGTAGAGCACCTGGCGGAAGGGCAGGACAAAGCTACCTGTGGAGTCCTGGGAATAAAAAAAAAACACAAGGGGGGGAAGCCCATACTGACAAGCTGCCAACTCTAGGCTAATCTTACCACCTGGTACAATTATTTTTTTATGTGATGTGTGATAGCATGTTCATATTATTCATTTCATGTCCCAAGAGCAGACAGCACAGAATAGACTATGTTTAAATAAGAAGAAACAACAATAGGAAGAAAAGCAAAAAAGCAAGTACATACATAGAAATATGACGATGGGGGAACATCAAAGTAGCTTTACAGAAATATCCTACATCCATGTCTTATGTGTGCAACAAAGCGTTAATAAATCATTTCGCATTTTGCAAACATGGAGCTTCCAATATCCTTTTTTATTGTTTCTCCCTGGGCCAGGCTTTCTTGTTTCACACTGCATTTTACAGGGAAATCTAAAATAAGATCCTGCAGGAGCTCCACAACACAGCCAGTGTGTATCATACTGACTCTCTCTGAATGAAATAACAAGCTCTACCAAGCTTTCTGTTGCTTCTTTTGCTGTTCTCATTCTGCTCATGTCGATGAGCATTGTACCCTCCCTGCCTCGCAGAGGGGCGGTAAATACTGTGACAACTTCTCTAAAATCTTAAACTTTGCCGACAGTCAGTTCTCTGTTCTGCACTTGACCTCAAGTAATAGTACAAAACTTGTTTTGCCTGTTTAAGCTAAACAGAGAAGAGCAACAAAACAAAACCAGTTTGCACACTGCAGTTGCCTGAGTAAAAACAAAAGTCTTCAAGTTTGAACCACATTAAAAAGCTCCATATAACACAATAAACAAGAATCATCTGCAGTGTAGTATTAAGAAATCGCACTGCAACAATTTCAGGTCTAAAAAAGAAATCAGGTCAGAGCAACAGACTGGGCAAGATCAAACAAGCAGACAAAACAAAGAGCAATAACCAGGCTCTTAATGAAATCACATTAATCACATTGTGCTGTACAGTGAGAGGGAACTGGTGGCTACCTTGAGCAGACCCTGAACAAACAGGCCGGTATCGTATTTGAAGGAAGAGTCCGCCTTGCAGAGGCGAGAGCACTTCCTCTCAGCAGAGGTGAGGAAGAGGCAGAGAGTCCGCACAATCTGCAAGAAAACAGATTTGTCAAAGAAACACATTTACACATTAACAAAGATTACATAGATGACATAGACCAATAGATTTCAAATGAAGGAAAAACAGGTTTGGGAATATTTTGGAACAAACCAAATTACACTTTAAACTCTTTCCCATGATGAGGGTGACATGGGCAGGAAATAAATTGACTTTTGCTGGTTAAGATTTTTAAAAAGGGAAATGCAGCACAATCAGGACAAAATTTACTAAAGAAGCCATATTTTCATTATAGACCGTAATCTGGCATCAGGCTTGAGGCTAGTTGTTAGATACAGATAAGAGTGTTGATTTAATTGGTGCTAAATTCAGGCCTCAAGCCAATAAAAATACAAATTAAAACTGTGTAGGATTTTGGTATTCATGGGATAAACTGTTTGTGGCTTCTGTCTACTGTAGGCTGCTGCAAACAGCACATGATGTGCAATATCAGTTTTCTTTCTTGCTTACTGTGCCTAAACTGCTTCTTCTTTTAATTCAGAAATCTGCAACCACCAGCATCTTACATGTTTTTACATCTAACTTCTAAAAGCTGCGACAGTAACTCTGCAGCCAAGCCCAAAGTGACATTCAATACACTGACACAGGCAGTATCAGGCTGGAAAAGTGCATGAAGGCCTCATTAAACTCACAACAACAACACTCATCAAAACATGTTACGTTATGTAGATGATCCAAATTTTGTCTGTGTGCAGCCACTAATATGGCAAATTTACCTTATTGACTTTCTCTGGGTTGCTTCCAACTACTATTGAACAGCCGCAAGTCTGCAGATGAGAGCTGATGGCCCTGAACCAAAGAGACAAAGACATGCAAATTAGAGCCAATTAGCTTCATTAGCGTTACTCTTATTATTATTGACAGCTTTTAGGAATAATGATTGAGGCAGTGGAACTGATTAGTCTGAAAAACATTTATGAGTCTAAAGAAGGAATAAAGTTGTTAAGTCGCTATGGGCAAGTTACATCAGCCTATTCATTCATTCATTAGCTACACCGCTTATCCCCCCAGGGTTGCGAAGGGGGGCTGGAGCTAATCCCAGCTGACACTGGGCGAGGGCAGGGTACATCCTGGACAGGCTGCCAGCCTATCACATGGTTGACACATAGAAACAAAAACAATCATTCACGCTCACATTCACACCTATGGGCAATTTAGAGTCACCAGTTAACCTGCATGTATTTGGATTGTGGGAGGAAGGTGGAGGAAACCCACGCAGGCTCCAAGAGAACATGCAAACTTCACCAGCTGCCTAGCAGGTTCAAACACAGAACCTTCCTGCTGTAACAGTGCCAACCACTGCACCACCATTCTGCCTAGTAATCGTTAAATTTACCTTTTTACTTAATTTAATGATTTGACTGATCACAAAGAGAGCTATTTTGCCTGATTACTTTAATTACCTCAAATACTATGAGTACAGCACGGCTGTCATTATATTCCTATTAAGACTCTTCAGACATTAGCTGTAAATATGCTTTAGATCCAAGTAAATAAATTCCAGTTTGCAGACACTTTGTCATCTCCACAGGATGCTGAACTAATCCTGTTCAGCTCTGAGCTACTGGGAGCTTCGTTGCTAAAATGGACTTTCTGGACTCTCAACACTAAACAGCAATTTAGCTTTCATCCTTTCTCTGGAGGAAACTGTGGCTAAGTGGAGAGCCATTACTCATCATTGGAAGGTTGATGTGTGTTAAATGGGCATTGTTCATCATCTGTCTCCATTTGCCTGTACAGGAGTGCTTACTTGTGGAGGAAATCCTCGTGGCAGCTGTCCCCGATGTCATCATCATTTAGAACGGTGTCTTTTATCTGCTCAGCAGGAGCAAAACAAATGAGTCATTTCTAACATTGGTCTCAACAAAAACAGAAGTGCTGATGGACACATTTGCAGTTATTCCCATGAAAATAAGATGCACAAAAAAAAGAGAGAGAAAAAGGTGCACCGTCGTGTAGGAAACAGAAAGAATGATTCTGGGGAGCTTCTTTGTGCTACTATTTTTTGCTGCATTTGCATATCAGACGGGAACAAATCTGTCAAATCACTCTGGGTGGTAATCCAGGCAGAGAACCTGGATAATTCAAACCTCTTGGAAATAGAGAGTGAAAGAATAAAACAAGGGGAATTTACCAAAGTTAGAGAGAAAGGTTTTGTTCAGAAGTGTGTTTCAAAATGCAACCCAGCTCCTTTCATGTTCCTGCCACCATGATGTCTACATAACACGCTATTAACACTTCCTTCACTTCAAAAAAGTTAGGTGGTAAGATATATGACGGCCTTTGGACTAAATAGTGAGTGCTAACAATAGCAGTCACCATTATTTTCTTTAATCATAAATTTAAACATTAATCACTAGCGTGGTAAGTAGCTAAGGATGAGAATATATATGTGTGTGTGTGAGTGTGTGTGCTACTCACATCTATATCTTCTGGCACACTGTGTGTCTTCATAGACGCCAAGAGCTCCATGATAGGGACAATCTCCAAGCTCAACACTGAGATGATGTTGTAGCCCTGAAGTTGAAGGGAAGAAGAAACAGTGAAGTGAAGCGCTGCACAAATACTGAAGCCAGAGGAGTGAGAGGACCTCTGATGATCTTCTTCATCATCGCTGGATTTCATCTCTCATTTGTGTACCTGGTACTGCATTGTATGCGAGAGAAGCCTCATTCCCAAAAAAAGGAAAAACAACTGGTAGAAGGGGTAATGTTAGTCACAATTTGTGCTCAAAAAGCAAATTTAATGTCAAAACGCTTGTTTATGTTATGTATTGTATGTGTATATGTACGTTATGCAAACAAAGCAAACAAATAAATAAAAACACATCAGCTCTTAAAAAAATTATCACACACTCATAAAACTGTTTGTTAGATAAGGACGGTCAGGGTTTGACTTTGTCTGTACGTTTTAGCACCAATATGCTATACTCTTACTGATGCCTTTAACCGAGTACTGGTATCTATACCAAAACAATCCTTTTGTTGTTACATTAAGAAATATTACATGTTTTTCTACAATAGTCATGTTTATTTAACAACAGAAATCCAGCTTCCCAAAGAAGCTGTACAAGAGCTGACATTTGTTCAGCTCCAAAATAGTACTGAGGATGGATACTCAGCACAGTGAGTAGTATTTGTCAGCCATAAGAGCTCAGGCGACCAGGACTATGATATATATCATTTTTCAAAGCAACACAGCTAACAGAGCACCAGAAGGGGCAAACAGCAGGTGTATCAGGCATAACAAAAACCTACTAAAATATTTATATCAGGCTATGTCAGTCTGACTAGAGGAGCACAATAAAACTAACACCTTGGATGTGATAAACATATGCAAAACATAAATAGGCCTATACAGCAGTGTCTGCAATGTGATGCATTTTGAACTGGTCTGTGTCACATTATTTTGTCTACCGCTATTATTACCTGCCACTAGCTTTCTCTGTAGGAGCGCTCAGACCTAATTAGCTAACTTACTCCTTTGTGTTGGGAGACTGCAACTTTATTATTCTGCCAATATTGTTGCAGTCCCAAATGGATGAAACATAGGTGATATATTACTTAATACCCCCTTTGAAATCAAGTATTTAGGCTACATAGGGTTTTAAAGTACCTCCTATGAGAGTAAAGAGCAATAATTTGTTAATTCTTGTGGGAATACTAAGACTATGTGCAGGAGTGAGAAGTCGGCAGGTACCTTCTGCATCCAAATGCGCCCTTTGCGGATTACATGTTTCAGCCTCTCCACACAGATGGTGTGCAGAGGCAGGTAGAAGGCCAGCTCTGTCTGAGGTAGGATGATGGACAAGGCACATGTGTTCTTGTCTCCCTTCAGCTCGCCATCAAAGATGAGAGACACAATAATGACGCCCTTTTCTGCCAGGACAAAGAACTTCACATCCACGGCACCACACTCAGCGCTACGCAGAATCTCCCCATTAAGTGTGTGATTGGCCAAAAAGGTGACCTCTCCATCACTGAGGAACATAGATTGGTCACCCTTTGGTGCCCAGATGTGGCGCACTCGTGGACCAAGGATGTTGTCCCAGTAGGCAAAGGTGGCAGCCAGCAACGGGCATTCTCCCTCTACTGCTACTTCAGACTTTGCCACGGCAGGTGACTGGGGTGGACAGCCAGAAGACATTGGAGTGATTTGGAAATGTCACTGTCTTCTGTAAGGCTGAGTGATATTCAACCTACATCAACACAAAAAAACAACTGTTGTGTTCATGGAAGCACTAAATTACATAATTGTCAAAGTAGTTAAGTGTAGATAGGTAAACAGTGGAATTTTTGCAACAACTTTCAACAGTCTCTAAAACTACCAATCTCACAAGCCATATTCTGGAATAGAATAATAATCAGCTAAAGTAAAACATACTAAAAAATCGAGTACATCTAGTGATACTTCTCTGTTGAAAATGAAAGTAGTTTGAACTTTTAGTCAGCTGATAGCTCTTTAATATTTAATATTTTATCAATTTTCTACAAAATATACATCCATTCGACCCTTACCCAAAAGCCCATGATAACGCTTGTCGTCATCTGTCAAATTCGGCATATATAATTCATATATCATAATTGTATTACTGTAAAATATTTCTTTTCATGTTCACTTCTCAAGCTGCTTCCTGAATTGAATTGTTAGGCGTTATATCTGAAGGCTTTAAAGAACAGGCGTAAAAAACACATGTAAATGACGATAAATACAGCTACTGGATTGACCATATTCCATACCATATATATTCCGAATTTACCAGGATACCGTAGTTATTCAGGATTTATAGTTGTCTTGTTACCAGGTATCTAGGTGGGTCAGCAGTGAGCAATGAGACTTTATTTTGACAGCTTATGAATATGGAATTACATATTTTCAGACAACACGTAGATACACCCTAGATTTATGTTTTGTAAAGTAAACAAGAATTGAGGCTCGGCTACAGCTTAATGACAGAATCGGTAGGGAGTAGGAAACAAAGTAACTTTCATGTTACTGTCAGTCAATATTTTGTAGTAACGGTATCTCAGGGTTTGGGAAACAGGCAAACTTGCTAACTACGGTTAGCCAAACTAGCAGTGACAGGAAACATTTGAATAACATCGCTATGACTTACTTGTTCGGTCTTTTTTTGGTGCTGAGTCGCCACACCACAGAGTTTCTAGAGGAAGCGTTTCAAATGCTGCCGTTTAGTCATCATTATGGTGTTTCTGTTACTGGCATGTAACACTTAAACGGTGGTTCGCAAGCTGCAGTTTTTGTTGTCTTCCAGACACTTCCTTGAACGTCAGTCCTACGTCATCAAATGACAGGCGTGCACAGGGCCCTCTAGCGAACGAGACATGGAATTGGACAGTGAGTCAATGATGTCATTTTTATTCCAGGCGGACACCTGCAGAAAATTAGTTATTTAAATCCATCTAGATGAAGCCTTCCCACACAAATGGTTGTATCTGCAGGCAAAACTTTGTGTTTGCCTTTTAATCTCATAGTTCTGAGGGTACTGTGAGACCTAATTAATGGTACCCCACTGCAATTCTGGAGACCTAATACTGGTCCTCTCTTTTTGATTTTGAAATCATATCACACATCAAGACATCGCCAAGAGCATCTGACTGCAGACCTCCACCAGGGGAACCTCAAGACAAGTGTTAATGTGATTGAGTTATTTCCTTAAGGATGTATCTGTATATTTTAAACAGTTATCCAGCTATCCAGTGACCCCAGCCCCCCAACCCCTCCATCCCCCTCCTCACAGAAACTTTGTTACACTGTTTATTTATCTACACTCTTTATACACACTTGAGCTTACACCTAATTCACAATATTATACCCAATGTTCTCAGCAAGACACTAATGAGACGCCTGACGCTGTTTTCTCTAATGGCTCATCAGCAATTCAGACAGTGAACTGCTCCCGCAAACAGTCAGCCTTAATTATGGAACACAATTACACCTTGCTGGCGAAAATGGTTAACTCAGCTGTGCTACCACGGTGTCCTCAGTCCTGGATAGTTTTTAGATTTTGGCCCACAGCCGGTGTCCATTCTCCTCAGTCAGTCTTTTGCTCCACTTTCTTCTGAGGTCTCTTGTGGCCTGTTGTAACCAAGCGGCTACCTCTCAACCACAAAAATGAGGCCAACACAGAGTGCTAAAAACTGCATTTCCTCGAATGGCCACTTGAGGCTGGCTCCAAAAGCGAGTCAATTGTTACAGACTCAAATATTATAACTTTACAGCAGAAATAAACATGTTTACTGCCTGGTACAAAAAACAGTTTTAGTCTCTAAAGCTAATTTTGCTCTTTGTGATAACTATATGGGGGTGATTTTTTATATAACTATCCTGTTTAAATTCTTTATTAAGGCTTGAAGTTATGCATAATCAAGGGCGTTGTCACTTTGAGTGATAGGTGGGTACGGTCACAGGTGGCTAGTCGCTAGCTGTCTGCCCAGCATCTAAGCTTATTCAAGTCACTGAACGTGATCTGACGTAGTATTGTGGTGTTGATGCCTTTTGGAGGACTTTTCATGCCAATATTTGACAAATAATATGACTTACTTACTGTGCAGTTAATTGACTAACAGAATGTGAGGAAGTCTGTACTGCTGCTTTTTGGAGTGGGTGAAATTCTTATTTTATTTATATGCTAACTCTAAATAGCCTAATTATCTTTGCTCACTATACCTGGCTTGTTAGCTTAGTTCTTTAACCAGCTAATTAGTCAAATAAAATAGCCTTGGGTTAGCCTTGGAGCAAGCCCAGACGCCCAGCTGTGCTAACGATGCTAATGTCCACAAATGCCCCACCTTTTTGCCCATTTTTGGATTAGCCAGGAGTTAGATGGAGTCAGGCGCTGCCAAGATGGCTACAGCAAAGCAGCCCACTCTGAGCTTCAGAGGCTCACAGAGCCCATGTCCATCTGTACATACTGGTCGTTATCCAGGACTTCAAATCTCATTGGGTAAACTAGTGGTGATGGGGTAGAAATACCAAGCAGCTATTTTCTTTCCAACCTTTTCTGTTCATCTTAATCCTTTCATAAACCTCCTTTAGATTATATCATCCCTTTAAAATAACCCAAACATAACACCCCTGGAAAACTGCAAATTGTCACATGTTAATAAGTCAACTTTAGAAGTGCTGGTAGTGTTTTTTCACCTTTAGCTGTTTCCACCTGTTCCAAGTCTTTATGCTAAACTAAACCAACAGGTTACAGGATGCAGCCTAATATTTAACAGACAGACATGAGAGTGGTATCTATCCTTTCCTCTAATTCTCAGCAAGAAAGCTAATAAGCATTCCTCTCAAAATGTCAATCTCTTCCTATAAAGATTTTCAACCTTAAACTGATATCAAGGCATGTGTTAATGTAGAGACCATACCGTCCTCAAACAGGACTAATTCATATAATTTATATTACACTAGTTATAGTGTAATATATAGAACATATGAAAACTTTCTCAGAATTATACTGACTATTTTCGACATCATATTCTTTCTATCATATCCTTCTATGTTTCCTTCCTTCTGCCCTTTCTCAGTGCTTGAGAAATTCTTTACCTAACCTTTTCTGTGTCCTGTCAATGTTGTTGCTCCATTGCCAGCCCTTCTCTCAATGATTGACTGTCCATGAGCCCCATGAACATAAGCCACTGAAAGTCCTTTTTGTTTTTTCTATAGAGCTCAGCAACAGCAAACGCGGACAATGTGTGGACGGTCAGCCAGCCAGTCCGCTGAAAAAAAGTTGGCTCCTGCTAAAGTTTTCAAGGTCACTGACTGTCTGTCATCCACTCCAAATTGTGTACCTCCTGGCCAGCCCACTGATGTGACTGCACTCTGAGAACAGCACTGCAGCCTCGCTACTGCATAAGAGGTGAGAGGCTGATCTCAGTCAAGTCTTCCCATATTTTTCTGAGACAAAGAGGGAGAAAATGCTCAACAATTACAGATGACATATTTATAGAGCGATTTTAATGCATTTCTAATATTAATGTGACATGTCATTTAGTTGTTTTTTTGTTTTTTTCATAATTTATTCTTGGTGACTTGTCTACACATCAAATCAGGTCTTATTAATATGTCTGTAATTATCTCTGCCCTGATAAAGATCCTGCGAACTAGAAAGTGGTCTACAAATTCAACCATAATCATGCCAGATTAAAAGGATTTTAATGTACCTCATCACCTTGCTTTACATAAAAGTGCCTCAAGATTTTTTCCATTCCTGTTATAATTCTTTTCATCTTTAAAATCTCCTTAAGGTTCATAGATCATTTGGAGAACAATTACCTCCATTATTTGGGTCAAGAACAAGATTAGAATACATTTTATTTTTTCAGTTTATTTGGGATTAATGCCACCTTATTAGCACTTGCCAGCCACCTACTGTATGTTGGTAACATGATGATAGGGTGGCAAAAATACATTACATGGATTACATTTGCCTTTTCAGGCACTTTGTGGCTGGAAACCACCACAAAGATGCAACCAGACTCTCTAACTACCCACAGTTGGAACAGGCTCAACCAATAACCTATTTACTGGCAGTGTTAGCACAATGTAATGGTATTACTTTGTTGCTTGCAGGTTTTCTTTGCACTGGGACCGAGGCTTGTACAATTATGTATGTCACCCACAATATCCTTGTGTTTCTAAGTACAACTTTTCTTAGAGGTCTGTTACTTCTCAGTGGCTTGAGGTCCTAACTGCAGTATTAAAGTCACAAATGTGGACTCTTGTCATTATATTAAATGGATGTAAACACAAGAACTCTCTAACTGTATAACAGTGCTGAATAATACATGGTCCACTTGGTATTTTGTAGTTTCTCTCTCAACGGGAAACCTTTAGGAGTTAAAGGAATAGTGTGACCACACAAAACTCCCGTAAAACCACAACATTATTTTTACATTTCAGTTTTTGTACAGATGAAACAAATGAGATGTTATATGTTAAATGTTGTCCTTTCTGTTTTTAACTGTTAACAAAGCCAGGCTAGCTGTTTCCCCCATTCCTCTTATTTATGCTAGGCTAAGCTAACTCTACAATATCTACATATTTACTGTACAAGCATATGAGATCTTTTAGTCTCAGCTCTCAGCAGGAAAACAAAGCAACTGTATTTCCGGAAATGTCAACTTGTTCCTTTAGCAAATCTGCATTTTGAAAGCTGATGCTAATAATAAATTAATAATAAATAAATTTCTTGCGTTAAAGCTACTAATTTCCAATAATCTGATATTAACTGTCTCTGTTTCCATGTACTAACAGTCAAATGACTGTTTACATTATGAATACAACTCTGTAAAACCATGTGTAAACTTTATTATATTGCATGTAAACAGTCATTTGTTTACATGCAATTAAATAATAAGAGGCAAATAGTTGTGTGATGCATATATGGGCAAAATGACATCAGTCTTACTCTGCTTCCAAACCTGTATCAACAACTATAGTTTACGTGGTGTTATCAGCCTTTAGCCTATTTCAACACCCTCCCACGTCCTGTCTTAACTCCTAGATTTACTCTTCGCCTTTTTGATACTACTGTTGTCAACTTTTCAGCCTCTCTGATTTTGTTAAACATGTGCCTTTGTGAATGTAGACTCTGCTCTTTTTTGACAGCACAAATCTGCTTTCTCTCAGTTGTCATTTCATCCACACGTGTCCTAATGAGTGGGAGGCAAACGTGTCTGCTCTGCCTTTTTGCCATTCACAACCCACTTTGAGGAGTGTGACAAATTACCGGTCATTTATCTAACCATCAGTAACTCTGGCCCCACATTATGCCACTTTTTTTTTGTCATGATAATGACTCACTACATGGAACCTTCTATTTCACAGCTTTACACATTATTAGTTGCAAATGCACTGACCTGCATGCTAATGACTATAAGAAGTTTCAGCCTGCAGTACATTTGACCCAGCACTGACCGCATACTCCTGCAGTTGATGTAGGTTATACTAAATTAGTGAAAAGTGTGTGGGTTATTCATTTATATAAGATGAAAAAACTATTGCTTCACTCACCATACACATATTGCGAATGGCTGTCCTGCTGATTGCCTGCAACACTTTGCAACACTAGCAGCATGGCTCTTTGGAGATGCAATATCGGTCCATTGGTTTGTGAGTCTTGTTGAAATGATTTTGGTGATCCACTGACCTTTCCTCTAGCGCCACCATGAGGTCCCCAATTTTACTTTTGAGTGAAATGTCTCAACAAATTAAGGTCAGATTGCTATTAAATTTGATTGATTGATAGATTTGCTTCGAGTGTACC